AGTAATACATATTTAATAACTTTTTATATAAATATACTAAATATCTAAATTTATAATTAATTTTAAATTTCATGAGCAATTCTCCCAAATTCTTATTTCACTTATTCCTACACAGACCTTAATTTTCCTAACTACCTAAGTGAAGAAGAAGGTCGGGAAGAATTAAGTAAGGTGAAGTTTGTAATTTAATTGAAAGTTTAATAAAAAATGAATTCAGAAATTATTATTCTACTGTGAATGTTTACTCACCCTGGTGAATCCGAGAAAAGATAATTTTCTCATTTGAGTCGTATCCTTTTTACTCATTTTGAAATAATTTTCACTTATTTTCGTTAGAATTGGAATAAATTTGAATTTCCTTTCGTAATTTGTTTTCTCAATTTATTTAAATTTCTTTGCTTTTCATCAAATCTTCAATCTATTTTCGTTCTTTTCACATTTCTTTTTAAATTATTTCTTTTATTCTAACACAGATTTCTTACACTTTTATTTTTCACATTTATTTATTTCCCCTTTACGGTCCGTTACGAAACATAGTCGTGACCAGACTGAAATCAAATTTAATCAACACAAGGTATTTTAAAGTCTGTTCAATCTTAGAGATAATTTTTTTCGCTATTTGTACTGTAAAAAAGGCAAACCAATATTGATAAGAACATGGAACTGTTTCTCGAAACGAAAATAATCTTCTTAAATATGAGAATGTAGTAATTGTGCTGAAAAAATCTAATTAATATGTTCCGATATCAAATTCGTTTTTAATATTGTTTATCAGTAAACACACATATTTTAACAACAATCAACGCAAAAAGCAAATGAGGAAAACAACATAAATTTTCATTTGAAATTATTCCAATTCTTCAAAATATTAATGCTAAACTAATGCTTTGCAAACTCATAGACTGACTAAATCCTACAAAATGAGAAAAATAAATCATCGTCGTTTGTGATAAAAAGCTTTTCGACTGAATGATGAAGCAGCCAGCTAATGATAACTGAAGTGTTTAGTTGCATTTTCATATGTGATAGCTCATGTTTCAAATGACTCATCTGATTGTAGAAACAAGAATTTAAAATGAAACTTACGCACTCAAACAAGCGTCAATGAAATGATAAACATAATAAAAGTTATGTAATTATTTTGGCGACAATTATTCTCATAAAATTTATAACATTAATAAACCACAAGAAAGTGTTGTTGTTTCTTGTTTCCTTGAAAATGAAATTAATTTTTTTTTTGCGTAAAGATTAAAACCTGAGCTTGGGTGATTGATGAAAGTTCGCTTCTTTAATTTTATCAATATTTTGTTTTTGAATTTCACCATTAATCTTTCTTTTTCCATAACCTTGAGAGATTGTCAATTAGTAATGAGCATTAATTATTACAAGCTTTAATCATCTTAAGATTTTATAAGAAGGTACTGAATTGTAATTAAAGGTGATTTATAGCAGCTCAATTTTGATTTATTAAAGATTGATTACACACAATCGAAAAATAAGTAAACTGTAAATTAATTTGTGTTCTAAATATTATCTGCAATAAGAATAATGATGACGACTAGGAACAAAGTATTTTCCGGGTGATTTTGTCTTTGATATCAAAGTATAACCTCGAACGCTTCTTTTAAACGTTATCAACAAAAGTGATTTTTAAGACAGCAAAAGAAGGCAGATATATATTAATTAGAAATGAAATCCCTTAATGACAATTTAAAAAACTAATGCAAAAAGAAAAACATCGAAAACATGACTAGAGTCTCACTCATAACATCTGAATAATTTTTACCCTGATTAAGAAGCACATCATCAGTTGTTAATTACTTAAGCAAATATTAAATTTATCCTGCTCTTGCCACTGAAAATGATATTTTTCATACAAATATTCATTTTATTTGATCAGACTTATTTTTCATTGAAAACTGTGCAAATTTGTTTAAACATCGTTCGCAGCTTAGCTACCGACAAAGTATTTTGAAGTATTAAAAAAATCTAGAAGATATTTTAAGCTCTTTTATTGCTTTTTGAAATATGATATCAGTCCAGATAATGAAATATGTTTGATAATCCAGCAAACGACGAAACCAAACAAGGAAATTTAAAAATAGCTTAAGATACTGATAATAAAAGTGTTACGGAAGATCAGATGATCGAGTACGTGCCGTGCGAAGACCACATGGTAACTAACAAGTAAAAGTCAAGATAACGATTATCACTCCCAGTAATTTCGATAGTCAAATGCATGACACGATTCTTGGTAAATTTATAAATATAAAAATTGATAGAGTTTAGGTCGCACAATACTATCTAAATAAATTAAAAGCCTCGAACGCAATTGACTCGAATTAAATCTTTTGTAGTAACTTCATCATCAACGCCTTTTTTTTCGTTTTGATTGACAATTAAGTATTTTGTTTTTGTAAAGCTTTAAATACTTCTTAATTGATACGTTTTGAAACTAATTCAAATCTTCTCACTTTACAATGAATAATAAATAAATAAAATTGTTTGAATCATGTGATCTATTATTGAATATCTTGTGATCATAAAAAAGGTTTTTGAAAATATGCCGTTGTACATGATGTTGGATTTACATAGGAAAAAATCTTTATTGTACAAAAGAAACAATTAAATACAATTTACGTATTCTTTATGTTTTTAAAGAGTAAATACTTGCTGACAACAACACATTCTGTCTATAACTGGTTGAAGTGTTTCCGATTACATTCATCAAGATCGTCAACCTTTTCATTAGATTTTCACGAATTTTATTATCAATGAAGAATTCAATCCACAAACTTTGCTACTCGATTTTTCTGTTCGGTAAATCAGTCAATAAAACTGTTGATATTTCATATCGAAGCAATTGATTGTTGTAGTGATTTACGGACTACTTCAATTCACGTGCTTCTTCCTTTAGTGGAAGATTTGAAGAGTTCTATTTTTGTTGATAGTAAAGTTATTTATTCCACACCCTTCAAATGCTATCGGTCTTTCGCTATCTGTATTGCTTATTGACGTGTATAAATGACAACATATTTTTAATGTAACTGATATTTTTGTACATTTTGTTTAAGTTTCAAATCACCTAGTGTGTTATATGTCACTCATTTAAGTATTTACAAGCTCTCTTTGTTTTTGATATCATTGAATTGTAATAAATGCATTAACCTTCACGCATGTTATAAGTAAATGAGTCACATAATCTGGCTGTTAAACAGACAATCTGTTTAAGTGACAAGTATGCCTTAAACTTAATTAGCTTTTAATGTTGATTTTATTACTACTTTGCAAATCCATGTAGGAGTTAAGCATGTAAACCGTTAGTAATTTGTAATGATTGTAGTTCTAATAGTTAAAGAATGTTTTTGATAGTCGATAACGACTGAAAGTTGTTGTCAATTCCATGAATAACTACGATTTCGTTTAAGTGTTTGATCTTATCAAAATATTGTGTAAATAAATAACTGAGAAAAAGATAATAAAATTGTAAATATTATTTCTTACGATGACTCACAAAATTTGATGTTAACTATCTGTTAGTCATTTTATTTTATTTATTTAGTTATTTAGGCTGCGTATACAGGAAGATTCCCGGTTAAAACTTCTGGTGACAAGCTCCATGTCATTCATCACATGACTTTATAAACACATTTGCATCAAAATCATTTTTATTACCGTAAAAATCAATGACATTGTTTAAAGAAACTTTAAAGCAAACTTGTTGAAAACAGACAAATACTCAATTTGCTTGTTTAGGTACGCAAAACCCCTTTGAACATTCTTAGAACTAATTAAATTAAAATTCATTTTTCTCGCGAATTCAAACGTTTGACTCAATTAGCTAAACTAATATTTGAAATGAAACTTCACGAGTCATATTGTCATGAAATACTTTTTTCTCAACATTCGTTTATTGCTCAACAAAATAACATTAAGCATGAATAGATGCCGATTTGATTGAAATAAATGAAACGTTTGCACAATCAATGAAAGAATATAATAAAAATGAGGCACAAATAATTGTTGATAATTTAAAAAAAGCCGCTTTATGACGATGCACTTTTATCTACGTAACTTTTCAGATCTTGAACTTCATTTCTGAGTTTACAATTTGTCGAGTTTTCTGCACGCGATCGATGATTCAACTGGAAACAGAAGTGAGAGTTTTTATTTTTCTTTTCGTTTAGATATTTATTATCGTAGAACGACCAACACAACCATAAAAATAATCGGTTCGATAGAGAACATCAGACATTGCACTTGGTTTTCACATTAAACACTATAATTACTCGACTTCGTAATATACTGGAGCAAATCTCGTGATTTTAAAGCGAAAATATTATTCAGGGCTTTCGAAAATAAACATCAATACAGCATGTGAAGATTGAGCTTCAACGAAGTACACGTGACATGTAAACTCACTTTTCATCGAAACCAGAATTGAGAGATTCTCAAAAGTCAATGTGAAGAAGCTATGAAAGCGAAAAAGAAAAGAAATCAACAACGAAGATTTCGCACATTAGCGAGAAGCTTCTAATAGACGTCGTTCAATTATTTTTAGCATGGTCTTTATTTGAATTTTACAGATGATAATGAAGAACGCAAAACAAACAAGAAGAATGAGAAAAATATGAGAAATTGAGTCAAAAACGTGACTTCATTTTGCTTAATCTTATCAACTTCTGATGATTTTATATTTAGCGCATTTATTAATATTTAAACACTTTATGATCTTTCAACATCAAAAGCAACTTTTTTCATCACTTTTCCTTTCTATTTTTAATTCTACGCAATATTTAAGTGAATCAATTTAAAATAAATCAATCTCTTTAAAAATATAACTCAACAGTTTCACTTGCGAAAATTTGCTTTACACAAAAATGTTTATTTAAAAAATTTTCCTGTCGTCTAACAGAACGCGATCTACTCGTGTGCGCTTGAACGATCAACTGACTTGAATTTTGCTTTCCTCCACTCGTTAGAGAAAACAAAAACAAAAAACGAATGCAAGAAAATTTTCAAGATCGTCAAACACAATCAAACGTCTTAAGCCGCATTTATGTTGAGAATCATGCAGTTGTGTTAGATTGATTGAAAGAACTAAGTAAAAGATGTCTTCAAAGTCTTTTTCATTCAAGTGTGTAGGTAAGATTGAGAATAGGAACCAAACATTAATAATAAAAAGTAGACATTTAAAATTCATCAAAACATATCTTAAGATGCTTCACATCTTGTTCTTCTACTTCTTTGTACTTTCCCAAAAAGGTTTTTGATTCTTCTTTTCAAGTCAGAAGATGGAAGAATTCCGAAGATGATGCCAAAGAAGAACTTGATGTCGATCAATCAAGTTGTTTGTTATAAACTAGTTTTGTATTTATCTTTAAGGAGAAAGAGTAACAACAACTTCGATTATCTCATTCTGTTATGCAATAAGAACCCGAAAATCGTTAACCTTTTTAAAGTCTCACACCTGAAAAAAGTTTTTGTATGGCGTGTAAACAACAACCAATCTTCCGTCTTTCTTTCTCTCTTTATTTTCTTACAATTAGATACTCACATTTCATTCATTTCGGAAATTTTCCGAAACAACTCGTGTAGTAAGTCGAGAGAATCGAAATGTTCACAGTGTTGGTTACATAAATAAAAGTTTAAATTTGATTGTATTGAATGTATACTTCGATCTGGGATAAAAATATTGAATGAAATTCTTTCCGATTATTACTAAATTATCACGCATGTTGAGTTCTATTAACACGCAAACGTAATTTTCTTAATGTTAAGCTTTGAAATGGAAACAAATTTATTATTAACTCGCTTGTAGAATTAGATAAGTAAACAAATTATTTGTTGAATCACGAAAACGTTATGATCGTTTGCATATCACGAGATTTGCCGTTGTTTGCAAATTGAAATGGAAAAACTTCTTTCAAATTAGGAAATTTCCTAAACTGACGTTTAGTTCTTGTTGAATAAATTACAGAAAAGAAACTTTTGAATTTAAAACGCAATTTCTTTCGATATTATTTTCAAATGGCTTTGTTGCTTTATCAAATCAATTCTTAATAAGATAAAGTTCAAGTCAGCTCACACACTCACTTCAAACTCTAAATAACTCATCAGATTTTCTACTTTTAAATAAAATTCTAAAGTCATCTTTGACACTTGAATATTTTTATTTATTAATAGTCACGTTGTAAAATCATAAATGTTTAACGACAATTTAATGGTTTTTTAATTATTCGAATGCCTAAAAGCTTCCTTCAACTTCCAACCTTGAATCAAATATGAAATGCTTAAAATGAAACATTGAAAAACATAAAAACAAAAGAATTAACAATAAGCATTGAATTTATTTCGATTTATTTGGCTCATTTAGATATTCAAAATATCCTTGAACATTGTTTCTGCGATATTGACAAAATATAAATCGTATCGTTAAAAGATAAAATAAATAGAAGTTCCATGTGTAAAGTAATAAATTCAAATGAAATCAAGCTGAGATATGAGTTTGCTCGTAAAAATCATCATCATCGATGTCATCATTTTCATTTTGTTGCGAACCGTCAAGCTTTTAATAAAATAAAAATAAATTTTATTGCTTTGTTATTTACAAAAATTACTTACAGCTTCAAGTTCAGAAGGAGAATAGAAATTGTCGAGGAGCTTTCGCAAAGGGACCATCATGATAAGAAAGAAAGGAAAAGCAAGTGAAATTGGTGATTCATTGACAATCCAAAGAATGGCAAGTGCCGTCACTTGAATGACTGTATAGATGTGCATACGATAAGTCAGAAGCTTCGTCGCATAAGCCCCCGTGTGATACTTCACTGGCACAAAGAAAAGAATAATTCTGAAAGCAAAAAATAAATAAAATTTTCTCTCTTGTCCCAACGTTCCTTACCTCTCAAAAAGTTGAACACCATTCATTGAACAAACGCCCATGTAAAGGAAAACTCCAAACAATACGCTAATAGGAATTTTCTTAAGAATTGGAGAAGCATAAATCGATAATCCAATAAGTAAAGAGACAAAAAATCCCGACAATCTCTGCTCTTTAACACCCACAATATGCGGAGATTCTCCAGGTGGATGATTTCTAAGCAAAATAAATTAATTTAAGCTTATTGGTTTAAGAAAATTAACTTACGTTGACATAATTGTTACTGCACTTATATGGGCAACAGATCTGACAGCTGCAGCACAATGCCATGGCATGCCAAATAATCCAAGAATGCTATTTAAGATACAAAGCAAAACAATATCCCAATGAAAACCTGAGCCTTTCTTCAATTTTCTCTCAGGCTTATCGAGAATTAATTCAGAGATGTGCGACTCCATGAATGTGAGAATATAAATCAGAAATCCAGGCACAACACAAGCAAAAGGCAGCCACATTGGATTGTTTTCTATCCATAGTGGAACAAGCCATTCACGTTTAACTGTTGGTTCAATCCCATCAGGTACATTAAGTTTCTCTGTCTCAACTTGTGACATGTAATTTGCAATAATGACAAATATTGCGATAGAAATCGGAACGCCAAAGTCACCTAAAGCACGTCGACTTGTCCGTCCCAGGAACTTTGAGTTTCTGAATATCTTCAAGTTATATGCCAACACAAAAGTTCCGAGTGTCAATAGAGTACAAAATAAGGCAGTATTTGGTTGATTAACAATGCCTTGAGTGACAAAAGCTTCTTCTGTTGTATTGAACACTTTAACGTAATCTTTCACTTCCATCAAAGGATTTCTTTTATAAATCGACATTGTCTTGTTGAATGTCGAGTAAAGATAAATCAGAGTTATAAGAGCGGAAAATATTTCCTGTGTGAATCTCGTGAAATATCGCACAAGCACACTTCCTTCAAAAGCTGATACTAATAGTGAGATTATCAACATCCAAAATCCAACATAAACACGAACATTGAGAAAATCAAATTTTTGGATTGTACAGAAGCTCACGAGAGCTTTGTCGAAGAGAATCAAGGGACCAGTTGTACCGATTATGACTAGAGGTTGTCCACCAAAAATATGAAAAACTATCCCAGCAAAGCTTGCTGATAAAAGTGTTTCAGATATTCCAATCCAACCGTTCGTTAGGTCACCAGCTAATCCACCGAAAGTTATTGCTAAATAGAAGAGTTTTTTAATAATCATCATGAAATTTAATTAATTTAATTATCTTCTTTACCGGTCGCAAAACATGCAAAGTACATGAAAACCGTCGCTGCTAATGTCTCAAAATTTAATCCATCAATGATGTCACTTTTGAACATCGGAAGTCTTCGTGATAAATCATTACGTAATCCACCCCAAAGTTTGCCTGTTCTCTGTAGTGAGCTTGTTGGTTTCTTTTGACTAGCGTCGTACATTGCTGACAAAAGTTTAATTTGATCTTCACTCAACATTCGATCTTGTGATTTTAAATTTTCATACAAAACTCGACGTTTCCGAGCTCGAATCATTTCAGACTTTTTCTTTAGATTCTCAAATGACAAAAGTGCTTCCTTATCGAGTTTTCCTGGTGGAAAAACGATACTTTCATTCAGAAAATCATCAATGGCTTTGATTAAACTTTTTCGAGTTTTCGTAGCATAAGCGCAATTTCTAAAATGTTTGTTTGATAAGAGAGTCGAAATTGAACGTCCAATTTCATGATAATCAAGTTGTTCTGTTTTTGGTCCCATAATGAAGAAAAGAAAACGAACAGGAAGTGAAACTTCAAGAACATTTGCAATTTTTGTGCTTTCTGCTAAGCGAATGAAGACGGCCGTTGGATGATCTAGGAAGTCTACAACTGCAGCTAAGATTGCTGCACCTTCACAGTTTATTGGCAGTCTTTTAAGCACATATTCATTCTGAACTAATTGTTCTTCTTCAGTCACTCGTTCATCATCATTTTCCATTTCAACTTTAAATGTTGCGGGATTACTGACAGGTTTAGAAATTGGATCGAAAGTCATTTTCTCGACTTCTTCACGAATCGCTGCTTCAGGTGTGAATAAATTTGAAGTTCTTCTTGGATGGAATACCACGGTACTTCCACGTCTGGAAAACTTCTTAAAACTTCCTGAACTTTTCCGCTTCGATGGTTTGAAAATATTTGAATCATCTGATTTTTCTGACGTGTGCGACACTAAGCTTTGACTTGAATCATGAGATGATTTCTTCTTCACACCAAAATTAAAGATACTTCGACGATGCTCATAGTTGTGATGAAGTAAAATTGTCCTGAAGATTTTTTCACGATCTCCATTACGAATGATGCCTTCGTTAAACATCTAAAAAATGAAGATTAATTTGTAATCAATTAAAACAATTAATAAGAAAGCTCACTGTTTCAACAGCTTGATAAATAATCACGCCAATATCTTTCTCCTCAACATCAAGCATAATCGCACATTTCTCCAGACACAATCTCAAATTCAACAAGGAATGAAATGAAAGTGACGACATATGTGGCCGTCCCCATCGATCGGCACCTTCTTCAACATTCTCCTCATACTTTATCCACCGAGCTGTTTCACGCCATTCTTGAAATTCTTGTTCAAAGCATAACTCATTGAGTTGAATGAACAAATCATGTGGCGTGTGATTAAATTTCGATTCAATTTCACTTTTTGTATTTATTGAATTATTTGAATCAGGAAAAGGTGACAAAGAATGTTTTTTCCTTTTTTGATTATCTCGTTGCTGTTTTGGAAGAATTTCGGTATTTTCATCTTCAGATATTTCACCGAGAATATCACTCATTCTTGCTTTCATTGCGTTTCCTTCATTCCTAGAATTCTCAGAATTCTTATCATCTTTTGGGTCTTCCAAAACTTTCTCAAGTAGCGCTACATTTTCTCCAATACCTGTTCAATAAATAACATAACATATTTGAGATTATATTCAGAATAAAAGGAATGTTTCACTAACAGTCGTCATCTTTTAGGACTCTCGACGATTCTTCATTTCTATTGTTCCTCGAGAAATTCTCCGAAAGTCTTCGCTCTTCGAAATCACTTTGCAGTAAATCATCAATTTCTTGATTTAATAAATCTTCCCCTTCACTTTCTCTGCTCTAAATATTCAGGAATCGAGAAGAATAATTGAAAAGGTTCGTGTAAATATTTCGTGAAACTTACAGTTTGTCGAACGATAGGAATGAAAGACATTTTCCGTTTCTCATCACGACTCATTTTTCGAATGTTTTTCTTCTATCACCAGCTACGTTTCTTAGTGTATTGTCATTAAAAATATCTTTTTTACTATTTTTTTACAGTTTTAATTAGAGTTTTATTGTCGTAACTTTTTTTTCAACGCTCTATCATTGGTTGAGCTGAAAAGAAAATTGAAGCTTTAGATAAATTCCTGACCACAAACAATGTTCAGAAAAAGTTGATAATCGGCACTTATTTGTCTGTTATTATTTTATTGCTTAGTTATTTATCAGTGTGAAGACCTTGAAACATAAATAAAAGCTTGTAAGTTAAACTTTCGTGCTTTTTATATTCAAAATCAATCACTTTTGATGACACGCCAGTGGTTTTCTTTCCTGCACAATAAAATATTTATTTGTGCTTCACTTTTCATGATCATTTTGATTTATTTTTGTAAATGCGTCACGTTAGCTCACGTTTTGATTTCGTCCGGGTGAAGAAGAAGCGATAGCGATATAAGAGAATCTCCTAACGTCTGCTTACTTTTTCTCGACCTACCGCAAATTGTGCTTCATTTATCAATTTAAGAATCGCTTTCTGCTCTCTATCTCGCGTAATCTTGTCTTCGTTTTCTTCTCATCTCATTCTTAATCTTTTGTCAGTGCGTTTAATGAGGCAGTAAATTTATAAATTGCGTGATATTTTCTGATATTATCTCTTTATCATTCATAATTCATTGCGAAATTTCTTTTGTTCGTTGTGAGATTTAAAAATGAAAAGTGAAAAATTATTGGCAAGATTTTTTATATTTTCTTACTTGCTCTTGAATTATTATATAATTATTTCTTATGAATGAATTTCGTGAAAATTTTATAGAAAATTCTTTACTGTAATTGATTTGAATTCCTTTTTTTAAACACTTTAAATTTTTTATTATTCTTTTCTATTTTTTATAATTTTTTTTTTTTCAAGAACTTTTCTTTGTTGCAAGGATTTGTAACAATTTGAATTTTTCTTAATCACTTTTCACTTCTTTTTTTTAGTGAGTTCAAAGTTCGATCAGATGATCAACACAGTCAACACGAGAAAAAATCTTCCTGACCCTTTAAGATTCACCGAGCAACTGATGGGATCTTTCTTTTATTCTCACAAGATTTCTAAGCGAGACTATTTATTAATAGAAGATAAATTTTTCAAGAGAACTCAGTGACAAAATGTCTCACGAGATCACAGATTTAAATGAGTTGTAGTTTCACATTTCATGGCAATTGTGTGTCTTTGAGAAGAAATTTGTTGACAAACATTTATCTTTAGCATGTGAGGTTCCGTGTTTATTTACAATCTAACAAACGCATCTGCTCGCAATTTTATTGCATGTATAATAATTGAATGATGCATTAATCATCATAAATAATTTCCCGTAATTTTGTGGAGTCAACGGTATTCACCAGCTCACCGTGCAATTAACATTACAAACTGACTTGAAAGTGTTAAATGAGACTTGAACAGTAACAAATATTTTAAATTATAGTCACGCTTACTTCAATGTCTTAATTGTCTTTTTTTATATTCATGTTTATACAAGCACGACATGTTTTACGTGTTTTGAAAACTTAAACAAAATTGTTTAATTTAAGTCAAAGACTGATGAGTGTGAAAATTTTCTTTTGGGTGTCAACTGGGATCAGAAAATAATAATTCTACGTTTGGTTACTTTGATGATAACGAAGATAATATCCTAAGCAATTTAGCTGAAATCATTCTTAAAAGAAACGAAAGTTCCCCAACTCCTAATTGTTTCTTTCCTATGAATTGTTTCTTATCATTTGTCTTCGTAAAACTCAGATCGCCACTGCAGAGAAAAAAAAAATCAATAAAAATATAAACAAATACGAAACTTTTTATTCATAATAAATTTATTTTCTTGATTACTTGAAACAGTTTTTTCGTTACAAATGTTTTTGTTCCTAGCATTTTAATTTTATAATATCTTCCATGTCGCATTATAAAAAGAGTAAAGTAAGGAAATGTTACAAATGCCACTTAGTTTCAATAAGTTTCTCATTTCAAATAATTTCAATATGTTTTGTTCATGAGTAAGTGAAGATTCAAACAGTCTTTCGAATGCACCATAAGCAAAAAAGAGATAAGCAATTTGTGAGAAAATTTCCAATCATTTTGAAACTTTTTAGTTTTTTATAAATTTTGTTTTGATACGAAAATACTTAGAGAGTTATTTACAATCTTTATCATCTTAACTGTATTCACATCATTATTTCATAATAAGATATTTTATGTAAATATTCATTTGTTAAAAAAAAGAAATTTGCATCAAAAGCTCATTTGGAAAACATTGAAAGCTTTCACAAAGTTTGTGAAACATTGAACAGCAAAAAAACATTGAACAAAAACATTGTGCAACAATTTTATTTTTCACTTCATAAGCCGCAAGCGTGTTTCCTTTTTCAATAATTATCAGAATTTTTGTGAATTTCATAGATAAATTGGATCTCAAGCGATTTTAATTATTAACAGAAATTTCAATCATGAAATGGCAACAAAAGAATTTTAATAGAATTGCTCCATAAAAAAGAATAAGAGGTTTTAAGTAGGAAAGATTTACAGCTAACTTTTCTTTTGATTTTTCGATTATTTTATTTCTCGTCTTTCATCCCAATCACAATTTACCCACCGAAAAGAAGAAGAAAGGCAAAAATTAGCAAAAAATAACTCAACAAAAGAAAACAAGTTTCAAAAAAAAGCTCAAAAATTATTACAAACAATGACTTTTATTTATCCGGAAGAAAGAAGCATGCACAACGTTTTCATTATGATTTAATATAGTAAAAGGCGATTAATTAAATTAATTTTTAGTCTGCATGAGTTGTCTATAAAATATATAATAACAAAAAGTTATTTCTTCATTTTGTGTTCGACCTCGACACGAAAGAAATGAATGATAAATTACGTTTCATCTATTTACCGTGGTTAAGGTTACTCTTTCTCGTTAACAATAAACTTCTGTTCGATTTACAATAAAATATAAGTTTCTTTTGATCAAAATTGCTATTAACAGAAAGAAAACTAACGAAGAACTTGATTAAAATTATATGTTAAACATTGTTTGTTAAACGGGCGGTAGCGCCCACAGCTTAGCCGTCTTATCAGCTGATGTCGATAAGAAAGAAAAGTCTGATGGATGCCAACGTCCTGAGATGACTTTGTCACTATGTTGCGCAACCACAACCGATGGAAGTGGCATCGTAAGATCTCCTTGCAGATCTGTGAGCACAAGTTTGTTGTCATAGCTCGCTGATAGCAGATAATAAGCAGATGGTGAAAATCGAACCGACCTAAAAAACATTAAAAAAGAGATAAAAATATTAATTTTCTCGAAGTTTATTGCCCTCAATAATTATTTTGAAACGAAATGAAGAGCAACAGCTTCTCGCCTGTGATCACAGATTGTACAATAATCATAAATCATTTTTACTCGTTACTCTCCCGACTCAGAAACAATTGACCATAAAGACTACGCGATCCATAAATTCATACCAGAAAATCGTTTGGATACAAAACAAGTAACAGTAGAAAGCAACATGCGAAGAAAATTTTTTTTATTTAAAGCATTTGGAGCACTTTTCGTCGTAGGAAATTGATCTCAGGCTCAAGCCGTTAAACAAATGCTATCTACTCATGAATATTCAACAATGACAAGCGCATTTGTGGGACTCTTTCAACTTACGTTAAATAAATTTGGTTTAAAAATCGAAAGCTTTGTTTTGCAATGTCATTGTTTTCGTATTTCTTTTTATTTTATTTTGTGGAACGTCTAAGATGGTCGACTTTGAAAGAATAAAAAGATTTCTTTAAGTGATGAATATCTTTTTACAGTCAATGGGAGACATGGCAACAAGAAGAGTGATTCTTTATTAATGGAGAGAAAAGAAACTTTTTTCCTTCATTTTGAACAAAACTTAATGCGTATATGAATTGCTTAATAAGCGATATTTTATTAGCACATTAAAATCCTTTCAACCGATGAATGTTCAATTAAAACTGTTACGAAACAAAACATTTAACGATGCGAATGTGTTCAGGTTGTTGTGGAAGTTTTATTTGAAGATTTGTTTTCGATGGAAAATTATTGAACAACACGAAAGTGTCAAGGAAGCAATTTTGTTAAAACATAAACAATTCTTGATAGCTAAAAAAATCACTTAACGAAATCGTAATTTTTAATTTCAATTAGATATTTAAGTAATCTCACATAAAATTTCAGTAACATTTCAACTGAGTGACTGTTAGCAATCTCTCGTAACTCTTTCGCTCATTAAAAAGCATTAAAAGTGAAATTTCTTCTTACATGATTGTCGAACTAGTTTTCCATTAAAACTGCTTAATAATCAGCAAAGCAAAAAAACCAAAACTACTCGTGAGAACTTATTTTTGGTCATTATTGTTAATGTTCCATGTTGCAAGATTGAATGATGGAAAAAACGCGTTGAAATGCATCATTAAAGTTGTCGGAAGTGCAACAACCTTAAAGACGTATTTGAACTTATATTGTTTAATAAAAGCTTTCACTTTTACCTACTTTGCATCTCAGATCGATGCACTTCTTTCTCTGCCAGAAGCGAAACATAAAAGAAGAATACGAGCTACCAAGTTGAAGGTAAACGAAACAACTTCTGTGTTGTAAAATGCAAATTTTTTTCTTCACGAAAAATACGCCGACTCAAGAAGGTCGGAAAACGATGTCAAATGGAAATTTTTTACGCCTCACCTCATCGAAATTCAACACAAAGATACGTTCTGTTTACATTTTATGTCATTCATACTCAGTTGAAGTTTTTTTTCTCTTTTCGCGGTTCTTTTTCTACGCACGATTCAATAAATAAAATAAATTCCTCGCGATTGTCTCGTGTTTGTGTCTCGGAAAAAAAGAAGAAAAATGATTTCAAGTTCAATGACAAACTGTCGAATTGCGCAATAATAATAAATTATAAAAAAGCTTTTTTTTCTTATTCATAGTCACGATTTCAAGCAAAATGTCTTCAAATAAGGAAGCAGTTTGAGAACAAAACGATTCATAGTGGTGAACGTTGTCGATTGTCAATTGCTTAATATTGAAAGTTTTTATTATCGAAAATGAGCAGTAAACACAAATCTTAATGCTAATCGAGAACGCGGATCACAAGAGATGGGAATGGGATAAAAAGTGTGGGTGATGCTTAATAAAGATTCGACCTATAATGAAATAAAACAAAACAACTCACCGAATGTCAGATGAATGTGGTTTGAAACATTGAATCGGACGATTGCCACGAATATCGTAGAGAACGCAAGATGAATCTTCATGACCTGACACCAATAATCGTCCTGATGGATCAACGCATACAGCAGCTACCGGTGAACCTTGTCTTGAGTTTGGACTTGTCGCTGGTGTCACCATGTTTACACATCCCCGGGTTCGTAAATCCCAGAATCGGACTGACTTATCTTGCGAACCAGATACAAACATGGCTCCACCCCAGTTGTAGAGAGACAAAATGTGACTGCCATGGCCACTAAGTGCTTGATAAGGTGTCGATGTAGCACAATCTGTAATGTAAATTTTACAATCGCCAGCACCGCCACTAATCAAAAGACTCGATTTGTTTGAACTGTCTTCGAGGAAGCATAAGTCACGAACAGTTCCATCGTGCATTGTCAACTCAATCTAATTCAATGGAAAACGTTAAAAAATGAATAAATAAAAAATTTCTTTCTCACTTCTCTTCCTTCAAGCTGCTTTTGATCGTCATTATATCTCATAAGTTTGACTGTTTTGTCATTTGATCCAGTGGCAATCAAGTCACCTTGTGGTGACCATGCCATGCAATAAATCGAACCTTTGTGATGTTTTGTTCTCTTGAATAATACTGTCGCTTGATATGTTGAATGTTCTTCTCTGTATTTAGAACAAATATTTAATTATTGATTAAATGCTTTCAAAAGAGATTCTCAAACCTTATATCAGCCAATGATGGATATTCACAGATTCTAAATGTCTTTGAGTTACTTCCGATAGCATAAACTGTCCCATTTGGATGAAATTCAGCACATCTGACCGCTTGTACATCTTCCAGCGATGTAACAGCAACGAAGCGTGGTCGATTGGCATCACTTGGTTGCACCTGAACATTTTTTATTATTTAAATATTAGAAGAAAAGAAAAATGAGTCAGTTGAAGAGTAAAATTGATTTAAATACGAAGACGAAAGTGAAGCCGTTACAAATGATTTCTAAATGCTCTTACGCCGATGAAATTGATGAAAACATTACGGTCATACCGTAATTAATCTTTATCTGTCATTAGTGGTTCGCAACTTTCTTTTATTTCAGGTTTGAAAATCATTTAGATATTCTTTTCTCTTATTAAGACAAAGCTGATCATAATTGATGCAAATCAAATAATTGACAATAAATTCGATCGTTACTCGATGTTATTAAAATCTAAAAACATGATCATCAGCTTCTAGAGAAATCTTAATCATTTTGCAATTAATCCACAATTGGACAACGATCGAAAGGAAATTAGCATTTTGGGTCGGCAAGCACCAAACCTGGTTTTATTGTCTGTGGAGATTTTCGTTTCGTTTTCGATCACAAGATTCAAAAATATAATATTTGTTCATCATCCATTTCAGAGACAAATAAATATTTATTCTTTCAAGAATCGTCATCATCGCTAAGAATGGAGTTTTTTTTCGATCCGATTGAGTTGAGTTAAATTGAAGTGAATTGTATAATCATCACTTGAACTTGAATGATTTAAAAATATCCCATTAAAGACAAGTTTTGACTTCAAATGACGAATTAATAAAAGGTAAACAAATGAAGTGCCTTTAATGTTGATTTAAAAATGTTTTAAAACAAATATAATGAGAAAGCAAAGCTCATCCGGCACGAAGAGACGGCAGGTGGAATGAAATTCTCCCGCTACTTACTAATTAATGAGAATTCAGTGCAATTAATAAGTTGGATGCATATGACGGAAAGTTATCTAAATATATGAGTAAATGGACTGCAACATCCCATTGAGACACATTCACTTTGTAACTGTAAACGTTCAACCTGACTATGTTAATGAAAAACTTGCTTTTCATAATTAAAAGAGTGAACGACAAAACTTGCAAATTTATTTTTGAAATCACGAACTTTCGATTTTTTATTCGGCCCCTGGCGCTTTAGAGATTTGATCACAACGCATTCAAGTCTTAATAAGTTTATAAAAAATGCAAATTTCCCACTTCGACCATGACGCAACAGTCAGTAATTTCCGTGGCGCAAAATTAATTCTTTTAAAGAAAGAAATATTTCTTGCATTTGAAATTATTTTCATTCTTCTTCAACTTGAAATATCAAATAAGTTGGAATTAAAATTCATTGCGTAAGTTTGTTTTCTTAATGTGAATTATTCGATGATTTTAGTAGTTGTTGCTTGATAATTAAAGCAGCTGAATTAGACAACTGTGTATGATGTGGAATTTAATTTCATTTCTCCTACTGGACATTCAAGAACTCTTTGATCGCTTCATTTTACTTTCTTAAAATGTCACGAAATATTTTTAAAACCATTAAAAAGTCTCTTAAAACGTCACCATTCCTATCCACTTGTCTAACCTTATCCTTTATCTGATAATTGTTGTAATAACTCGTGTCGATTTCTAACAAATTATCCACAGAATATCGCATTTGATTTTTATGCTGTGGCTGAGATGGATGATGATAATTGGGACGCGTCATTCGATTACTTTGCGGACTTCTTTTCTCAATCTGCGATGGCGGTGACGATCGTTGATGGCTGATGCCATTTCTTAAATTGTTTCTCTGAACTCTGTTGTTCTGCTCATAAATTAATTGAGTGGAGAAGTCATCCATTGACTTGGATCTCTTTGCTTTACTGATTTGTTGTTGTTGATGGTAATATTGCTGTTGTTGTTGGTGATATATTGGATACTGTGTAGATGTTGTTGGCGCGCCATTTCGACTGAGAGAAGAATTTTTATTTGATGCAATCAGACGAAAATAATTGAATGAATGCGGAATGAATTCTTGGCAATGCAATTTTCCAGATCATTTAGTTCAACGTCAAATGACCAGAAAACTGGAATCGCCATAATTTCTTACCTTTTCTTATCCACCGCATTAATCAGTTTTGATTTATAAAGACCGTTACTGTTACTTATTACTAGATTATTCCCTAATTCATATTCCATCATGGCGATTGCTTGTTGTGTGGCTAAAGGTGGCGGATGATTATATGCAGCGGTAAATTTATCACGCTGCTTAATTTTGAAGTCACGAGAAAATGGCATTTTACTGCTTGATGATGGAATCAGCGACCCTTTATGCGTTGATATTGTCGAAGGTGCACCAAAATCAAAATAACTTGATGGCAAAAGCATTTTACTGTGATTGCCATAATGTTTTTGTTTCGTATCAAACATCAGTAATGGCATTTTATTTTTATTTTCTTTAAACTTTCATAAAAACTTCTTTTTTCTTTCTCATCCAATTGATAGTTCTAATTCCGATTCATTGTTGTCTGGGTTCGCATGAAAAATTCATAACAGTCTTTTTTTTTAATCTTCAAAAACAATTAAAGCTAATTCACTTCTTCTTCACACTCTCATCATCATCACCATCTGTGGCAGTGAGAATATTGGCAAGATATGTGCTTCTTATTGTTACATTTCAATTCCATTCCATCATAAAACCTTTTACAAGAAACAAAAGCTTGAAATTACTAAAACGCTAAAATTCTAACGGAACGCGAAACCCGAAAAAATTACAACCGCGAGTTAAACTTTAACAAAAATTTAATTGTAACATAAATTCCGACCGAGATATTTTGCGATGAACGTGTTACATGTAGGAATGCTTTTGATCAACTGAAGAAAACAACAGTTGGATCTTTTTTTTTTCTTACGATGTTGGGAGAGATTCAAAGCCACAGAGAAGTAAGTAAGAAAGTGATCATAAATAATAATAAGAAGCAAAAACATTCGCTCGTCTTTCTCACCTCGATGTTTAAACGCCTTGAGAAAAACTTTTGTTACTACGTTCGATGCGGCATTGAATGCGGTTGAACGTTGCACATTAGAAAAGAATGATTGAATAAGAGAGAAGCTTTAACATGTCGAATATGGAGCTTACTTGCTTACTTGCGTACATGTTTATGTTATTTAAATTATCTTATTTGAGAGTGGGAGCTAAATAAGTCATAAACACATGAATAGAAAACAAAGCAAATCACTCTTCAAAAAGTGAAGTGAAAATAGCATAAAAAGATGAATAATTTCACTCGTTACGACGACGTGCATATTTAATTATAGCATTTTCTTTAAACAAGATCAGAGAAAGAATGTCGATCATTGAATCAATGAAATTGCTGCGATTTCTATGTTCAACAAGTTTTATCTTTCATTGGATTATTTGTGAAGTGTCGAGTTTCACATGTAATAAATAAATAAGCAAATATTGACTATAATGAGTGAGTTTTAATTGAACAAATGTGTTTGAATGCTGATCTGGTTATCATTATTTGATTATCATGAATATCAAATCACCTACATAAGACGAGATGTGTAAACATGAATTGAAATGCAATATTTGAATTGTTTAAGAGAAGTTAATGTTTTCAACAAGCAACTTAAAGATCTTAATGTATTAATACTACTTTTCAACCTATTTACTAATACAATTTATTTCTTGATTCCTTTTTTTCTCTCCCTCTCTTGCTCGAAAATGCAAATTCTTTAACAATTTCTTGGAAGCAAGTAAAACATTCATTGACTTTTAACAGATAAGATTCCGTTATGGCATTAAAACGATTTAAAAGAGAAGAAAGTCATTCAGAGCAAGAGATCTTTACATTCAAACGTCATCGATTATATTAATTAGATTGACTATTAAGTACTTTGTTTCTTTAATCACATGTAAGTTGAAGAAGAAATGAATTTTTGAACAGTTAACTGAAGGAAATTTCACTGCTTGTTTCAACGATTAACAAGACATAAACTTTGAGATGATTTCATTACGAAGTTATGCATTCGATTGTCCAAGGCTTCGTTGAAAGCTTTTTCTTCGTTTGTGTTTTTATTTCTGAAAGTTTCCATTCATCTTCGTCTTTAGGTTTTCACAGTCTCACTTGTTAATTTATTGTCTCATTGAAAATCCACAATATAGAATTAATTATTTATTTCGTAACAACAAACTGCAAACCTAAGACATCTCGAATTGAATTGGTCAATAAATAAAAAGAGCCGTCAGCATTTAATTCGTCATAAATTTACAATTTGAAGTGCCCTCAAAACAATTTTAAACACAGTTCGAGAGCCGCAACATAATGAAAATCAATAAAGAGGAAAAAACCGTAAGAAATTTTTTTTTTCTTGTTTTCTTTTGTTCGCGTTCATCGACGTGTTTCGATCTAAACTCATCATCAGCAACAATGAATGTGCATCAATTCAATAAACTAATTTACGAAGGAACTTAGATAACAATTAAATTGCTTACTTCTGTTGAGCATAGCAAGATTCTTCGTCTTTTAAATAAATAAAAAGCCTTCGTGGAACATTAAAGTTGGATTATTCACACGTAAGTTGCGTCAATTATTTTAGTGGTGGCGCTTGCAATGTTGAAAGGAAAAAAGTACAATGCGCTTCAAGTTACTGCTACTGCCTCAATGTCAAATTCCGATTTTGTAAGTTTTCATTAAACCAACGCTTCTGCGGTGCAGTGTCTCGGATAAAGTTTAATTAACATTCTTTCCACAGAATCGAAGATTTGATCAATGTCTTGGAATTTACTACACTTTGATATCTTGATCAGCAATCATGGGTTAAAAACAAGATTTTCAATGCAGCTTCAGTGTATAGTTTTCGCAACGATCTCGTTGTAGTTGAAATAACAAAAGCAAGATCAGAAAAGTTGTTCGAGTTGTTTAGAAATTTAATTGAAGCTTCAGCTATGCACAACAGTAAGAGTATTAAGATCATTAATAATCTGATGGAAATCGTATCAAAAGTCGATCGATATTAACTGGTTAAACGAATAGTTAAAGCAATATGATAAGAAGTGAATGCATAAACAGAAGAAACTTATAAGAATTAAAATCACATTTAATTTCACTTTTTCAACCATTCAAATGCTACAGTGATGGAAAAAATTTCTCAACAAAATACTTCTAATACTTATGAAGAAGTTTCATGAGACGAATCGATTTTCCTTCTCGATTACAAAAACAATTTCACGGCTGGAAAAGCATTTTTGATGAAGGCAAAGATATTATTTAGAAGGCAACATGAAAAAACTTCTCCATGGCAAATATTTAAAAAAAATATAACAAAAACTACGATGAAGACACATCGATAGAGTGAAAATAATAATTCCGCTCGATTTCCACAAATTCTTACCAGACACGAATGATCCGTAAATCATTTTTCATGTAACGATTTCAATCATTTGAATATAAATTCAATAACGAAGATATGACGACATTTATGTGCTTATACCCTTGGGTAAAAAAAAAGAAAACTGCAAATGTTCATTTTCCACCATTTATGATGTCAATTGAATGCCAAGCAAAATTTTTATCTGCAATGTTACATAATCCATCGCAATTTTAAGTTTCCATTCACATCTTTAACCTACATTAGTTGAAAAGCTTTTATTTTTGTTTAATCAGTGTTTTCATCAAAATATCACAAAGTCGAGAGTTAATTGCATACATGAATAATAAATGAGAAAGTAAATGAAAATGAAAAAAGAAAGAAAAGAAACATTTTCTTGTCATTTTCTTTAGGGTCAACGACTTTTTAAGTTGAAAACAAAAACAAACAAATGAAAGAAGAAAAAGTTACGTCACGTTTTCGTTTCGTTTTCACTAGAAATCGATCGACGATGATTTTCAAATACTTGACTTTGACTAAACGAAAGAACAAATTCGGTCATCGAAACTGTCACGTTTCAAATATCTCACCAAATGTTGGCGCTTTTAAATTCGACATCGTCTCGAGACTTTTGTTTTTCTTGAACATTCGTACTGAGTAATTTATTTATTTAAACGCATATAAATTATTTTGCCCATAAATGGGAATCTCGACTGACAACAAGGTTGCTGGGGGATTTGAAGAAAAGTCATGGCGAAGGTAAACGGATCGATTGATCGATAGCAGTCACAGCACGATTTCTGAACGAATAACAAAAGTGATCTGATGGAAAAGGGCGAAAAGGAATTTTATGTTAATTCTTCCGGTTAAACTGCGGCGACGTTCCAATGTCATTTGAAGACGGCCTCTATTAAAAAAGTAGCTTTTCCTTCTTAACTATGTCACCAATGGTGATTTAATTTACACAGATTCTCACTTAAATTGCGATTTTCTGCCGATCAGCAACAAGAATTTACACCGCAAATTTATTTTCCATAAAACAATGCTAATTAGTAATGAAACGCCCACGCGACAAGCTCATCATCCGAGAAACTTCTTCGTGGCACACATTTTCTAAAAGTTCTTCGTTGTTCATTCAACAACAATTCTTAATTTGGAATCGCTATAAATTGCGTACAAGTTTCTTATTTAAGAGTAAGATGTGTCGAATGGAGTTGATGGTGAAAATGAAAACAAACAAGCTGCGCAGATCACCCCTTCAAATAGATGGTGTCATTCGTCAAGAGTCTATTTATGTAGCCTACAATTCATCAAGCACTTTAGAAGATTACTCACTCGAAATGTACACAAAACACGTCACGTTGACTCATACCAAACAAGCAATAAATTCTTGTTATTTCACTGATATCGGAATTCAACATGAAAAACGAAAACAAAGCACACACAAAATGCGTTCGAAGGTAGACAAAAGAAATGAAAATGAGGGCATTCTATGTACATGTCACGGTTTATTAATTTAAAGCTTCAATATCGAGAGTGATTTACCGAAATAAAGTTGAAAAATAAAGAAGAAGCAGAAAGTAAAGAAAGGAAATCCATCAAAGTCGACTTTCATGCTTTGGTTTCGGATTTTGAAAAATCGGAAAGCATGAAAAGCTTTAAAATAATATTTTTTTTATCGATTTTCTTCTCGGTAAGAGCGCGACTACCTGGCAGAAGTTGCTTTCATTACTTTTAGTAATTTACATATTTTTGTAATGACCTACAAACATTCTTCATTTGGTCGACTTTTTTTTATTATTCTTATTAGCAAAATAAATATCTGGAACAGTCCATGAATATGCAGAACTTTAAATAATTGTAAATATATAATCCACTTGTCAACCACAACCAGTCAATGTCAAATATGGATGTTGTTTATATCCGAATCAAACCGATTAACAAATGAAACCAATCATCTGGTTGGTGCGCGCCAATTTGTTCTACCAACCGCCAATGTGACTTTGATGTACTGAATGAATTTTTTTGTGTGTCGCAAATACTCCCACGCATCTTTAATCCGAATCGAATAGCTTAATTAAGTTATCTTATTGAATATTTCGATTTGAAATGCGTTTTCTAATTTTTTTTCCTTAAATTTTGTGCTTTTTCAATTGACGTTCTCTGTGCGCTTAAAGTGATTAACAAGTTGTGCTGAAGGATCGACAATACCATAAATTTCACCTTGTTTCCTTCAGATTTTGATGGCGTCGTCGATCAGACAACTTCACACTTTACAGACGCAATTTTATTTATTTATCTCTCCTTCAACGAATTTCAAAATGCAGATGAAATAATTTTATGGCTCGGATTAAAAACTTTCTTGCCACCTTCTGTCGACTCTCCACCCCCGTTCAATCGTTAATTTACTTTAGCAAATATAAAAGTTGTTTTGATGGACTTAAATACTTTAACTTGTCTTTTAATCGCTTCTTTCAAAATTAATATTTTAAAATATAAATTAAGACATTTCTTAAGTTTCAAATTGAATTAGATATTCAATAACTGGAAATAATTCTTAACGATTTCTGACATAAACTACAAATTATTTGAATAAGCGATTACTTTAATTAAATATCTGTAGATTGAACCAAATAAGGAAGTAACGACCTTCATCTAAAAAAAAAATCATTTATCGTGATCAAAACAGAAATGTGCTGACTGTTGATTCATTCTGACGAGTGAAAATTTAATTTCCAGCAACAAAATTTATTACAAAATGCCCAGTAAGGTTCGCTTGCACATTTTTGGAAGTTCTCATTGCATTGTGAATAAGAGACAAGCCCAAAAATGATACTTTTTGTTTTTGTTGTGATCTCAATTGATGGAAATATCGCGTTAGTTGCTTATATATTTAGTGTGCATTTCAATGTGATTGTGTATGATTCTGATGCGCAATATTCAACATACCTGCGATGAATTGCTGTTGAAACGATTTCTCAAAGTGACGATATCGTCATCATCAGTAAAATCTGAAAATCTCCTCGAACCTCTTCGTGAGTCAAGCGAATCAACAGAAATGCGACGTGGCATGTTTTTAAATGTTGTGATCGGTGTACGTCGTCCATTGCCACCACTCGAAGAGTCACTGTTACTTAATAAATCAACTTCCATCTTATTGTTACCATTCTGAGACATTTCCTTCTCAATGTAGTCAAACGACAATCGCTTGATGATTTCTTTCAAGTCGTCTTCGTCATGCTTTTTGTTCTTCAAGATCGAATGCAATTCCTTCTTTGGTTCAGGACTGCTTCCACTGCTGCTTCCATTAGCATAATCACGTTTGAAGATTTTCTCAGAAGTCGACAATGACTGTTTCTTGTCCAAGTTACTGTTTCCATTATAGTTGTGAAAATGATTTACATTCCAGCTTGAAGATGATCTACGATCGCCGCCATTATTTTTACCATTCAAACTTTGCGATGATGTACGCAACATGTTCGGGAAGTTCGAAGGATGTTCCATGCCTTTGAACAAGCGATTATTCCAATTTTCATGCAATGGACTTTTCTTTCCGTTTGATGTCTTCACATTATCAATTATCGGCATACTTTCTCGTCTCGGACGATTAAAAACTTCACGCTCGACAGCACCACGACTAAATCCATTGCCATTTGGTGTCACACTCCTTTCAACAAGTTCAGTGAACGATGCAATTGAATTTCGATTCTTCTTACGAAAGTTTTCGTTCAATTTTTCAGTTGAACAGAAGGAATTTCGTTTTCCTTCAACACTTGACGCTGTTGACCCTTTCCTAGAGAGATTCTTTGTCGAATCCATACTACCACGTCGTGTCAAAGACAATCCATGAACGTCACAATTTTTATCTTTCTTTAATTCAAGTGTAACAACATGCGGTGGATCAGCTGAATGTGCACGAAAAATTGCATCAATTTGCTTTAACTGCGATTCGATTACGCGACTACTACGACGTGACATGACTCGCTTTAAACTTTTCTTTATAATTTCACTTTTTTTATATATTTTAATCAGTTAAAATGAAAATTTCGAGACAATTTTTTTCTTTTTTTCCTTTCCTAATCATTCAACCGTTTAATAATCGACACAGTAGATTAATTAAAGTTAGACGACGAGAGATTAAAATTTTCGATGTTGCTTTCACCAACAGAATAATTCGACTGAGAAATATTGACAAATGTTTAGGCGACGATAGTTTGAATTCTGATTCATCCCGTTCTTCATATAAGTATTTAAATTTTATTACAAACATTCGCAGTTCGCACACAAATGCGAGCTTTTGGGGTAGCCAACGTTTCGATATTGTAGGACGATGATCACATATCATTGATATTCATTCATAAACAAGTGACGCTATACATCGGGCAGCACTCGAGAAAAGATATCGAGCCGACTTCGTCACGTTGGCTCTATAAGGAGAAGAAAAATTCATTCAAGGTGATCCGCAACTGAATCGTAACTTCGTGCTTTATACGACAACATTTATCTCAAATTAAATTTAATTTTATAGCGAAATTGTTTCTTAAATGGCAGAGTTTGAAGTTCAACATAAATTCAATAATTTCAGACAATCAAAAAGGGTAAAGAGAAGTTTTGTTTAAGTAATTACACGACTCGTTTTGAAACAAGTGCATGGAGAATTTTAAAATACTTAATAATGATTAAGAGGGAAGCGAATTCCGTCTTGAAACTGTTTACTGTCTGACGGAAAGTTCAACGTACTAACGTATCACGATTGTCACTGACAATAGGAAATCCAATTTTGGTCAAACAGTTCTTGCTTCTTGACATGGTCTGATCGTGTTTTATATTTTATGCGTTTGACAATCAGATGTTTGGAAGTTGACAAATTAGTAAACACAAGTTTGACTTGACGAGATTTTCGAGGTAAATCTTATGACGCTTAGTTTGTTTTACAAACAATCAAACGATTCTCAGTGGGCTGCGGTTTAACTTTCTTCTGTCAATCAAGCGTTCGTTTCTCCACGAAAAGTAATAAAGCAATCTGTTTGTTGTCACCAAAAAAAGGCTTCGAAATGTTGTTGAAGAAGATTATCAAATCAACTCAAAGTTTCAAATTGTTTTCGAGTGATTTCAAAAACTGTCAAAGGATTGTAACACTCAACGAAATGCCAATACCCAAAGGAGATTTTTTCTTTCTTCATGCATCACGTGAACGCAAATACAACTCGATTTTATTAGTAGGAATTGCAATGGTCACCTCCGCTATTTATTTCTATCGCCAAAGCAACATTAAATTCAATTTTTCACCACCGGAAACTTACGAAATGGACAAATAAAAATCATTAAGAAGCAAATCAGAAGAAACAGTTAATTGTACATAAAAGGAAACTTTGCCTGATTTGTAGCTCAATTTCTAAGTTTTTTCTATCCAAATCGAATTTCTTTTGTTCGACAATATTTAAACAACGCCAACGAGAGTAAATAAAATGCAAATTGTGATTAATTAAAAACATCGTTTCGATGCTAATCCTAACTTTATGTCCAAACACAAAAATCTCGTTTTCATTTTGTTAACGACTTTTTTTCTGTACGATTTCTCTTGTCATTTAAATATCGATGAATTAAGGATTTAAAATGGTTAATATGAGTGAAATTCACATCGCGACAATATCCTAAAATTTAGTCCCTGTCAAGTATTATCGCGATGTTAATTCAACACTCTTTTGTATAACTTTTTAAACAAAAACAATCGATAAACTTTGTTGAATGAATTATTTATGTGCACACCTCAAAAATGAAGAATTCTCCTTACCAGAAATCGATGGCGTTCATGAAGCAACGGATGAAGTCGTTTCGAACCGAACTTTATAAAAATAAACGAACATTGGAAAGGAAAGCATGTTGCAAATCATTCAATTTAATACTTAATTATCATACAATGCTTTTTTCACCTTTTTCATGATTGTGGCTTGCCTTACAAGATAAGCCGCAACACGATTCTTTTATTCACTTCTCTTTTATCCACAAAACGTTGTCAACCAATTGCAATAATTTTTCTGCTTTTTGCTTTCAATTAAAAGCAGCTGAGAATCAACTCCACGCTAGTTAGATACTTAGATGCAATTAAATGAAATATGATTTCTCGCTGGAATCTCTCAAAGCTTGTCCCGCTGGTGTTGGGGAGCTTACAAATGACTATAAAACTGTTTTTTTGAATATTTATGACTCGTAAGTGAGCTTGCGAATGAACGCTGTTGAGCTGATTGCTAAATAATTTAATTAGAATTTTTAACACACTGAATAATGAGTTTCGTTTCGCTTTTTATTGTGTTTGGAGATTCTTTGTTTGCCGGCTTCACTCGGCTTGTTGCTCGGTTACTTACTGTAACCGCAATTGTTTGAGATCAAGTTGCTCTCATTGAGAGATATTTTGATTATTATCTGATGTTATGCGCAATTAGCGCATGAATGTTAATGAATATTTTTCATCTATGTAAGTATTAGAAGCTCAGATATTCCGAGATATGAAAACAAAAACTTCACAGTTGAAGTTGAAGTTGAAATTGATATGTGAATGTTACAAGTTCAAAATCGTAAGAGAATTCACTGTCGTTGTCAATGAAACTTAATTGTCATTGCCACCCACAAACTTCAATTGATGAGACGTGACAGCGATAAAGCTCACAACAATGAATTAATAATTGCATAACTGAACGCTTTAATGGCATTCTTCTGTTATACTTTCATCAAACTATCCAACTAAGAATGGAGTGTCATTAATGAAATTCTTAACAATTCATTTTTCCTTATAAGTTTGCTAATTTGCTATCAAGAAAGCATTGCACTGTTATTATTTTCTTTCTTTTTTTGATGGTGAATTTATGTTTGTATTGTGAGGCTGATAGGCGAAGTGAAGTAAGTGAAGAAAGAGAGAAAAATAAGGAAAACTAGTTTATGTCACATACAAAGTAGAAGATATTGGGACGAACGAACCAGCTTTAGAAGAAATTAGAGCGAATTTCCAACGGATCATTTTACATAAATAAATGTTGAATCTTTATGTTTGTTTAACATTTAAATGCTTGCAAGAATATTGCGTTCTCAATAGTTTTCCGTGTAATTTTTTGCAATCAAATCTTGAAGTTAAATTGAATTAAGAAAATGACTGACTTGTCATAAATAAATAATTCAGTCACTTAACGCTAATCAAATATCATCACAATGTCTCATTATAAGCAATCATTTGTCAAAACTTCACATGAGAATTTCCATTTTTGTTCTTTTTTCCTGACTTATCCTTCAAACTCCCCCAACTTCAACAATTTCAATCGCGAAAAGTGACTGCTCGATGAATTATCGTTTCGCATTTGAATATTTTTTATTTCTAACATTTTCCGACGAGGTGCTTGCTTTAGATTGCATTTGGGTGTTTGAATAATGAGCATAGAGAACTTGCGCGACTGTTATGGTTTCTCGTGATTCTACATTTAAGTTTTTTTTTAACTTTGTCAATCAAACTTTATAACTTAACTCACTTTGACTTTCAATTAGTATCATTTCATTAGCTTCACGTTTCACACATAATAATCGATTAACTCACCGACTCATTCTCGATAAATCCTTGCTTTTCTATCACCCCCAACTCACTATAACCATTTGCCGCTTTTGTTGAGCTGCTTTCGTATGAAATAAAAAAATAAAATATTAAAATAAAAAACAAAACGATTTGTGACATTTTAAAATTTACCTTTTGCCACCCATTTGTCCACCCACCGTTGAACTGTCTTTGATAATTTTCTGTTTCTGTTGAAATTTCTCGAAAAGCTCACCACCACCGCCAGTATCGGGAGCTTGCCTCGCCGAAGCATCAATGTGACTGCGAATACGAGAAGAACATTAAAGAATTATTCAATATCGAAGGAATCTTATGTTTCTAGTCTTTGACTATTTCCTCGTTTCTTAGACTGACTGAAACTGCATAAACAGCATTGACCCGATTGCGAAAAAAGAAAAACATGATTTTCAACTGGGGGTTTGTGCTTAAATTTTGTAACCATCGTATGCTTCAATGCTTTTCATAAATAATAAGATTAATTATTGAAATTAAAAGAAAACGTGGAGGAAATGATGATTGTCACTTTCGCACGTGACTTGCCCCAACCCACAAAGAATTGTAAATAATAACGCAAGTAAACTTAATAGAACAAATTCTTTTCTATCTCACTTGTTGCCCGCTCGTACTGGTAAATCTTGTTTAACTTCTTGATGTTGCTGTTGCATCATGTGGTGTATTGGTGGGCTTTGTATCGGTATATTTGGTAGATGATGAGGCGCTTGTTGGTAATGATTAGGTGGTGTTGGTTCTGCTTCGCTATAAGATGAATTTTGTGCTATTATGACGCGGTCATTGAGAGAATCGCGACGAGAACTTTTTGCTGTTGAAGTGTTGGGACTATCTTTATCTAATGGAGAAATTAGATTAGGTGAATGTCATGCCATCATTGTTTTTTTGTAATAAAGCTTACTCATGACTGGTTCCGGTGATTTTGAATTTACCGATGCAATTTCATCTATCGACGGTAGGACTTGTGGCTGTGAAAAACAAGAATCAAATTAACATAACATTCGATGCTCTAAAAGATGCATTGATTATCATTAATGAAACTCACTTGAAATTCATTGAAATTGTTACTTATAAAAACATCATTTTCGCTCTCAAAAAGACGATCTACACTTGACGTCATCATTTTTCCAGAACATGGCTTAATTCCAGTGAGATGAAAACTTGCAAAACTTGAACGAGACATTCCAAAAGTTTCTTCACCATTACGCTTCGGATCTGTATAAGAGAGAGGAAGAAAGAATTTTGCATTGTAGAAAAATCGGCATAAAATCTTAGTTTAATTAAAAAATATATAAAACGCCCCTGAAAGTTATGCAATCTGCGACACTTTCATATTTTTAAATCTTTTGAAACCGTTATAACAAAACAATAAATAAGCGAAAGGAATTCATCTTAATTAAAATTTCATCTTGAGTTGCTTACTATAAACGCCGTTAATAAGTAGAAGAAACATTAAAAACAATTAGGGAACAACAGTGCATCACTTAATTAAATTAATCAAGAAGGCAATTAGAATGTTTACGAAGTGAAATAAAATCTTTCTTATTCAAGATCATGAATCATGATAAACGAAAATTTATTTATTTAGCAAGCATTAAATGATGTAATGAGTAAATGTAGTAAAGAAAAAAAAACGACACTTTCTACTAATTGCGATAAAAGAACAACACATTTATCTCTCCATAATTCAAAACATTTGGCGTTCGTTTTGATGTAAGCAATAAAGCATTACATTACATTCCAAACCGTGGTATGTCTGCAAATTCCTGTGAAATTGCTACTGAATTTATTTTCTTTTTTTTCTATTTCACTTTGGTGAAGAAAGAGAGGAGGTTGGTTAAAACGGTTCAAACAATAACACATGGCGCGAGGCAATTATCGGGTTTCTATCATCCAATCTAATCTTTCCTCATTTCTCATTTATTCACAAATTACTTTTGGCAAACGCCTTCTTCTTCATTCTATACGTCTCATCACTTTCACATTAAAAACATAAATCTTGGCCAAATCAATCATCAAAGTTTTTGTTATTGAAAAAAAAAGTTTAGCAATGCAAATTTGCATTCAAGCGAATTTTGTTTGGATTTTGCAAGAAGTGGAAATTGTCATTTTATGACTTGACTGTTGGTGGCTAAATATTATTTATTTTAAATAAAGCGAAGGTGGTTGGCTTAAAGTGGGATTATCCTTGAGTTTTGTGACAAATTTATTGACAATTCACGATTATTTAAATCTTTCTTCTCCGTTTTGTTTTGAGTCTAATGCTAATGATCTTTGACCTCTTCCACCCACGGATATCTAATAAATATCATTTATGAAATAACCCCATTAGACTAATTCTAATATCTTTCTTCTCCTCGTAAACCTTCTTAATTAAAACCGAACTCGATATGCTTTATAAACAGCAACACACATTTAAAGCTTCCCTCAAGATATTAAGCAATGTTGTTGTTGTTGTTTTCGCTATTGCTGCACATGTTTTTATAGTTTTTTGTTTCTTTTGGTTTCAAACTTCCACCTACGCTTCATAACCAATGTCTAAAGCCAAAACAAGATGAAAAATGATTACTCACCAAGTACTGAAGAGACGGTCGCATCAAATGACGGCATCAAAGATCTTGTCATGATATCGGCAGCTGATCGTGGTCTAGTAAATGGCATAACGGAATGAGGAAAGATTTTAGGCTTAATTGGTGTCATCAGCATATGTTCTGTCCAACTTGCTTCCAAATCCGGTTTAGATAAACGTTCGACATCGACATTTAATGTTTTCTGTTCAAATGGAATGCCAAAGACATCAGTTGGAATCGACTGCAACCAACTTAAAAGTGACAAGTCTGAGTCAGTGAAGCCATTGTTGTTATCAAGCACTTTACAAAAGTTTATTTCATTTTTTGTTTCACTACTCGTGCCATTATTGATGGCACTTGTACCGCCAGTTGCTTTTGTCTGGCAATAATTCACACACGATTCATAAAGTAAGCCTTTTATCACCAACTGAATTAAACGATCATTTTTTGCACACATATTAACTTGAGTTGTTTTCTTGTCACTGGGAAGGAATTTCTCGACTAAAGGAAACACTTCTTTGAAACATTGAACACGAGCTTTACTAGGATTCCAGTCCTTGTATGAGAGATGATCACTGAGACGAGGCAACGTGAGAAGGAGACAAAGCCCCGAATATTCTTCTTTTGATGGTGCGAATTTCTCTAAGAGAGAAAGCACTTGAACCACTTCTTCAACTGCCCCTTCAACCGTTGATTGGCCGCCGATTGTAATTCCACCAGCTTCTGATCTTATACATAAGAGTTCAATGTACTTATGTCGTAGAATTGTGTACTTAAATAGCTTCATATCAAATAAGCTGAGCGCTTCAAGTGGCTGAATGAACTCGAGCACATCGTCCCATTGCCCATCAAGCACCAATTGCCGTAGAAATAAAACATCATCGGAATAAATTCCATTAATAACGCCAGTTTCACGCTCTAAAGACAATTGCGAAATGTGAAGTTCACGATTGGAAAGAAATTCCAAAGAGATTCTTATGATGTCCTCTTCGCGAAGTGCTAAGCGCGAATTAAGCGACATTGCTTTGCTTTTTTTTTCTTTCTTTTGCTTACTGTTCTAAACACTTTTTTATATTCTTCTTGCTTTTATCTTTCAATTGCACCTTTAACGAGAAGAAAAAAGAAGGCAAAAATAAAGTAAAACAACTGTAGCACGAACGATCTGCAGAGAGCCGAAGAAGAAATAAAACTGAGGTAAGCACAAAATAAAGTAAAATAAAAATGTGTAGTAATAGTTTTGCGGGGCATTGATATTTTGTACAACATGAAAACACGATTATTCTTATTATTTATTCGTCTATTTCGTGTGTGCTACATATGGAATCGAGCTTTTTACTTCCAAAATTGCTCGCAGCATAATTCCATGCAACATTCGATGCTTTTCCAAAACACGACGATGAGAAAAAGAGCGCAATGAGTGAGCGCATTGCTTTTATTTATAATGTTTTAAAAAAGAAATGCAGAGAGATAAGAAAATACGTTCACTAGCTTCGGTCGAGATTTGAGATGATAACAGAATAGTTTCGTTATCCAATGAGCGCTCGAGTTTATTTTTTCTTCTTCGCTTCATATACATTTGTGTTTTCACGCAAAAATGAAAAATTCTAAAAGAATTTGTATGCAAACAAAATAGAAAAGAGAAAAACCAGTAAAACCACACCAGATAAATATTTTTGATAAGTAGAGTGATGTTTATATGTTGATTATTTATGGTTTGTGCTTAAATCAACATTATTTAAAGTTGTTATCTGATGCATTAACAATCATTTATTTCCGAAAGCCCACCGAAGAGTGGAAAGTAAGAATGAAAAGTGAATTATCATGGAAAAATCTCGCTTGTTCTGAATTATTTTCATTTAACTTTTCTTCTTCTCCCTCAGCTAGCTGTTGTTCATCAAAAAAAATAAAAATCGAGTAGTGCACGATGGCAAAAGAAATGTTGAAAAAAAAATCGAAAGAAAACTCAACGGCCTCTTACATTATCTCAATAATGAACAGTTAAAATCATTTATTATTCGAAGAATATTGTTAAAAATATTTTTTTCCTCTTTATAGATTTCTTGTTTTCTTTTTCTCTTTCACGATTTTTATGAATGAAAAGTTTTTCATTTTTGTGCGTTTATCGTTGGAATTCACGTTACAATTGAGAATATCTATAATGAGGTAGTCAAAGTTTCAATTAGCTGCTAACATGAAGTCAAATTTGGCGTGCATAAGTGGAGCTTTTGCTTAGTTTATTCGATTAATCATCAGTCAAATTGTTTTTCCGTCGTTGACTCACTGAATGTTTGAAAATTTAACTTTTCACAATTATTCAATAACCTTTTTTCTTAATCTTTATATTGTTCTTATGAAAAACTTACTTCTTCACAATTATTAATTAAAATATTCTTAAAAAAACATAATTAAACACAGTTTTGATCGAATTTTTATTCGCGGACACCGAGATTTGCAATTAAAATGGGTGCTTTCAATGATCTACAATCGGGAAATATTTTTTGTCAATCTGGTGTTTTAATAATAGAGACAAAATTCAGTTTAACTTCGTTTCCGAACGAATTCTCATACGTAAATAAAATGCATTTTAAGCTAAGCATTTTGTCTTACTTTCAAACCTTGAAATTTTCTCTCACTTGTCACATTCTAATTCTGAGCTTCGGTTTGTTATGGTTTTAAGAATTCGTAAACATTGAAGTAAAAATTATTAATTTTGTGATATTATTTAATTAAAATGAACATGTATCTCGTTATTGATAGAAGATTTGTAGCATTTATGTTTGTTTCATTGATCACAAATCATATAAAATACAGTGAAACAGGTGAGAAAGTTGAAATTCTTGTAAAAAAATATTAAACAGAATAATTTTTTTTTATACAGCAATTAATAACAACATGGAGAGTAATTCAAAGTCACTAAAACAGAATCAATCATCCTCAGACAATTTTCTGCAAGCTAGTCATGACGACGTAAATTTTTTTACTTAATTTTTTTTTATTGTCTTCAATTTCATTTCTTTTTCTTAAAAGGATAAAACATTCGATCCAAATCAATGTGGACTACCAAAAGGACATCCGTTAATGGAATGTTCAGCATTAAATTATCCTTGCATAAAATGTACATACGACATGTCGTGTTTGTATGGTGAATTCTCAAATGCAACATGTGACGTAAAGAACGGTGTCGAGTGTATTGGATCAAGACAATTCCAACGACAGTTCATGTGTCGATATTGTTTCTTAACTGACCAATGGGAACATGATTGCATGCAAAAAACAACATGCAACAGTGTTCAACTTCGTAAACTTCATAAGACAAACTGCACTGTGCACAACGACGTTCTTTGTCTTGGCAACCGCCATTTTGCTAAAAATATAAGATGCAATTGGACTCGAGGCTCAAAATACTTTACAGCTCTTATTTTGAGTGTAACACTTGGAGGTTTTGGTGTTGACAGATTCTACTTAGGTCATTGGCAAGAAGGAATTGGGAAACTGTTCAGTTTTGGTGGTCTTGGAGTGTGGACAGTCATCGATGCAATTCTCATATCCATTGGATTCCTTGGAACATCAGATGGAAGTTTATTGCTTTGATTCATTTAGATAATAAAGATTAGAAAAGAAAAACTCGTAATTTTTACACTTTTCAAATGATTTTTCATTTTATTTTTTCTTTCAGCTTTCTCTTTAATTTCTTCGTGGTTCCAACTTCCAAGTTTTTGTTCTTTTTTTAAATGGAAATGCCACTTAAACATAAAAGGATTTCAGAATTCTGCAAATGGGCTTACACAATCTGTTTACATTCATTTCATTAAATGTAAATATTTAACACAATAAGGAGGAAATTTTCTTTAGTTTCGCTTTACAAAATAAAGTTCAAACTCATAAAAATATCTAAAAAAATTTGCATGGAACATTTTTATTATTTGTTTGTTTGTTTCTTTTCTTATCGTCATTTCTTAAGTTATAAAATTCTTCGGTTGCGCAGCCTTTGATCCAATCCATATTTTTAATCAAGACTTTTGACATTCATGCTTTGTTGGCTTACTTAAATATCTAATGAACTCGCACATTCATAATTTATTTAAATATTTATGAAAGATCTTCTACAATAAAAACAATTGAGTGTCAAAAATCTGAAATGAATCAAAAACTTTAAGGAAAAAAATTTTAAAAATAAAAAGTTTAATCATAAAATTTTAAGTTGTTGTCTGTTCAGCTCAAATTTCATCATCCATCAATTATTTATTTATTTTTTTTGTGCACAATCAAAATTTTTGTTAGCTGATAAATCATCTAGGATTATCAACTGTTCCCCCATCGTTTCATTTACTTTAAGATATCACAAACACATTGTAAATATTTTCTTTTTTATTTTTCATCATTTTTAATTCTTTTAAGTTGAAACTTTTTTTTTTAATTTTAATGTGAATTTTTCATGCAATCCATAACTTAATGCAATTCATCATCCTATGCTCAGAAATGTTTTTTTTTATTTCTTTAAACTTTAAAGTTTGAATAGATAATTTTTTTCTTCTTAAGATTTGTTCAATGACGTTTACAATTAATTTCTTAAGATTAAGAAATCAAGAAGATTTTTGTTCTTACAAAGTAAAGAATTTTGATTTAAAGAAAGAGTGAAAACAAAACTCTTTTCTTTTTATTTTTAAATTGTCGTCTAATGAATGATAAAATGTCAGCTTCGTGTGGGAGAAAAGTTTACGACAAGCTGAAGTCGTTGAAAGAAAGACAGTAAAATGTATTTTATGTTTAAGAATTACTCTTGGTGCTGTCCATCTTCTTGATGTAATCAATTGGATTCTTAATCGCATTCACAAAATCAAATTGCTTTTGTAGCTGATGATTGATAGTTCGAACCCACTCGTTGTGAAGTTCAACAGTTGGCGACACACATATGAAACTAATACCAGAACGTTGTGGATCCGTCGAGCATATTAAAAACTTCTTTCCCGTTGAATCTTCAATATCTTGCAATGTCATTTTATTCACCTGAAATTTATGGTATAATTAATTGTGAATGTTGACTAGAAACCAACGAATGACTCACCTGTATATGCGATTTATAAATATATGAAGGATTTGTGAATTGCGTCTTCTTCCCGATGATATCGGAGAAGATGATGTTCTGTTCGAACAAGAACACTTGAAGTTCCTTTGGCTTTTGCATTGAGCTTGAATTACGCTCGGTATTAATGCATTCAATACAGAAAAGTGTGCCATGAAGCAGAAGTTTTCCTTGTGACGTTATTTTTCCTTCAAACTTCTGAAGGCGACCAACATCCATCATGTCATTGGCAGCTTTTGGAACAACCTGAAAATATTTAAAATCATTTCATGCTCTTTTTCGCACTTTCTTTTAACTCACTCTCATGATATTCAAAGCTCGCTCAAGCTCTTCAGCTTCTTCAATCAGTCCAGCTCGCTTTGTGTGCTTGAGAATATCTTTAATAAGCAGTTCGTATTTCATTATTCTTTGTACTGGTTTTATGAGCAAATCGCAGAGCTAAATATTGAGAAAAAGAATTAAAATTTAGTAACAAAAAACTTAACTTTTTAATATTAAAATACTGACCAGTAATTTATGCTTTAATTTCTGTCGAATCTCATCAAAATATCCCAAATGTTCAGCGACAATATGTTCTGACACTGGCTTATTTTGACAATAAACAACATACATGTGTAGTTTACGTTCGCTACGTTTAATGATTGCGCTCAACTCGGAGGGATTTTGAATGCAATTGTGAAGTGTTTTGAGGAAAATGCTTTTGAAATGAAAAAGAAATTTATTAATTGTTCGAATTGATTTAAAATAGAAAACTTACTCTCTATGCCATTCATAAATGGCCTCAATGTTGCCAAATACCATTCGCTCTTTACCGCCTTTCAAGTCCTCGGGCATTGGAATATCACTGTTGGGATTTCTGATTTCGGCAATGTAGCTAAAGATAAAAATGGAGACGAAAAAAAATGCATCAGTAAAAGCTCTTTTTGACTTAATCTTAAGCTTTGTAAATATAAAATTCACAGAAGAGTACTCACCCATTAACAATTAATGATAAGTCCTGAACATACGACTCTTCGGTACTAACAAGCTCCTTAAGAGCAAACATTCGTTTCCTCAAAATATCATCAATGGAAATGGTAGAATCATTGCCATAGTTCTGTAATGAATATTGGACCAAATGGAATGTTTAAAGATAAGATAAATAAAGAAAGCTTTCCAACTTACATCTTCATTCTCTGAAACTTGAGGCGATAAGGATTGTGGATGCTTTAGACTAGCTTCGTGTTTTTCCTGCGATAACAAATAACAAGAAAAAATATTAAAGTTTCTTCCATTTCTTTTAAGAAATAAGCATAAAAAAGAGTTTACCATTTTTTCTTTTACAATTTGTTCAATTTCAGCCAAATCACTCTCGTCAAGTGCTTTACTGTTGGATGGATTGGTCGTTTGTATGCAATTATCGTCACCGACAATTTGTGATGGATCTTGAATGGGTTTCATAGGCGGTGGCAGCTCAAGGCACTCGAGCGCATCTTCAACTTCTTCTGTTGGATGACTTTGAATTGAGTTGGAGAAGGTTGAAGATGGTCCGGGTAATGATGGAGCTACGACTGTCGTTGGAGCTGGTGATTCAGGTTCTTCCTTCTGTTTATCCTAAATTATCACATTTTTGTTACTCAAATAATTTTCTCTTACTTTCTATCAATGACAATTACCTTAGATTTCTTATCAGATCCTTTTTTGAGCGCTGATTTGTCTACTGGTAGCTTATCGGTTTTACTATGTGATAATTTCCTTAATTGTTGTGGTAGCCACTTTTTACTGCAAATGACACGATTGAAAGAAGGAAAAAGTTTTTATTAAATATTTTCAAAAGCAATTACGATAAAGATGAAAGTTTATGACCGAATGTTACTACTTAAAGCTTGAAACTTTTCCATTCTGCAACATGTTTTATCAAATTAACGTTTGCCAAAAAAAAAAAAAACGTTCACAAATCAGATGAGCGGACATAAAATGCATAATAATTCTTTTTATGACTCGCTGTCTTGGTCATGGGGACAAAGTGAGAGCTACAGAACCAAATGTGTGCTTCTACGTTAAATAATTTTCATGCTCCAGTTTGCTGGCAATGTTCGTGAAAATAGGACACGCAAGTAATTAAAATGCAATCCAACATTATGAAATTTTTATTACAAGCAAACACCGCTGTTTGAAGTTGATGTATTTTTCATGTTTTTGAAGGAATTCTGTTGGGAATGACAAGGCTTAATAATATTTTAAACAACTAAACTTTATAATGACCAAGTTCATCTCGTCAAAGCTTTTAATTTTTTTCTTCTTTTAAAATTTGATGACTAATTAAGTAACGAACTATTCCAACATTGCTTTCCACACCCTAGATGAACGCAATAAAGCTTAAAAATAAAAACTTTCAAACTAAGAAAATAAATTTACATGAAAAGTTTAGCAAAGTTTTTCCGGTGAAATGGGAAATTTTAGGTGACGGCTTTTGATAACGTTCAATTAAAAAAAAATTAATTTTCAAAGTTTTGGCCCAGTTTTCTAAACAATAAAAGCTTTTGAGGTCAAATTTATAGTCGAATTCATGGCCTTCGTTTCTCTCTTTATTCTTCCTCTCTCTTTTCCTCAATAATCTTAATCACAAGTTTCAGAAAAGTTTCTTATTTTTCTTTTTTGATTACGCTGCCATAAGAAGAAATTTCTAGAGGAAAACAACAAAAAAAGGCTTAGAAAGTTTCTCGCTTCAAACTTCACATCGAGAGAAAGAACTTTCTCGTTTGTTCAAATGTAAATAAAAAGAAGAAAACTTAATGTGAAGGTGGAAGATTAAAGTTCTTTCCTTCTTCATCTTCTTCTTCTTATATTTTCCATCTATTATCAAGTTTTGTAAGAAAATTCCAGAGACTCAAGTTGTTTTAACCATAATCTGATTTCCACAATTTTGATTGCATTTTAATTTTAATTGAAAACTTTTCATTTCGTTCTTCCTTTTCTGGTTTTCATATCAATCAAGCTAAAGTTAAACATGTTTATGAAGCATCAGAGCATTCAAATGACACAAAAGCGTTTTTAACAATAATAAACAAACATAAAGCAGTCTGATTCATATGATGACAACAAAACGACACTATCATGATGACACATCAGCATCAAGCATCGGTTTGGAATGCGAGTGCCACCAAATGGGAACGAAAAGCAATTTAAATGATATCCAGCCAAGTCGTCTCATTTATTGTTTTATTTTTTGTGTAGTTAAATATGAGACAATGAAGACGAATTGTTATTACAGCTTTACGATCTTGTTAATCTGCTGCGGCAAATCCAATGGCTTTTCTGCCTTTGACATAATTTTAAGTTCTCGCTTTTTTATGATTGGTTTGTAACAACATTCAAGTCACGGCCAATCTTTCCAATTTGACAACGTAGACTTATGTATTTAGGTACGACTCAAGCAAATGAAAATAATTGTATCCACCGTGAAACATCCAGAAAAGTTGAACGAAAACTTTTCCTTCTCCTTCTTTCTCTTATCAACGCGAGTGGAAAAATTAAATTACAAAACTTTGCACTTTTTTGATAAGAGAAAAAAAAACTTCTTCCTTCAACTTGGAATAAAATCACTGAATGTGCTGCAATGAAATCCTCATTACATAGACTTGAATGACTGATAACTCGCCGTAAACAAACTTCCTCTTGCAAATGTCTTTATTTGTTAATCTAATCATTCAAATGATAACAAACACGAAGTGCTTACGATAAAAACAGAAACACTTCGCTTATCAGTTCTTAAATATGAATTTCTGTCGACTAAAATTACGATTGACTGCAGTTGTTTGATTAAAAAATGATGTGCAATATACGAAACTATTTTAATTAAATAAATCAAAAGGAAAACGCTTCGTTTAATCGTCCAATTTCCGGTAAAGTTCAACTTTTTATTTGTTATCAACTACACATTTGGTTAAAACCACTAAACAGAAAAAAGCGAGCACGTTCTAAACGAAGTTTAACTAACGACTAACAAATACTTTTCTTGGTAAAATCATTGCGTGTTACTTCTTAGTGTGGGTGAGAAAGAAAATTGTCGCGTTTTTTGATAAAACTTAAATTGTATGAAATGTCAAATTGTGAAGTTCGCATTTTTGAGTCATTTTTTAAACATGAGAAAAGTTCATTTGATAAACTTACCCGCTGAATCCTTTTCGCTTGTTCACCGGCGATGTGTGATTGTTGCTAGCATCGTTGTCTTGTGACTCTGCAAAAAGAGAAAAAAATAAACAAAATTAAATTTCATCGTCATCAGGACGGTAGAGAAGAGTGGAAGCGGAAATTGTTAATTTAAAGCAAATCAACCGTAAAAATGATTTAGATAAGCAATCTTTTTGTAGATGCTTTTTTTTCAACATTCTAAATTGAAACTACTCACAAAATGATTTATTTTCAATATTAAAGTCGTAGAAGTTTATAAATGTCGCGCTTGACAATCGTAAAAATCAATCTTTGACGCTTGCGAGTCGTATTTCGTTCACTGTTTAAACGACATCAAGTGTAAGCACGTTTTTGGTCAACTGTATTAATCACAATGTGAGTCTCTACTCAACTCGCCCGTAAATCACTTGCACGATTTTCATTTCTTTCTTTCTCTCATGCGCCCTTAGCGTCTACTCAATTCAATATTTGCTAACAAACTGAATCAAATTGCTTCGAGACGGCCAAACAAAAGTTTTCAGTTGCCAAAAAAGAAAATAAATAATCAGCTCTTTTGGGAGAAGGTGAAAGTCGTCTCTCAGCATCATAGAGAAAGAAAAATTATTATTTGATGCTAGCCTCAGAGTAGCTTGTATATTGATTTCTGGTCCGATATATATAATACTTCAGCAAATGAAGGAAAATAATTAGAAAGACGCCTCGAGATCACCACAAATTTGTGAGATGATTTATGAGGTCGATGAATGTTTTGCTTCATGAATGACAGACACATGTTTGATGCTCTAATTTATAATACCTTTGAGCATCATTCGAATGTGTTTTAATGCTGTCTCAAGTCTCGACACAAATTACTGACTACTCACGCATTAATGAATCATCAATCAATTCTATTAGTTGATTATAAAACTCTCGAAGAAATATTTTTATCTTTTTCATTATAAATTTATAAATATTGAAATCCTTACAAAGTTAAATAAATAAAACTGAAGTGGGAATAAGCTAAAGCTTCTTTTTTTACTGAAATTCTTCTTGTTCAGTTTTCTTCGTAGAGTAAACTCATAGAAAAATTTACAATAAAATGAAAATTAATCAAAGAATTGAAATTTACCTTCATCGCCATCGCCCGCTCGACGACTCTTTGACATTTGTGTTGGTGGTGGCTTTAAGATCGACGATGGCACTAACCCTTCCTGTATGATCTGTTCTTGTGTTGATGATGAACTGAGTGAAGTTGTAGAAACATTGTTGTTGTTAGATGAAACATTTGTCAAGCGCACCAGACAGTAGTCAGGAGCTCCGAGACAATTTGTATCAATCACTTCCACTTGCTGCCCTTTTTGCACACTCAATTCGGCACTGCCTTGAGCGGCGACGTAATCTGATATGACCCACGTCATCTCCACGATGCCAGTCTGTGTGTAAATTAAGTAAATGTCATTAATAACTTCATGAAATATTCTCAATCGTAATAATGTAAAAGCTAAATTTGCATCATAATCAATCGAGTAACTGCGAGCCTTAAGCAAACACAATTGTTCGATCGTCGTTCGCCTCGAGTCTCGAAGTAAAATTAATTAATTACTTTCATCCTAATTGCTTATCGGACCGTTTAAATTTTCATTGTAACTGAAGAATGGTTTCGTGTTGTGTGTGGGTGGCTGGTTGGTTGGATTACAACAATAGAAATTTCTCGTTCCATAGCAATAAATGATGATCTTTAAGGCTGCCAACCCATACATTCAATTTATAAACGCAGTATGAGAATTTATTGTCATAAAAGGCTTGCTATAAACGACCATCACTGTCGGGACAATTCTTCATGTCGAGATATCGTCTAATAATGTTTTATATAGATATTAAATTACGCTTAGGAATTTTTTTCGCTTCTTCTCATTCTCCCTTCATAAATATTTTTTGCACTCATCCTTCGGACAAATGATACCGTAATTTAATATTGCTCACGCTATCATCATACATTCGATATAGTAATAATAATAATGATAGTATTTTATGTTAAAAATATTAATTTTTATATTTTGTTCAAGTTTAATCGATAATTTGACAACGACTCACATGTCGCTCTATTTCGCTTTGTTTCACAACAACGAAGAACTACCTAGGCAGGCATCACACGATGTGATGGAAATAGAAATCATTATTCAATAAACACTAATAGAAGCAATCTGGTAGTTGTGTAAGCCTTTAATCAAATCATATTTATGTGAGGTGAATAAACGTTCATTCATCTACTAAAATAAAACCTTTGGTAGCTTTGATGCTTAATTAAAGCGAGAAAATACTTTATGGAAAATTTTAATCCATTGTGGATTATATAATGTGAGGCTTGTATCGACAAATCAAATCTACAATGTTATCGCACATTATTAATAAAAATAAAAGCAAAAATAAAAATAAAGCGAGAAACCAAAGTTACATTTAACATAAAATCATAAACAAACAGCTCGCAGCTATAGCAATCTCATCGTCAAATGTCGAATGTAAGGTGTTAGCAAACATATAATTATCTTCATGATATTAACAAAGTCACTCTAATTGGAAATCAAAAACTTGAATACATTCAGAAGATGTTTAGGTGAAGAAATAATCAGTTGATGAAAATCTTTGTGACTGATTTCACTTAAAGGTGTTTACGTGTTGCTTGAGATGAAAAATTATTATAAATTTAATTTTAGCTTCTTCATTCGCTTGTCTATTGAAGAGGCTGGCGTATCATTAGATAGAAAAATTGCATTTTATAATTAGCTTCATGTTGAAAACTTCTTTAATCGCTTCTAGGAGCTTTTATTGATTTTATTAATATTCAACTGAGCTTGAACAGTCAACAGGAAGAACTTTCTGACTCACAAATCGGTCGACAACGTTCGCACTTTGTCCAATATATTTTTTTTCTATTTCAATGTAAACAAAATTTGATGGTGGGAACGTTTTTATTTTTTTTCTACGTCTTTAGGAATTTCTCATGAAAGTTGAGTAAATAAATTGTATGACGTCATGTACTCAATCGAAGTGGAAAATTAGTTGGAAAAATTCCCTAAGAGAGTTTTTCTTATACTTAGATAAGTAAAGCAGTAATTTTACGAGTCTTACTTTCGAAAGCGACAAGGCATGAGTCGAGTAATTAAAAGAAATTCGAGCTTTACGTTCCTTATGAATGCGTCGCTTTGTATCAACGTTAATAATAATTGCCTCGTTCTTATCCTTGATATTTCTCATTCGACACGATACACTTTCATAAGTATGCAAATTTCAACCCTTTTTCAGTTAAAATCATGTGTTTATGCCTGCATGGCAGTGACTTAAAGCGCTCTGTTTTACATTCTAATTTTAAATTCTCTTCTGACAAGATTTCTATTTTTCAATGACCACTTTTAATGTGCCGCTTCGTCAAATTCAACCTAAACCTTCACATACTCTTCTGAATTCTTTTTTTTTTGCGTATTAATTAGCTATTTGTTTGATGTGTTTTCCTCATGATAACTTTTTCTTATTTACACTTACTCTCGCTAGTTGCCGCAGGGCGTTGGCGTTCAAAAAATGTTTTTCTATTTATTCAATGACAACCATTTAGATTTGTTTTGGTTTCTCCTAAGATGTGACGTCTCATCTTAGCAAATCAAACTTCAATGCTTACATTCAAAATTGAACTAAAACATCACGAAAAGCGTGTCATCAACCTGCCTGCGTATTTTTTTGAAATCTTAAATATAGCTATGAAAATATGAAGATTTTTCTTTTCTTTTGAAGGTGAATTCCCAAAGAGCTCTCAGCTCATGTCGTCAACGTCGTACAATGAGAAACAGAATAAGTTCCATGTGAAAAATAAAGGCGAGTTAAATTTATGGGCTAGCTAAGAAGAGTAAAGGAAAATGAAGAAGAAAGAAAAACCAAATGACGTCATTTGTGGAAAATGAGCAATTTATGAATGGAGTCGAAACGAGAGAACGATAGATGGATGGTTAAAAAAAGATGGGCGCTGGTTGGAGCTTAAATTCAAGAAAAGGCATTAAGCAAGAAAAAAAAGTTGATAACAAGTTGCGTGAGACATTTACGAGAATGACATGAAAGTAAATTTGCTTAAGCGATGAAATTTGATAATTTTTCTAAATGAATTTTCGTTATAATTTCAAAGTTTATTCATAGAAAGGAAAAAAAACAATCCTCAGGTGTTTGTTCGCTACCCACATTGAAGAACGCAACATAAAGAGTAAATATCAAAACAACCTGTACTTTCTTGGATCCCACATAGGAACGGAACGATCCAGGAGTGTCTATGGTGTGTTGTCGTGACAAAGCAGCGTGTGACTGTTGAACACTGCTCTGACGAAACCATGGAAGTGAAATCTTACGACCACCTTTTGCTGTCTTCATTGTCAAAAGATCCATTTTAAATTTTTCTTTTTTAATTAATTATCTTTGGTTTTAAAGCGATTTAAGAAAATGAACTTAACAAAAGCTAATTATGTGCACTTATTTGGATTATGTTTCTATTAGTTTTCTAATTTTTCTTCCTTTTCTGTTTGGTTTTAATCGTTTAACTTGTTTTCCTTTCAAGGAGTGTCTTGTAAACTTGTGAGCTCATCAGCTTTGCTTATCTTTTTAACGCGCTGCGTTTAACACGAATTTTAAGCTGGGATCATAAAACTTTATTCCTCCGTTGTATTTGAGACATGAACTTTTATTGTCATAATAACATTTTGTCACTAAGCATTTGGCAAGATATTCATTGGTATGAAGTTAAGTTTTCTAATCCAACTGATGTTTTTTAATTCACATTGAGCACTGTAAATGAATTTTTATTTATTTTTTCTGTCTGTCTCTCTCTCTTCAATCGTCTTCAATTGATATTAGCAAAAATATTCACATAAAAAATTGTTTTTATTGACACTTTACAAACACCGGGGGGTTCTTTCTGTTCGTTTATTCCCTCGCGATTATCGCACAACAAATGAAGTTCTTTGCTGTCGTTTGGTGTTAATTGTTAGTTCAATTATTGAACATTGAATTATAAAAATACTTTTATACACACAATATCGACTAACTTTATGTGCGACTTCATCCAACAAGTTCTGGTGCCGACTGGTGACTGGTGTGTAAGCAAACTATTTTGGATTCGGAACGAACTTTTGTCTTCAATGTTTCGCTGTTTTTTGTGATAACAATTTTCCGGTGCGCATCGTCGCTGATTCTGCTTCTTGCCTAATGACGCATATTTTTTTTCTCATTCACACTATGACGACGAAACCGATGATATTGTGTGCTTATGCTTATACTTATAGCTTACACACCCTCGTGTTCTCTTAAAGTCTTTCTTTTTTGCAGAAACAACCGTTTCGTTCTTTTTGGGTTTCTAAAGGCAATAAAATTGATAAATTTCCACTTTAATGAGTTTTATCGATAGGAAAAAAAAAGAAAGACCTTTTCCACTCTCTTTCAGGAGAGAAAAAAATATCGAAAAAGAAGATTGATAACCAAATACAAGTCTGAAGATTCACGATCTTAAATTTGATGAATTTGCAGAAATAATTTTACGAATTTTTCACGTTGAATCTTTTGCCTTCACTTTCAACTTGAGTTTAACTTCTTATGAAGATGTTTGAGATTTAAGGATTTGGATACTTGACGTGATGATGCAATTACAAAAGCTTTTTTTCGAATAAGTTTCACTTCTATCACTGCCTTAATACCGCACGTAAAATATCCGAAAGACCAAATGCGGAGCTCATAAATTTCCTTATTAAAGTGGGATTTTGCAGAGAAATTTTAACATCATTCAGATACTCGAATATCCACTGAGATAATTCATCGTTTCTCTGTACCAGCGCCTTTCTCTGCTCTCGTCTCTCCAACTCTCGAAAATTCTCATTTCCCGTTTTAATGTTTCGTCTTTTCTTCCTTTTCTTCGCTCACCGGGTGGAAGCAGAAGAAAAAAACGAACACAAGAAGAAGCTTCGAAAATCCTTTTTCACTTTTAAGAAATGATAGAAATTGCTTCCATTTCACTAAGTATTGTCCAAAGTCTAACTTAATCCAACGATGCTAACAAAGAAAAATAATTTCATTCCTCACAAAAAATCTTCAATTAACGTTCACCGACTTATTTATTATTTTTGTTACTTTTTAACTTCTTTTTGACATCCGACAAAATCGTGTCTGTGGTGAATCTTCTGGATTTGTCAGCAATCAGAGAAGTGTCGAATAATTTTTACACTTTAAAAATAGCATTCGGCTACACTTTCAATTTTTTTTATTTATTTTAGTTTTCTTTTCTTCCTTTTCAGTGAAATTTTTCTATTAGAGAGAAATTCTCTTTTTTTTTGTTTAACTTATTTTAATAGTTTTTCGCATTTATTTATAGTTTACAAAGGAATTTTATTGCTTTCTTTGGGCTTATTGACGCTCGTAATTTTGAGCTAGAGATTTGAGAATCGAGTTTATGTTATTTTCCTTCCATTTTTTATTTATGAAGGAAGCACACAAAGCTATGAAGAAACTGCCTCTAAGGCAAATATTGTTGAAGCAGAATGTAAGACAAGAAAAAAGTGTGATGGTTGTTAGCACACAAACAATAAAACTTAATTAACGACACTTTTCTCGTTCATTTAGTCTTTCCGTACACTTCTCTGTGCAACTAACGTCGCACAAAGCTGTTAATTACACTCGTGAAGGAAAATTATAAAAGGAACAATGTTCACATTATTTGCACAAGCACTTTCTCTCTCGACGCTCATGAGTCCTCTAGCATCCAGCAGACATTTTTACTTTTCTTCATTTTTCTTCTTCCTTTTTTCTTATTTTTTCTTTTCACAAACAATGTCCGACAAATTTCAAGAATGATTTCAAAAGTACAATTTCCGCTAAATTATCTTTGATGTTCCTTTTAAAGTTATCAATTCAAATCAATTTTTGTAGATATTAAAGATATGAAAAGTTTCTTTAAGTCTCGTTATAAAACGAATTTTATTCTTTCATTTCATTAATATTTCAGAAAAAATCTAGGAAAACACTTTCGGAAACTTTTTCCTATCAGAGTTGTGCCTCAATCATTTCAAGCTTTTTATTTGAAAGGGAAACAATTTTCACTTTGATCTTTTTTTTTCCTAACCACGGATAAAGTTCGCGCAACTTTTACGTCCTTGTCCACTGAATATATTCGAGTGCTCTGATAGCGCGCGTGTTTCTACATTTTACATTAGGGCTGAGAACGGCAAAAAAAAACGAAGAAAGAAAAATCATTGATGATGATTCTAGTCAATGCTCAAAATTCAATTTTCTTTCTCTCTTTCTTGCTGTTGCTGCTGCTGCTGCTGCTGACCGAATACAAATACAAAGGAAGAAAAATCTTGGAACTCTTTGATTTTCGGAAAGTTTTGATCTCTTTTCTCCTTTTGAATTTGTTGTTTTCTTTTTTTCTTTCTTTTTTGATAACAGACAATGCGAAAACGATTGTGCGGGAAGACACGCTCTTCTACTCAAATTTCTCTCATGGAAGAACACAACACAAGTGAACGAATGTTGTCGTACGGAGCTTTGATAAATCATCAGCATTAATGATGATGAAACTTCATGATTCTGCGGTTGATAACGAAAGATATTTCAAGGTCTTGAAACTTTCTTTTAATCATTTTTAAAATTTGTCTCATTAATTTGCAAAACAAGAATTCTAAAAAGCAACAAATAAAAATCTCGAATCATATCGTTATGAAAATTTAAGAATAAAATCTCTTTCTCTTATTCGCAAACAACAACAACACCACGTCTGGCCTAATACGCATGTGCTTGTTATCAGAACCGAACACCTCAGTCATTGAATAATCATCGGAATCATGAAGAGTGAGTGTAAACTTAACTGTATTTGTGGACCATATGTGTGGCAGCTTTAAATAAAATATGAAAGCTATAAAGGCAATAAAAATATTTCTTGATAGCTTTTTGGATAGTTTAACATAAAATGAATTGAAAATTAATCTGGAATTTTAGGGGAATGTTAGAAGCCGCAAGGTCATGTATGAAGACATTCTCTACTCATTTCAAATCGTTAAAATAAATTTCACGGTCTATAAGCCTTGAATTAACTTTACACTTGACAATAAGTTGCAAACGAGTGACAAACTGACCTTGCACAAAAAGAAAGATATTTAAATCGTCACCACAACTTCATGTCACATTTGTTCGTAAATTTTCTCACATATAGAAAATGCGCGATTTAAAATGTTTCGTTTTCATTTCTACGCTTCTTGGTTGTCAGTTTTTTTTTTTGTTTATTTTCACATTTAATGATCTCTCGTTGTGTTATTTTCCCACCATTTGAAACAAAATTTTCTTTCTGTTCACTTCTTCTGTGTTTAATCTTTGGGATGATTTTTCTCTCCCCCAATATTTAATGCATTTTGAACGAAGGAAAAAACAACTAAAAGAAACTTAATTGTCGTAATCAAATTGTTCGTGAAATGTTTATTTAGCCGTTTACTTCAAGGAGATTTTCAAGCATCATCGATAAAAATTGTGCAAAGAAATGAAAACAAATTTGATTTCAAAAGTTTTGAAACATTTCCTAATTTAGGAAATTTTATTTTAAATTGAAATGTGAATTTTATGAAATATTTGCAACATTTTATTTATCCATGCCGTTGCTAACGTTAAAAGTAGATCGTCTCAGTCAGGAGATTATCATGTCGCCTTTCAATACGTAAATCATTGTGTCACTTTCTTATTATTTCGTTCTTATTTTCCCTAACGCATACGATAACCCAATAAATTCGTCAAACGAAGGAAAAGTCGTGATTATTTATTTATATCTATAAAATCACTTGACAAGAGAGATAATCAGGTATCAGCTTTCATCTTCATTGCCACAGGTCAATCAAAATATGTTATCGTGATCGAATAACAATCAAACACGTTTCAGTATTTCATTGTCCTTGTCTTGTTCCAGTGAGTTGAAAAAATATTAAAAAATATTATTTGTAATAAGATATTTTAACTTTGGCAGTTATAAATAAAAAAAAGTTATTTAATATCATTTGCTAAAACGCGAGCGAAAAGTAGCAAAATCATCAAAAGACAATCAATCAATTAATTAATTAATCAAACGTAAAGTGACCATTCAGTTGTGTAGTTGGATTACTTTTATTTCTTCAACTTCATGGCGACAAAGTATTTACGTCACTTGGAAGAAACAAACTTCTCATCTAGAATGATCACTTCAAGCTCAATTAATTTATTTGCAGTTGGCGAAAGTTTTTACGATTAAATTTCTATCAAAACAAAGTTCAATTCAATTAATTCAGCTCTTATACTAACATCAACTTTTCTAAGCGGAATTGATTGTTTTCTTGGTAGAATTACGCCGAGATAGATAATTCTGAACTTGAGAAATATATTTTTAAATAAGTTTAAATATATGAACGTAACTCGCGAAGGAAAGCTCAACACAGTTTGCCTGCTTGCTTTCAGTCACTTGATTAGAGCCAGAAATGTAAAAATAACTTACAGATGGAATTTTATGCCACAAAAATAATTTCCACAGTATGATGAGTGGGTCGACGAATAGATAATTGGATGGTTGGAATAATAAATGAACAAAAAAAAGTTGCTGATCAATAAACAATGTGGGAAAATTCTTCAATCACTTCCGATAATCGAAATATTTAAATGCACGTAAAAATTTTCTTTTTCTTTCTTTCACTACCGCAATAATTGCAAACACGCGCCACAAATGTTTAAATAAAAAATTCCTCTACGCGACTCAAATAAGTAGCGAAAGGAGAAGAATAGAAGGAAAGAAATACGTTCGAGTAAATGTGTAAATAAATCTTTACAATCGCGTGGTTAATGAAACACTGAAGTGAGCATGGACTTGTTCGCTGCGGTTCATTTCTTTCTTTTTGTTTTATTATTTCTTTTTTTCGTATTCGAGTGTATCAAAAATATAATAAAAATACGAATCTTATAAATGTTGATGTTTGTTACAGAATTCATTTGTCAACTCATGTTGAAATGTTTTTAGTGTCGGGCACTGCCGCTAGCAAAAAAAAGATTTTCCTCGCGTAATCTTCAACACTAAGCACACACTCGCATTTGAATAAACATGAAGTATTATCTCATTTTACCAGCTATACTCATTGGTGTTGCTATTGTTGTTGTTTGAGGAAAAGTTTTCATCACCTTGCGGCTAGTTTTTATGAGAAGTGCTGATTGATCTACTTTAGGGGGCCATTGAGAAAAGCACGTCATGTGCGGCTTCAGTTCGTTTCAAAGACTACCACAAATGAGTGTTTTGAGTACACCTGCTGGCAGGACGAAAGATCTGCCTCTGACCTTGTCCGCACTCATTGCCAGAAACGAACATAAACAAATCGTGTACACATTTCATTAATTCAAGTGATTTGAGAGTTTATGGTTGTCAGGAATGTATAAACACTTGCTGTGAAATTTACATACTTCCAAAACCATTTCTATAACTTGCTTTGCTATTTATCGAAATGATTTTCACGAAAAAATTAAGTGAGAGATGTTAAAAGCAAGTTGCGTTGTCTTAAATCAATATTCGTTTAATCGAAGAGTAAATGAAACTTTTATTGCAATTTGATTGAAAGGGAACTTCATGTGAGGGTGGACGGAATGAAATTAAATATTGACAGTTTTTACAGAAAGAAGAAGCTCACAATTGACAACGTTACGAATCGTAATTTTAGTGATTCATAAAAAAGGAATTTTAAATCAAAAGTTGCATGTTTTATTGTCCATTTTGTGATGAAGAAGAGAATTCATAAGAAAAGAAATTGAGAGCACATAAAATTTTTACAATTATTTAGATCAATGAACGCATTGGCATTTGCTGCAACCAGCTGCAATTTGCCAGACAACTCAATACACAATGATAATTAAACTCAAATGTTTCTCGAATTATTTAAACAAATATTTGGAATTGTTTACTCTTTTCTTCATGAACAAATTGATGAAAAATAAGAAATAAAAATTGAGGAAGAAGCAGATCATCAATTTCAAACCGAAACAAAAGCGATGACATTTCAATGTAAAGAAATTCGAGTACCTAGGCATTAATAATTTCTTTCTTATTGCTACTTATTTTACTATTTTATGAAGCCAAATTATAACAACAACGAAAACAAAATTGCAATTAAAAAAGATATTTTCATGAAAATCTAAATTTATTCCACGTCAACAATTGACGTCGTCGGTTGTTGTTGGGATTTTGATGCAAATTTAAATATTTTGTGGAAATGTGACTCACCTTTTCGCTGTCAGTGGTATTGCCAGATCCAAAACTTGCTAACGAACTGCCATCGGGATCATGATCAGCATTATTGATTCCTTGATCTTCAATGTCTTTGGATAATCGTTGTGAAGCTGTCAGACTATTTTTATTGTTGGAAACTTTTCCCGGTGACTTAAGTAATGAGAAAGAAGTTCCCGAGAAGTAAGTTTCTTGGATGACTTCACGCAATCGTTTGATCCACGTTTGCTTTGTCTCCAAACTATTTGCTTTTAATACAATTCTAAAATCCGACATCATAGGTGCACGTCCCGTCCAGATTGCAAACTTACACTCGTCACCACCTTCAATATGCTCGGTAACACCCAAATCAGATGTCATTAATTTATTCTTATAAACATATTTCACAACGCCATTGGTATCTTTAACTTCTTTTGAAAATAAAAGGTACAAATCGAACAAGAATACGTGACGTTCACGTCCCTTTCGTATGATTTGTTTATTGTCCCATGTCAAAAATGAATCCTATTAAAGAATAGAAAGTTAAAAAAGAAAGCATTTGATGTTAAAGTCAACTCACTTGCAAAACCACATCACCAAGTGAATTGATCGGCACATCACACTGTTCCAGCAGTGACAGATGCATGGCATCGTTAGCTTTCTTCGGAATGTTCATACAAACTTCGAGTCCATCTTTTAATTCGCCTTGTCCTTCGTCACAACATGATTGAAGATCCTTCAACAAAAGTTGATACTTTGTGATTCGTTGTACAGGTTTAATGAGATAAGCGGGTAATGAATGTTCAATCTTGAGCTTCTGCTGAATATCTTCGAAATATGTTCCACCATTTTGCACTACAAAATCGTTCGACACGGGCTTGTTTTGACAATAGAACACGTACATGTCGAACTTTGCTGCCCATGTGACGAAACAATGTCCAACATCTTCCGGTATCGTTTGATATTTCTCCAACTCTTTGAGAAAGATTTGCTTATGAAATTGATAAATGTCTTCAATGTTACCAAACACAATCTCTTCCTTGCCGATTAATTTCTTTGGCACGTTTGCGACATTCTTCTTCATCTCTTTAAGAAATGATTCGATGCAGATTTCGAGATCTTTCACATAAGTTCGTTCAGTTTGGAGAAGTTCCGCCATGATGAATTCTTTTTTACGTGCACATTTTCTTTTCTCTTCGGAAATCTCTTTCGAGACAACTTGAAGTTTGTTTTCAAGTGAAGGATCTGAATGTCGATACTCTGAATGATGATTCGATGATTTTATTGAACCAGCTGACGACGTATCTTCATCAGAGATTGTCAACAATCCAAGTGACTTCTCCAGATTAGACCGATAAAGTTCCATTCGATTGCTGAAATCTTTGTAACGATTATCAACTGTTGCCACCCATTGCTTAATCGAGATTGCATGTGCATGACCTTTCTCAACTAAAGAATCAGCTAATTGAATCAAAAGCTTCACTCGTTCACGAGTTTCTTTAGCTGTGCCTTTAAATTCGTTGTGTTCCTTCAACAAAACTTCTCTCTCTTCATTGCTATTGCAGATCTTTGAAGCTCTCGATGTTAAATAAGCTTCACCAGTATCGTGAATCCATTCAATTGCTTGCTTTGCTGATCGTTCGAACAACACAAATTGTTGACATTGATCAAATGCTTTCTTACGTTGCGTCCAAAACTCCAAAACATGATTTTCTTGCGACAAAAGATTGTCAAGAATTGATTTAACGCGGGCTTCACTTGTTCCAGGTGATTGAATGTCATAAAATTGATAAGCACGACTAATGAATTTTAAGAAAGTTTCTGCAGTGCGACGAGCGAGTGTGCAAGCTTTCAAGAAAGCTTCTTTTTGTTCCTGATGTTTCGATATTAATTGAACAATAACCTGAGCTTTCTCTGATGATCCACCACCACCACACCAATCTTCTTCTCGCTTATATTCCTTTTCGAGACTATCAAGAACACTGCAAACTTGTTCAGCAGTCTTGAAAAAATTCATTCCCGATTTCATTAGCTTATGACGATCTTCAGCACATGTCACAAGTTGCTGCCATTTCTTAGTGACATCATCAGCAATTTCAGCTATCGATTGTGGATCATAATGATTAGCATTTGTCAAAGCATCAGCACGATACTTAACTTGAACTGCTGCAGTGTGTGTTCGTTCAATTGCCACCTGAAACTGTTCATGTTCCTTCATAAACAATTCAGCATCTTGGAAGCTATTTGGAATAGCGAAGTTTGCATAAAGCATCGCTTCGCCATTACGAATCCATGAAATGACTTGATTCGCATCATTTTGAAAGTGACACAATTGAATTGTTTGTTCGAGTTTGACACGTTTGGCTTCAGCGAGATCTTCAAGATCCATTTCACGATCGTGGAGAAATTCGAGAAGATATTGAACTCTTGTTGTTGCCGTGTGACTTGCGTCAGCCATAATAATAAATCCGCAACTTTCGAACAATTGATTTAGTTCTTGTCCCTGTTGAATTATTTGATAAACCGTGCTTTGCATTTGATTAACACTCTCATTATGTAAACGCAGTGACTGTTCAGCTATTTGATAATTTCTAGTGACTTCGATGTGTTGAAGTTCTTCCGCCCACATCTCAAGTTGTGATGAAACTTCTAAAGCATCACGCTCAAAGATTCGCAATCGAAGGTAAAGATCAACGCGCATCTTTCTTGTCTGCCAAAGTGACTCAAGATCTGCACGATTTTTTGCTAATCTTTCAAGTGCATTTTGAACAGCTGCAAGTGAACCAGTTGAATCATCTTCTGGCTCTTTCAATGCTCTCAATTCAAGAATCAAAGCTTCACCTTGAGCATGAGCTTGCATTGTTGTTTGAATTGTACTTTCTTCTTGTTCTTTACATTGCTCAAGTAATCGTTCAGTTTCCATCAAATCCTTACTTGAAAGACTTAAAATCTCATCATTTGTCACTTCATCACGAAGTTGATCAACAAATACTTGTAAATCTTTTTCATTTGAATAGAATAAAACAGCCAAATCAAGACGTCTTCGACGTTGTTCAACACGTTCAGCGAATGACGAAACATGCTTCTCGAGATTACAAACAACTGAATGAATTTCAGCTGGTGCAACTTCACCTGATTGTGCAAGCTCATGAGCAGCAGCAAGAAGTTTCTCAGCATTGCGATAAGTGTTTTGTGCAACATTCTCGAAATGTTCATGACTTGTTTGATAAATTCGAGCCTTTTGAAGATTCCTTCCAATCCCTTTATTCTTCTTTAAGAACACATCGCCATGATTTTGCAGCCAATCTAGCACTTGCTTCACATCTTCCTGAAACAATCGCAATGCAAGCTTCTGATGAAGACGAAGCTTTCCTTTATGCCATTTATCTTCAAGTGCTCGATGATGAGAAAGAATTTGATGAATTAAATGTAAAACGTGGGTGGCTCCTTCACTATAATCAGCTGCGGGGTTGTTGTTGTATTTTCCATTCTCCTAAAACACATCAAATTATAATTAAATTTATTCAAATTAAATTTTTTTTCTTCCTCAAACTTACATTCTTTCTCTGATTTCCATTAATGGCTGTTGGTTGATTGCAGACTTGAACAAGATGATCGAGTTGATAAAGAAGTTTCTTGCTTGTCGAATGAACTTCAGTGTAAGCATGACACATCGCTTCATACAATGATTGGTGCGTTCGAATTGCTGTTTCAAGATTCTCAGCATCGGATGGATTTGGAATTGATGCTTCGACAGCTGCTGACCATGATAACACACTCTCCGCATATTGCTCCGCTTTATGATGAAATATCACGCTCAAATTAAGCACAGCAGTTCTCTCATCAAGCCGATTCGTAAATTCCTTCCATGTTTTATCTAACCGTGTTGCTAATGAGCGTATATGTTGTGACGCATAATGATTACTCTCCACAAGACGTCCCGCAACACTCATTATCCGTCCAATATTTACACTCACTGTCATTGTCGTCACAGCGAAACGATTGTGATCTTCTTGTAAATTTTTCGCTGTCAAATGATTCACTCCAATGTCCATATAGTTTTGTTGGAAAACATCGCGATTATGCATAATCCATTCGAACATTTTTTCACAATCTTGTTCGAACAAACGAAGCTGAAAACATTGATCGAGCTTTTGCTTCTTTTGTTGCCAAAGAAGCAGCAATTGTTGTTGCGTATTTCTTGATGTTTCAAGATGTTGCAGCACTTGACTTATTGTATCATTGATGTCAGGATTTACAGAGTTTGATGACGACGCGCCATTGGAAGTTTGTTGATTTGAATTTGTCGTTGTTGATGTTGTGGTTGTTGTTGGTGTTGACACATTTGAGCCATCTGAACGATTCATGTAGTGTGTGAGCTTTCCCAGAAGTTTTTGTCCAAGTCCATCTAAATCTTCTAATGGCAACTTGACAATCTTTCGTTTCATGTCGTTGTGATTATCGATTTGATGTTTCGCACCATTCACATCTTCTGCGAGATCAAAATGTTGAAGATCTTCTTGAAAATCTTCAATTCGATCGCCAATATCACTCGCTTGCCATGAGAAATCTTCAAAAGCAACACGCAACTCAAGCCATTGACTGTGATCGTAATGTAAGAAGCCATCGATTTCAGACGTTAATTGCGACACGTCAATCATCTTACTCAACGCTTGAATCGATATTGTTGTGACCTCAAACTTATATTTGTTGCTGGCAATTGAACTTCTTTGCTTCTGCCAAAAATTGTCGGGCTTAATAATCAAAACCTGATGGATGAGGTCGCTGAAATTCTCCTGTAGAATCTTCAATGCTGTTTTGGCACCAGCAGATGTGTTGGCGTTGCCTCGCATATCAATAATGATTGTGAATCCCAAACTACGAGCTTCAGTACTATAAATAAAGAAAAGAATTTAAATCATTGTTATTTCAATTTGACATCTGAACTGTAAACCTTGGAATGTTAAGCAGGTAGCTGATGATGCGACGCAAATCTTCCGGTTTAATTCTTTCACGTTTTGGTGTTGATGGAAATGTGATAATTGGACCGCCACGTCCATCGCGACCACCCGATAAAAAGGCGATTCGCTCTTGTAATAATGTGATGATATCTAATGCTCTAACGCCACTTTCCATTGCTCTGAAACTTGATACGATGAGTATCTCCACTTGCTTTTCTTTATTCCTTTGTTTTGCTTTATTTTCTTTCTTCGAATGCCTTTACTGCTCAACTAAACCGGCAAACTGAATGAATTTAATTTAGTTTCTCTTGCAGTGCTATGGGTAAGAAAAGAAAATAAAAATATCATAATTTAGATGAGAATTAATTAACAAAATTAAAATAAAAATGTTATTTCCTACAACCAAAATTCATCTTCGGTTGGATGAAGATTATCTATTATTGGTCAAGGGATTACCGCAATGTTAATTGACTTCATGAATGAAAATGCATTTAAAAGAAATTTTAGCTTCATTAGTGGATGATTGTCTTTACGTAATAGATAATCTAATAGCAAACACACATACGATTAAAACATGTTGAACTTTGCTGATTTTTTATTTCTTTTTTCAATGAGAACAGATGTTTAGGATCAATACGCATTTGACGTGACTAGACAAAGATTGTAATGAATTTTTTATAAACACAAAAAGAATGGAAAAGCTTTTCTCGAAACCCAAATTTCCATTTCAATGAACAAAGCTTAAATTGAAGTTCATTTGAAGCTAAAATTTGTATAAATTCTTTTATTGGTTTTTTTATATCGCTATAAATGCGAGTAAATAATGTTAAGTGAAGATTAAGCCTTCTAACGTCATCAGTGCTTGCTTTGAAACCATTTCGCAATCAACGTCCGCCACAAAACTTTTTGTTAAATCAACATTTCAAAGAACATTAGAAACATCATCACAAAAGAGTGAAAATAAGCAGTGCAATTGTAGAGTTAATTGAAACGAAACCATTAACCGACTGACTGACTGAATAGCATAAAGCAATTTTTAATAGATCAACTTGCAAGATGCAAATACGTAGAACAGATGAGTAGTAAACAGCAGAAAAAGCAACGCGATTGAATTATTTTCTGTTGATGTCGAAAATGTATAAACAAAGCGAAACTTCTCAAAAGAAAACATTGCGAAAAGTTGTGCAAAAAGAAAACATTGAAACATGTTACGGTCGATAAGAACATTTCTCTTCTTCTGCATTAATTAAACTATGTTTCTTGACGACTGCCTAATTGCCTTTTCATCTCTTTCTCTCTTTTTCTTTCTTTAATTTCGCTTCACTTTAATGCCTACTACTCACTGTTCGTCGCTGTTTGTGTCGCACTATCGATTTTTGCAATTTGTTTTCATGCTTTTTTCTGTCGTTAATATTGTTTTTACGACTTTTTTGCTCTTTTTTTTCTATGCATCAATAAAAGTTCTAAGCACTTAAAAATTTCTTACTATTATTAGTTCTAGTGCAACCCAAAAGAAGAAAAAGGGAAAAAACGACAAAAAACAAAAAAGCATGACAGTAGCAGTAAAATAATTTGCAGTTCAAGCTAAGCAAGGTACATTCAAATAGGATAGGAATTGAATAAATAAGAGAAGAAAAATCGATGAGCCGCAAAGCAAATACTGCAAAAGCGAAGTTCAAAAATGAGAGTCAAAGTATCAGCCATAGCAGAACAAGTTACAAAATGATAATCTTATTTAAGAGTAAGCTAAAGCCACAAGAGGCAAAGGAAATGCCAGACAGCGCATAAATACGTCTTTTGCATCTTAAAATAGATTCCGCACAGTCGATCAGTAGTCTGACGCAATTTTCAGAACTAACGGTGTTGTATTTACGATTGATTGTCTCATCAGACATTTTCAAGGACACTGGCCCGTAAAACAATAACATAGAAATCAGCAAATCATTAATTTTTATGTGTACTGAAGCATTTTATGAAATTTGTTGATATTTTTATTAGATTTTCTTCTTTTTTTTGCTTATTCGACATTGTCGTCGGCGTGGATTATGAGGGCAAAGAGTTAGAGAGTACAGACATAAAAAGAACGAAATATACTGAGAAAGAGAGAATTAAGTAGTTCAATTTTGTCGCATTCGGACTTAGCCAAACGGAATTTTTCAAGCTCTATGGGAGTTCATAAATAATGTTTTGGTTGACTCAATACTTATTGAAATGAGATTTATTGAAAGCTTAAATTATTCTTTATAAAGAATAAGAAATCCTACACAATTCCTGATTTGTGTCTTGTGTTTTGTCAACATGAAGAGCACTAAATATCAGTTGAACTTCATCCAATTAAATATTTAATGTTTCGCAAATTTGTAATTTTGCAACAACCAAAACCGCTAGGCAACCAAAAAAATAAAAATAAAAGTCCGGAAACTCGGTCGAAAAACTGACAATCTCAATTCAATTAAAAGTGTTTATGTTTTCGACTCATTGTTGTCCATTCTGTATGAGCTGGAAGTGACTGTTTGTCCACGACCTAAATTGCTCCACGAGCCGTGGTGTTATGAAGATCACTGTTTTGTGTTTTCTCATCTTCTCTGCTTTTATTTAATGGCTCTTTTGTATGAATCACTTTTTTGTAATTTCATTTATCTTTCTCTCTCCCTTTTTCAACTTTTTTTTTATTTTATTTCATTCACAGAACACAAAAATGTGTTCCATCAATTGGAATGATGATGGTTAAGGTCTTCTTGTTATGCACTGTTGTCTTCTTATTTTTAATGTTGTTCCCATCAAAACGAAATAAAAACCTTTCGACACGAAGAACAAGAGTAGATTCAAGAGAAACGATAAAGGCATTGGCTTAGATTGGAATTATTGAGACAACAGAGGAGAGTGGAGAAACATTTTACTTCTTACCTTAAAGGAAATTGATCTGATGAGTGCTCCATGTGATGTGCATTATGGTATGATGATGATGTGTCTAGTGAGTATTGTTTCGCCTAATTAATTGGTTTCCGGTCTTATGAATCTCTTGGTGTTTCGTTTGTAGCTTTGAATCACTTGGTATGTGGTGATCGTTTCTTCGTATGTGATGTTTACACTTAAATATTTGCCTTTCATAAATCAGGCACATCTATAGAATATAGCAAAGTATATTTGCATCCAAAAATATAACTTTTCTTTTTCTTCTCTCTCTTCTCGAGAAAAGTGTTTCCACTTCGGTTTGCTTTTTGTTTTATTTTCTATTTTTCAGAATATAAGATTTTCACTGCTTTATTATGGTTCTAAGTTTTGATTTTTTAATATTTTTATCCACTTTAAGTATTCCTCCTATCGAAGAGAAGCATTTAGTATTATTTCTTTATTCCTCTTAAATACAAATCATCTTCTCTGGATTTTCTTTGTGAATTTTTTTCCTCCTTCTATTCTTGAAACATTAACTTTTTTTTTTAGCAACACGGAGGGAAATTATTAAAGAATTCACAACTTTGGAACAATCATGCAAAATTAGTAATGCAGATATTATTTAAAATCAATAAAATTATAAAATTACGCTTAATTTAGAACAGATAAATTATTAAATGAAAAGGATTTGTAGACAAAGATATGAAAAAGCTTTAAAAATTTCCCACTGTGTCAGATTTTCTTTTTGTTATTATTTGTTTGCTTTTTTCAGTAAGAACATTTTCAATTGATTTTAATTGATTATCATGTGTCACTTGCACTCTAGATTTTGACTCAACATGATTAATGTACGATTTAGAAACTTTTTAATTGAGTATACATTTGTGAAGCAAATCATTAACTGGCAAATAATGCAAAATAATGAATTTTTTCAAAAATCTTTGCAGATTTTATGTTATGATTTGATTTCTCACGTTTCTCTATTTTCTATCACTTAAACTTAATTCTAGATGCATTTATAAACATTAATTAAGCAATTTAAGGATTTTTAAGTTGATAAATCATGTTGAAAGAGTATTTTATTATGAATTCACTTTTGAGTTTTTCTTCAGTAGATGGGTAACTAAGTGAGCAACGAGGGGGTGAAAAACTATTTTCCCTTTTAGATTTGTCTGATAGGTGGCGTTTGTGGAGTTCAACACATTTTTAAATTTATTTAAATTTATCGTTATTTAAATGTTCATGTTTTGAAGTGTGAAATGTCTTGCAACTATTCTAAAAAGTAAATACAAAATAAAATACCTAAGTTTCTTTTAAAATGTAAATATTCATACATGTATGTTTATTTCTGTTCTTCTCGTTACTATAATATGATTTATAAAGAATTTTCTGTTTTCATCTGAATAGCTTTAACTTCTTCTTTCCACATTGGATAACCGAAATGGCTTTCAAGATTATTTTCGATCATTAAAGACTGAACAATAAGATCTGAGAATGTGAAGTCTAAGAACATCAAAAAATTTAGAATATGATAACGAATGAAGAAGTTTGTTGCTCCCACGAATGTAGATTTTTTCGTGAATTCATCTCGAATGATTTTTTGGCACAAAATCTTGAATTCCTTGATATCAAAGTCATTGTCGATAAATTTAACGCAGCTTTCATATCTATCGATCATTATTTTTACACAGTTGATTGTGGAATGAACTCGTTGTTTATCAGGATCAAAAATATTTTTTAATAACTCTTTGATTGTTGCTAACATTTTCATATCCACTTCTTGCCACATTGCATAACATTTTCCAGCCAGCATTCTTACTTCTTCTTCATTATGTGCCATTAATTCTTCAAATTTGTCACACAAAAGACCCATTTCCGACCAATATTCGAAGATGTTTCGCCACTCAAAATTAGAAAAGAGTTCAAGTAATTTAACAACATAAATTGTGTTGTTCAACGTTTTTTCATGACACAAATCATAGTATGCAACTCTTAAAGAACCAGTAAACTTCACATAAAATTCGTAAACTGTAACAGATTTTGGCTCGTACTTTAAAACTTTGAGATGTCCTGAAGGATTGTATTTTTTTTGGTTCGATATTTTAGGGATGATGGCATCAATTATTTGAATGAGAACATTTGTCATCACTTTGCTTTTTTCTGAATTTTTAAAGCGTTCAAAAAGAGCAAGAAGTATGAAGTTATAGTAAGGAATCATTTCTTCAGTAATATTTCCATCATTGATCAATTCGGCAAGAAGATGTAATTGAATTGGTTTAGTTTTGTCATAGAAACGAACTTTTAACTGATCATATGCATTCTTGATTTCAACCATGTCAATAATAATTTCCATAAAAAATTTTAAGAATGGTGGATGATTTGTAATAATCGAATTAGCTAAAATAATTAAGCCTCGATTAGCATCAATATCTTCACTGGTTGCATGTTTTCCACAGTCAATATATTGTTTTAATACGACGAGTTGTTCTTGTAATTCAACTGCTTCAGGGCATTTTCGGTTACAGAAATTTAGGAACTTTCGGGAAACTATTTTTGTTGCTTTTCCAATTGCTTTGCTTGCTGATTTGATTGCATCCTTGTTTGATATTTTTGTAAGAATTTGAATATTTAATTCAAACAAATATTTGATGGCACAGTTGTCAGGTTGTTCTTTCAACAATAATGAAGCAGTCAAAGAGACTTCGGAACAAGATTTGAGTATGTCAGAAATGAAGCAAAGTTTTACTTTTGATAGATTTGGAAACTCCACAAGTTGATCAAAAAGAAAAGATGTGAGTTTATCTACATAAGCCATAGTAAGATTAATATATGGCTGTTCAATATCAAGTTTACCGCGCGTGAACAAGTGATTAATTGAATCAAGAACAAAAATAACTTTTCTGTTTTCAAGATTAAAACAATCAATGCAGCAGTCGTATGATTTCTTGCAATTCAGCCGGCAAATAATGTGTTCTTCTAAAAGAGCATTATGACGAAACAAAAGGACTAAAGAATTGGTATTAATCAAACATATTTCAAGTCTCAGCAAACATCCAAAACTGTTGAGCATGGGATCAGACAATTCATTTGGGCACAACAGATGTACTCTCTCAACGATAACATTTGTAATGGCCTCTTTTGGAAAAGGTTTCATAACATTTTCAACTAAAATGTTAAAAGCAATTCCCGAAATGTTGATGTCATCGTCCGATACAAATGCAATCAAGCTATCAATTGTAGTTAAGGAAAATATATTCCAGATCTTGTTTATCTCCAAATAGCGAATGAACTCGAAACTTCCCTTTCTGTTTGTGAAATATTCTTTAGTCATTACATCAAACAATTTCAGACTGAATAATTTAGATTCTTTTGTGCCGACACTCATTCCATGATCAAAAATGTCTTCCTTGATGATTCTAAAAATCCTTTTATGAAATTCAACCTTTCGTGGTTTTTTGTCAGCGAGAAACTTGAAAAACTTTGGAAATTTTCGCATCATATGATCAACAAATTGCGAATCTTCCATATTCGATCGAATGAAATGCTGAAAAGCAGAAATATTCGAAGTTTGAAGATCTTCATCAGTTTCGGTACAAACTTTGTTAATCATTATTTGAAAGATTTCAGTTTTAAGCGGTTTTTCTTTAATATCCAAAGCAAACTTAAAGATTCTTTCATCGAGTTCAGGATCTTTCATGTTGTCTTTGAATGCATTTCGCAACACTAGAAGACGATAAAACTTTGAAGATGTGGTTGGAATGTTTAAGAATTTTCCATCGTTGCTCATGAAGTCGTAAAGTTTACTGATGAATGGTTGATCAATAACGTTGAACCAATACTTGATTATATTATTAACTTCGTTATCTTGTCCAATCCATAAATATTTTGCCAGTATTTTGATCAAACTGTCTTGAAAAAATTCGTGTTTATAAACAGCTTTAACAAGTAGAGCACTTGTCGCAACAAGATAATCAAATGAAAGAGCGACAAATAATCCATTCAATAAATTGTTTTTAACGAAATATTTGTTTGTTAACAAAGGTGCTGCATCATTTGAGATGATAATTGAAAGTAGAGAATACTTGTTTCGGTCTGTCCATGGAAGTTTGATAATAGTTTCCATCATTTTATTATCCGATGAGTTCTTTGAATCGTATTTCTTCATCACTTCTTTGAAAAGACGTAAAATCAGTGGACGGACATTTTGATGAAGGTTTTCCAAATTGCTCAAGATTACAATGTTATAATGACCATCAGAATTATCACCAACCTCATCATTGTCAAATTCGGAACCAGACATGTTTGATTTGAATTGATTTATCTGCATCTTAAGTAACTTATTTTTAAATGAATGATGAAGCTTAACCTGCATTGAAGTTCCATAAGCAGCAATGTTGTTTTCAATAGCAACTTCAAAATATTTTGTATCCTTTTTGTAAGCTAACGAACTCTCGACAAAGGAATCGTGAAAGTTAAAGTGGTTTGGATAAGTAAGACCAAACTTTCTGATAAATTCGTCATTGTGAATCCACATATAGTTACGCAGCAATTCCGCGCCAAGTCCGCTCATTTGTTCCTCGTACTCGACAAAAAGACATTCAACATGGAAATAGTTCATACATAAAGCTGGTTTCAACAAAGCTTTTAGAATGATTTTCTGTTGCGATAAGGTTTTGCATACTTTAAAATATTTGATAAGAAGAAGCGTTAACTTCTTAGCTGAAGGATTCAATATAGCACTATAATTATCATTTTCTGCATGTTTTGCAAAATGATCATTATCCAAAGCGTCGATAGTCTAAAAGAGAAAGAAATCTGTGAATTAAACAATGTGCTTTCAAATTTCATGCTTCTGAAAAATTACCCGACAAACATTAAAGACTTCTGAGAATTTTTCTGATTTTTCTAACTTGGCAATTGCTGAAGTGAATACTTTCACTATTGGATCCATTTTTACTTATTATTTCTTGATATTTTTCTATATTAGCGAAAACGACGCCAAATTTTTATGACAACTCTTTCGTTCAGCTTGACAGTTTAGCGGGTTCATAAAATGAAATTTCAATTCCACAGCTAAACCTCGATGTAGTAGCGAAATTTAAATTCAAAAATAAAAACGTTCACTGAATTTTTTGAGGAGCTGAACTTATTTCAAGGATATTAAAATAAAGATACAAGAATGATTTTTCGTTGACAATCAAATGTAGACTAATCTTATTCATTTAAGAGAAAATGTTTTTATAATTACTGGCAATGTTTTTATGTATTTTGACAATGAATATGCTGAGTTTAACTTGTGTTTAACTTTATTGTGATAATTTGACTCTTTGTGAGTCATAAGTTATGCATCATGTAATCAAATTCGAGTAACCATAACTCACATTCAGAACATTCCATATCAGTCACACTATCTCAAACTACAATAACAACTATTATCGCTTAAATAAAAGGATTATAAATGATGCCATACACCTTAAATAAATTAATAAATATCCCGACTCGTCTTAAAAGTCTGGCATTTGAATATGAACAATATCTCATCATCGATGAGGTTGAAATCTTTCGGATCCTGACATTTTGTAAAACGAGTTCCTTTTTTTTAGAAAATTTTATAAAAATATATTTTATTCAATTCATTCGTAATTCAACACAAATTAAACAAAATTTAACACATCCTGGTGTACAGAAAAACGGCAGTTGAAAACCATCAATAAAACACCGTGTTAAACAGTTTAAAACTATCCAAGCAAATACAACTTTTGTAATGTTGACCATTTTGAGCTGCAATTTGATAATTAGGTAACAAGTTAAGTTAATTTCTAAATTTTAGTTTATGTCATCAAATAAAATTAATTAAATTAAAGAGTGATAAACTTACTCTTATAACATTCAAACAGAAACTGAAATTTTCGTTTTGTTATTTTGCCTTAAAAATTTTATTTAGAAGAATTTGAGTGCCAGTTTCATGCAACATAAATATTTACTTTCGAAGGAATATCACAATATCGATAATGTGTTTGAAATGCGTAAAAAATACAAATTAAGTAAAAAGTTATAAAAGTTTTTTTGTGTTCGTGCCTAAATCGTTTTAATTTAGTGAATATCACAATCTGACTAATACAGAAAGAATAAAAATGTTCTTCATTGGAATGTTTTGATTACAGAATATTGTGGAGGGTATCATGTCAAAAACTGTGTCCCCAAACAACTTATTCATAGTTGATAGTATTTTATTTTGCCACACTTCAATCGTGGGTTCATCAGATCAGATTACATCTAATTTCGTAGAAAATCTATCAGTGACAAAGAATCTGTGACAAATTTATGCTTGAGCTAAATAATTTAAATATTTAAAAAAAATATTAAATAAATCCCAAATACTCATTCGCTTTTTTATGCCAACACTTACTAATTTGAACCACGACAGCATAGATATCTGAATGTAAGTTTAAGATGGTCAAATGTCTCGCTTCGATTACCAGCTTGATAAGAAAGAAGAAGGTTGAAAGATTGCGAGAGCGAACAGACATTGGCTAAGAACATTGAGAATCCGAAGGAAGGGAAGAATTAGATGAGAAAGAATCGCGCACCTCAGTCTACCGGTTTCGTTCGAATCGATTACATCGTTTGAGAACAACAGCTAGAGTTAATTTTTGTTGAAGTGTGTGCAATTTTTTTATGAAAAGATCATCTTGAAACAAATAGGCAAAAGCGCTTAAAGTTAAAGCGAGTGAGATAGAAAGAGACTTAGCAGCATAAAATTATTGATGATGATCGTGTTAATGGCAAACGACGAGAAGATATAAGTTCCATTCCATTCCCTGAAGAAGCCTCATTAAATTCTCGCTAAACGCAGCACAAAGAAAAGAAATTTATCGCTATTTGAAGAAAATATTAATAAAGTCTTCTTTACATCGCAAAGAAAAGAAATAAAAGAAACTGAAAACATCTTTAACGCATCTGAAAACGTCTCGCGAAATTCCATTCTTGTTAAATAAATCAGTTATAAAAAGCAAACGATGAACACTCTACCAAAACTGCTATTGATCATCAACCTGATACACTCGATATACTGCGTAAATCTCGACTTCACATCTAAGTTCAATGGCAATGCGAAGCGGAATGCGGACAAATTCCCATCGACGAGTAACAAAATCTCAAAGTTGCGATTGATTTTATTGAGCGATTTGAAACAGAATGAAATTGTAAGAATTGTGAAAGAAAATCGAAGAAGAAAATATTGTGTAACCATCATGTCGTTTTAATTCTTTCTCTTCCTTTTTTTATTTGCAAAAACCGAAAAGCCACACATGATATAAATCTCGACACGCTTAGCTCTGATTATATGTCGTGTCATTAACAAATGCTTTTGACATGATATGAAGTGTACGAAAAAGCAATTTAAGATAATTATATCTAAGCCTGTTTGTATTCTCAGTTTTCTTTACATTGTTCTAGTCTATCATAATGTTCGGTTGAGCAGAAATTCTGCTTAATGTTGCTTTCTAAACTTTGTAATTATAATGAATTTAATTCAACTTTAATGTTCATCAAAACTTCTAAAAGATGAGATAAATAATTTCCAAAGTTTTTTCTAAAAGCTTCACTATCATAAATGAAGACAAAGACCTTCTCATGTTGCCATCCTCTATTTATTCGTGTATGGGAATCAATTAAAGAAACCGATTCATTTGAACTTCTTTCGCTGAAGAAATTTGCCAGCAAAGAAATTCAGTCAAGAAGAAAATTAAGCAGAAAACACAAATTTTTGTGACGTTGCTTAAATTAATAAATTCTTTCATGTACCTACTTGATGAACTTCGTGATTATTTACGACTTGAGTACCTTCATTTAAGGTTAAATAATGTTAACTGTTGTTTAAGGAAGAAGTCAGCCGTCAGTCGCGACAAATCAAATCTTAATTGAGACGCTAGTGTTTCTCTTTTATGGTTAAACGTGGCTAAGCTTTTTATGATCAATCATCATTTAATCACGAGTTATTTTATAATTTTATTTTCTCATCTATCTGAAATTACCTCATCCACCACCATCATCATCATCATGTCCTAACATACAGCAACAGCCAATTGATTCGTGCTGGTCATCATCACAGACGCTTAAAATTACGGCAAAAAGTTGTCCTTGTAATCAAATCAATTGTAATGCACCGACGAATGATGCAAAACGAAGGTAACGATTATGGAAACTGCCAATATGCACACACGATTATATCGTGTTTCTTTTATGCTTCATCTTCGTGAAATATTTATTCGCGAGAGCTTGTTATTGTTACCATTTCGTGGTTGTTGAATGTTCTCGCTAAGAAGATTTTAATTAAATATATTCATTATTAATCTGAATTAAGCCACAACAAAATAAAAAACATTTTATCTTAACAGGGCAATCAGTGCAACCTGCATGCAGATTTGCTGTGGAAACCGATATAAGAAAGCATCAATTAGATCATTAAGTGAGTCTCAGCTTCAGGAGTTGCGTAAATTCTCTTTGAAAACAAATTGTGAGAAATCAAATCATACAAACTCGTTGGTGTTTGCAAGAATTTATGAGAAGTTTAATGAGAAAAGTATTTGTGCTGGGGTGTTAGTTCATCAAAAGTTTCTCGTCACGACTGCCATTTGTGTGTCGAAGTAATGACTAAATATCTTGTGATTATCTCATTTCAATTAATTGTTTGATTTTTACAGCAAAAAACCTTCAGATTTAATTATTAAATTCGGAAGCGATCATAAAGATGAAGTCAAAGACATTTTTACGCATCCAGATTTTTACAAGACTATGGACACTTTACAAGATAACATCGTAAGTTATTCTTATCCCATTTATTATCTGTTGTAAAATGAATCACAATCAATAATTGCTTTCAGGCACTGCTCATGCTTGAGAGAGAAATTTATGATGGCGATCTTCCATGCATTATAAAATATAATGTGGATGATAGTCGATGTCATGTTTATTCATGGGCACCATGGCGATTTGCAAGAATCTTTGAAAATTCTATGAAGGTCGATAATGTTGAAGTGTTTACGAGAGGTGAATGTTACACATCGCATCTAATCAGTGGCAATCATCATGAGAAATATGTTAGCAAGGGGAATAACAATATTTGTGTCGGAAACGTTAATCGATATCAACTTGACATTGTAAAACGCCCACAAGATTGGAAATAATTGTTGGTAATTTAATACTTTTCTTTCTTTCCATAGAACTTGAGTGGATCCGCTTTAACATGTCATCAAAATTATCCAACCAAACCTACCGTTCTTAAAGGGCTTCTGACATGGTCAACGGAAGTAAATTACTATCCACATCTCTTCACTGACATCACACAATTTACCGATTGGATCGAACGAACTGTAAACGAAAAGTACCTTAACTCAATTTAATTAATCATTCAATTATGTATTCGAATTGTCCACTTTCATTTTATTAGATTAGTTAAGTTAATCTTACATATTTTTGTTATTATTTCTTTTTTCTTCTTTTTCATTACAAATAAATAATCTTTTTTTTGTGAATTTTTCATTTCCTTCTGTATCTCATTCTTGAACAAGTTTTCAATTTATGGTTTTTAATTATTTTCTTTAATTGGTTTAATTGGAAATTTGAGAAAGGAAAATTATTTGATCGACTATATTTACAAGCCCTAATTGGATTAAAGAATTATGCTGCAACATTTCTTGTTTTTGTTTTTAAATTAATCTTGCAAATGACGATGAGAAATTGAATATCTAAAATTATTCAAATAAATCTTTGTATTCTGTTCTTTTGTTTAATTTAAATCTTTGCACAAGTCACTTAAAAGTTAGAAACTAAAACAACATCAGAATATTTCTTGTTTATTATTTCCTTCCATTTCCCTCATTCTTCGAAAAGACGATCAACAAACTTTTATTACCAACCTTGATGTTCCTTTTTAATCATTGATCGATGGTGTTTCATTATTGAGCATAACAAAGCAAAACATTTCTAAAGTTCTCAAACAATTAAATTAGAAAAAAAAGAGGAATTTTCTTTGAAATTGGCAAATCATTTTTTTTATGATTTAAAGCAATCATGAAAAGGAAAGAAAGGAGAATGTTAAAATGTTCAACAAAATTGAAAATAAAAATCACATTCGGAAGTAATCAAAGCTTAAAATATCTAAAAGAATTTCCCTAAATTTTCATTCACATAAAAAAATTAAAACTAAAGCGAAACATAAAAATTTAAACATTGAACAGATGCCAAAGAAACAAATAATTTTTTTTCAATAATTGAAATTATCCATAGGCTAAAAATTTTATTTGATCTGTGATCTTTTATGCTTTCGTCAATTGAAAATTATTTCCAAATTACTAAAGAAAATGAAAGTTCTAACAAAGATCACGAGAAAAATTAATTTTTAATTTTTTAGGAAGAAAAAAAGAGAAGAAAGGTGGAAAAGATCACTTAAAATTGATGAAAGATAGTCTTTGATTAAACATAAAACAATATTTTTTAGAAAAACATACATACGGATTGCGTGGGCGGAACAAAGAGAAAAAAAAGATAACAAAATAATTTTCTATTCAATGATTGTACTTTGAGTACTTTACTTATTTTTCGTGGGTGTTCCGCGCTGTGTTAAACCTTCAAAGCGCTTGAATGTGTAGTTGATAAACACCCAGTCCTTGAGCACTTCACCATCCTGTGTCGGACTCGGTGCAGATGCTATAAAAAATTAAAAAAAGAAAAATGTTAATAACTAACAACAACAAATTTGAAAAACACTCACGAATTTCAAGGGCAACATCAGGAAACTCATCAAAGTTCGATGTATCATCAATAGATCGAACTTCAACTGGAATAGCAGCAGGACGTTCTCTGATATGTTCCCAGTCAACACCTCGGAAGAATGAGACACTTTTTACTTCTTCGATACCTTTTTGTGAGCCTAGACGACGATCAGATTCACAACAAAATCTCACAATTGTTTCACGAGCTTCCTCTGATATTGGTGTTTCGGGAGGAAAGATAAGCGTCTCACGCCAATTCATCACTTTTCGATATGTGTCTTGAGGATCTGAAATGACATTATCTTTATACCCATAAACCCTCAACTAGACAAGTAAATTTATGTAACTTACTATCTGAACAAAAAGGCGGATACCCCATCAACATCTCATACATGATGACACCTAAACTCCACCAGTCACATGCTGGTCCGTAGCCGGTTTGAAGAAACACTTCTGGTGCTATATAATCTGATAATTAAATTAAACTTAATTAACACCTCATCATCAACTTTTATATCTATTTGTTAACATACCAGGCGTTCCAACTGTACTATAAGCAAGTGCACGTCGATTTCTCTTCCAACTCTCAGCTCTTCGCTTTGAATCCATTGGACTTGCACATGTTCCAATGAAATCTGAAGGTTTTGCTTGTGATAAGTCACGATAGAAATCTGTTCGATGAGATTTTTTTAATCCCGTACATAAGCCAAAATCTGAAAGTTTTAAATGTCCTCGTGCATCTAATAGGAGATTATCAGGCTTTATATCCCTGTGAATAAATCCAAGACGATGAATTGAATCAATCGCAAGTGCTGTCTCCATTATGTAGAATTGTGTGCACTCTTCAGAAAGCGTATCTTTTTTCATTAGAAGTGTCATCATGTCACCACCAGCCAGAAATTCCATTATAAGATATAAATTAACGTGATCTTGAAAGCTGTAATACATTTTTACGACCCACTGATGATCAGCTTCAACGAGAACGTCACGCTCTGCTCTCACATGTGCCACTTGTTCTTTTTCAAGCATATCAGCTTTTCTAAGAACTTTCATCGCATAAACATGCCCAGTATCTTTCTTTTGAACAAGACGAACTTCCCCAAATGCTCCACGTCCGATAACTTTCAAGGCTTCAAAATCTTCTACACCCAGACGTGATCGTTTTAATCTGAGAAACTCTGTTTCTTTTTGTGCATGTTGAGCTCGCTTTTCTTGACGTTGCGACTCTGTTAGTGCTTCGTCCTTTAACGATGCTTCAAGCTTCGCTAATCTTTGCTTTCGTTCACCATGTTGCGCTATAAGATTACTGTAGTAATTTTCCAGCGTCACTTTGGCTTTTGTTGCTTTATCCATTGCATGTTGTGATACTTTTTCCATTGCTGGATTCATACTTTTCATCGCAAGCAGTTTGAAGCGTTGTTGATAAAAAACAGCCAACCTTAACTGCTCGCAATCTTAAAATCAATAAAATAAAATCAATATAATTGATATTTCACTTCTTACAGCGATATAGCGAACTTATTCTCATCTATGTGAATATGAATAATAAAATGAGATTTTCGCGCTATTATTCTGTATAAAATGTATGCTTGAAACTTATTATGAAGGAAAAATGTTCTATTTATGTGTTAGTTGACTATAAAACTTGCACTAAGAAAATAATTAAGGTTTCAACTTTTTTCAGGTAATTTTTTTGTAAAATCTTGAACGGAACTAGAAGAAAATCATTGAGTCAGAAACTTCTTCAATCTCTGTGGTATTTTTTTCTACAAAAGTCAACACATTACGTCAAACTTTAAACGAGAGAAGAAAAAAAAAGATTTTGTTTTATGATGAGAAAGACAACGCGAGCAAATAAGAACAATGTTCCCGTTAGCTGATGAAATTTGTGATCATCACAACGCTATGACCACGGCCAGCAAGCGTTTGAAGGGAAGAGAGAATACAAAAATGAAATTAAAGCCAATCAAATGATTTTTTTTGGTTTCACTTCATTAGAGGTTTTTTGTCGTTTCTGATTTACGTAAACAAATTGATTTCTAGAAATTCAGCATTCAATTAATTCTTTTTCTTTTTTCTTGAAATAAAATAAAGAAAAGGCAAATAAAAGTTAAGCCTGGAAAATATTGGGCCATATGAAAATGAGTAAGTTGTTTTTAGTTGCACAATCTAGGTCAACATCGTCATTATGCAGCGGGTAGACGAAAATTGAATCGACTTTTGTTAATGGAAGAAGTCAAGTACTTTATTATCTCTATGTGATCTTTTGCATGTCAATGTATATCAATTTCTCAAAAGATTTTCAATCACATTGAGCCTTTGTGATATATTAGTCATTAAGCAACTTTCTCTTGGTTTCGATTGATTCAAAGTCATTCATGTTAGAAATCAAATATTCTTACCTTTATTTATATTTTGTTGCTAGTTATTATGCTCCTTTTTAAAAAACAATTTCAGCATGCGTGTATAGTCCTTTAATGTTGTTGCTAAGAGCACTTTTCTTTCGTATTGTGGCGAATTATTAAATTAATTAATCATATCGATTATAATTTAGTTGAAAAATTCTGAATGCAAATGTTAACACATAAATTGCGTAGTTAACTGGATTTCTCGGGTACAAAAACTGTTCACTCTAGAGCAACGTGATCTTAAGACTACACAAATAGTTTTTAAATTATTAGATAGTCCTTCCGATAGTGAATAATTAAAGAACTCTTAAAATTCACTTTATTCTGAAAAAAATCGACAATGTTTTGCTCACAGAGGGCGCTAACAAAAATTGATAAAGAATAAAAAAATTTTTTAAAAGCGCTTTTCATGAGTTTTGTCAGAAAACTCTGACAGACAGACACATTTCTAAACTACTTTTTTTAGGAACGAAATGTCATAAAATATTGTCAACAATAAATAAAATCAAAAACTTAAAATTATATTTCATCATTTACTAAATAAAAAATGGATTCTATGGACACCAAACTGGATTTATTTCAATCTCTAAAAGATGAAGAATCTGGTGATGTTGCATCAACTTCCCACAAATCGATTTCTGAATTAGACAATCTAAAGTTTGAAAATAAAAACAATCCAGATGAAGTTAGCGATGATGATTTTATTGAGGAGACACATCAGGAGAATCAAAATGATGATTCACAAGAACATGGATCATCCGATGATAAAGGAGTTAAGAAAAAAATTGAAAAACAAAATCGGAAGGAAATCGAGGAAGAAGAAAGAGAAAAAATGCTGTAAGTAATTATTAAAGTATAATTAAAATAAAATAACAGATTTCATAATTTTATTGCAGAGTTTTAGTATCAAACTTCACTGAAGAACAATTAGATCGGTATGAAATGTATCGAAGAGCTGCTTTTCCGAAAGCACCGGTAAAGAGATTAATGCAAACAATTACTGGATGTTCTGTTTCACAAAATGTTGTGATTGCAATGAGTGGAATCGCGAAAGTGTTTGTTGGTGAAGTCGTAGAAGAAGCTCTTGATGTTGCAGAAGGATGGAAAGAATCAGGTAATTTTATCAATTAATTAAATCATAATTATTAATGAAATCTCAATAAAATTATTCAGGACCACTGCAACCAAAACATTTACGTGAAGCTGTGAGAAGAATCAAGTTGAGGAATCAAACTATTTCTATTGGGAAAAAAGAAAGATTCAAACTTCGATAGATTGATTACAGACTCTATTAATAATTATTTTAAATTAAATTTACAAAACTAGCGATAAGAATTTTTCTTTTCAATGTATAAATATTTTCATAAAAAGTATAAAAGTGAGTTCAACAACCAGTAATGCTTCTTTTACAATTCTGATAAGAAACTTATAAGTTATTAAGAGAGAATGCATTAGAAACATTGACGGATGTGAAACATTAAGAAGGGTAACTTTCCATGTAGTCACATCTAGTGATATTCATGTTTCTCTTTAACATTCATTCATGTCAAATTTAATGAAATGTTTACTGCTAAACATTCTGTTATTGCTGCTCTCATGTTTGCTCAAAATCTTACAAAGCTTTCTCTCAAACTGAATTCCATTGAAATATTCAGACAAATTTTCCAATCATTGGCTGATGAGAGTTGCTTGAGTGTAGATGGGAGTTCTGAAACACGGTCATTTTGTGCAATAAAGTGATCTTTTCTTTTTCCTTCAAGCATTTATCAGCAAAAATATTTCATTAAGATTTAATTTGAAAGAATTATTGGACATACGGAACACTTTCAAGTGACGATTTAATTAAAAAATATTTCACCTTTTTTACGACTGATAAGAAGTGCCAACATTAAAAAAATGAAGCTTTTACTCGCTTGTGTCGTTCTTGTGATTGTCAATGGTGAGTGAATCTGGAGCCGGAAACAATTGTGAAATCGTTTTTTAAATAATCAATCAATTAAATGTCTAACTAGTGGTCAATGCTTGTGACGTTCTCAGTGAAGCCCATCACGGTTGTAAAATTGAAAATTCCCAGTGCATTTGTAGTTTCGGTTGCAAGTCTGAGTTTCGATACACCACCAAGAAAGAATGCACTGACGCATTGAAGGTAACTGCTTAATTCTTAAACCCTCTTCGTTTGTGTTTGTCAAATATAATCATTTCTGTTTTCTGTCACTTCCTTACTTCCCTCTTTTTTATTTTCAAAAAAAAATCATTCTCATAGACATGAAACTGTTAATGCATTTTCTTTTAAACGCATATGGAACCAGCTGTGTATTAACAAAAAAATGAGTCTTTTTAAATTTTAAATCTCGCTTGTTCTCGTTTTATGTTGGAAGGGTCGTTCCAGTGATATTTGTTCAAGAGCGCCTTGCTTGAATGGTGGAACATGTATTCAGATTAGTTTTATGCCCGGTTATAAATGTCGATGTGAAGGCACGAGACATCATGGACCACGCTGCCAACGGCCATGTCCGCGAACTGACGCACTAAGTTATGGAAGCATCCAAAACTTTCCACATGAGTGCGTTGAAATTTGAATCAATTGATTAGAAAATTATCCGAGCAGCGAGCCTATTAAGAATGACCCGTTGAAGCGACTCTTTTAGACTCGTTTTCTTATTTTAAGATAATCTTCGACTTTTTGTGTATTCGTAATATGATAAGAGAAATAATATTAATAAAAAAGAAAAGAAAAATAAATACAACTTTGAGAATAAATATTTTAATTCGCCCTGACGCCGTTATCACATCATACACTAAGTGTTTGTTTACATTTAATTCTTCTTTTCGGCGCAAAAAAACAGACAGAGACATTTAATTCTTCTCTTCTCACAACAGCTGAATCTCTGAAAAAATTTCTCTCGATCCAAGTCGCGGTCAATGAAATGACTTCGGAATTGACCTAATTTAAGCAAGAATGAAAATCAATTTCCGTTTTCGATAAACGTTTAGCGTTGTGAATCAATGGAAGAATAAATATGATCATTGCCGAAGTAGACAAAATGTTGTGCTTATGTTGATGACTCTTTTTAAGATCAAGGCGAAATTTCTGAGGGAAATGTAATATTTATTTGTTATTGTTATCATCCAACTAAGGAATTAGAAAATATACAAAAAGAAACAAGACGACATTGAAATTTTTGTTCTTTTATAATCAGCAGCCAATAAATGACATTTCAATGAAATGTTTTCGAATCTACAATTTTAAGATATCTACGGTTTCTCTCTCATCTGATTATCGAAACTCCATTCACTGTCATTTCAAACTTACCTTTTGTTAAATCATTTCAGGAACAAAAGAATATTCTCTCGCATATGTCTTCAAAAAGGAGAAACTTATCAAGTCGATCTTCTTCAATGGTGTCAAATCTTTATATTTTATTTATTGGTTTAAAAATGCTATTAAATGTATCTTTAATGAAATCATTAAATAGTCGTGGATATTATTTAGAGAAAAAAATAGGACAAGGATCGTTTGGAAGTGTTTATCAAGCGTTTTACAGAAGAAGACCTTATATTAAGAAAAAACAAAAATTAGCCTGCAAAACTGTAAACGGATCTGAAGCATCGGAAATATTTCTAAATAAATTTTTACCTCGAGAAGTTGAAGTTCTATGTCTTGTGAAACATCAATACATAGCAGAAATTCACAGCATTCTACAATGTCAAGATATTGCTTTTATTTTCATGGCTTTTGCTGAAAATGGAGATTTGTTAAAATACTTAACAGGAAATGGTAAAGTGGACGAGCCACAATCGAGAATTTGGTTTTCACAAATGGTTTCAGCAATCAAATATCTTCACTCTCTTCACTATGCTCATCGTGACATTAAATGTGAAAATATCTTAATATCAAAGGAAATGAATATTAGGATCACTGATTTTGGTTTTTCAAGAAAATGTGAAAGCGAAACGAACGAAAAGATGTTTTCAGAAACATTTTGTGGCTCCGAATGTGAGTAATATTTATATTTTAGGCTAATAAGAACTTCTTATTTTTAATTAAATGTTTTAATTTCTAGCATATATAGCACCAGAAATATTGCAACATTTACCATATGATCCTTTGATAAGCGATGTATGGGCACTTGGAATCGTTCTTACGATTATGCTGTTCAATGACTTTCCTTTTGAATTTGGAAAAAAATCGATGTTTAAAGTTTTAAAAAACATTCGTCAGAAAAATGTTTGCATGGATAGGAAAATAGCGACAAAGTTATCGGCTGATTGTTTGAAAACAATTAATAAAATATTAGAACCAAATCCAACTTATCGACCATCAATAAATGAAGTCGCAGGAATGCCATTTATTATTAAAAACATTATTGATATTTAGAGAAAAGGAACAAAAAGACTGACAAATAAATCTGTAAACAAATAAATAAAATATTAATAAGACAAGACAAATTTAAGTTTTCATCTTTGATTTTATCGTTGATGTTTCTTAGTTTCTTATTGTTTATTACTTCACGTTTTTTTGTTGGGTTTTTTTTTCGACAATTTTTTTCATTTTTTTGGTAAGATTTTCAAAGTTTTTTTTTTCGTATGTTTGTTGCTTGGGAGATTAAATTATTAACTTTTTATGCTTTGCAATCATTTTTTTTTGTTGTAATATTTAGTTTCATTTATATTTAATGCAATTTCTTTTAAATTTGTTACTTCTTGAAAAAGGAGTTGTTGCTTTAAAGCTGAGGCTTTCCAATTAATCTTGTTTTGTTTTCTTCTTTTTAATACTTGTCGATAGTATGTAGCCTTAGGTTTCATTCATTTGCAATTGATTCATATTGTTGGATATTTGAAAAGTTTTTAAAATAAATCGGAAGAGATGAGCAAATCAAAATTTATTCCACCAAAACACCTGAAATAATAATTTTATTAAAGTTAGAGAAGAAGTTTCAAATGTGTGTGATTAAATGAAAAGCTCACCTGCAATGCGTGGTAAACGAGCTTCAGGATTGAATCCTTTGGAGCCATCTGGTCCTTTAGGCGCACGAATAGCTGTTAATCGAGGCGCACTTTCATCGATAGAATTGATTTTAATTCGAGAAATCAAACGTTCGGGTCTGGGAGAAGAATCTTGAATCTTAACAACACCGCAAGCTGATGTTTTGCCAGTGCGCTAAAAATAGAATTTATTGAGAAAACATTTTTTTCCATTTGATTAAGCAAATCTTACGTGATTTGTGATGATGGAAAATTCAACAGTGTCGCCAGAATACAAGCTGTAACTGCTTCCTTGAACTTCAGACATGTGGAAGAAGAGTTTTTTACCCTCATCAACTTCGTAGTCAAGAAAACCAAATTGTCCTTTGATGGAATCAACAACTGCTCGTTTCTTCTGACGAACAGCCGATACCTTAAAAGAAAGAATCGATTAACTTAATGTTTGTCTCATTTTAAAAAATGAAATTTACTCACTTCAACAGCTCTTTGAGTTTCGTCAATTTTAAAAATGACACAATCGTCCTTTTGCAATAAATCACGTTTGTTGGTCAAACTGGTGATGCCAAATTTGTGTTGAGAAAGATTTTCACCGTTTTCACCTTTTAATTGAATCAATCCACTGTATTCCTCTTGATCTGGATTGATACAACGTAATGGACGAATAACAACACCATTATAAGTTCCATCAAGTATTGTTGGATGAACAATTGTTCCTTTGAAATTGAAAGAAATGATAATTTAAATAAATAGATTAAATTTAAGAGTATATTTACCTCGAGGCAACAAGCGGACATTCTCAGCAGGAATGCAGTTCCCACCCGTAATTCCATTTCGCGAAGATGTCAACGAATATTCAACTTCTTGACCTAATTCCAAGTGATTTGTATTACCAATGAAATTACTAAAGTGGAAGAAAACTTCTTGATCGTGCTCAAGTGTCTCAATAAATCCAAAGTTGTCCTGAACAATGCAGTTAAATTTTTATACTTTAATAATACTATAACTTGATGTAGCAACTTTTTTTTATGACTCACCTTTAATACAGCAATAAATCCTTGATGCATCTTAAATTTATCGGCCTCGTATTGCTTGTTTACACCATTTATAGCCCCATTTAAGATTGTGACGTTAATGTTTGTGTTTGTAACCATCGTGGTGCAGCCATTTAACAAGGGATTAGTAGCAGTACCATTAGTAACTGGAGTTTCAACTGTTGGTTGCTGTTGAGGCATCATTTGTGCAATTGGAACGTTTTGTTGTTGAAGTTGATGCATAAAAAGTTTTTGTAAATCAATAGGTTGCGACACTTGAGCAACTTGAAATGGATTGAAAATCTCCTGAATATTCGTAGCAATGAATTCTTTGTTCCTCTTGACCTATAATGTGAAATATAGTAATTTAACTATCAGAATAGTTTTGAGTTAAAGTTTTATCATATTAAAAGTTTGACTTTATCGAAGGACTTTTTAATTTTTTAGGGTTAAACGTTAAAAGATGAATTTGTTCAAAAATATTGTTAAATGTCACGTAAGTATTACGTATACGTCTTACGTTACGTAAACTCAGAGAACTAAAATTTTAACTTTCAAAAATCAAAAAAGCAAACAATCAAACTCACCTGACAGATGTTAAACTTGACAGTATCTCCGATTCTTGGCGCTTTATCGCAATCTTTCAAAAAATACATGATGGTCTTTTTGTTATTCCCAATTCCATAAGTTATGACACCACCCTCAGTTCGTTCTTGACTCTTCACAGGGCTTTTTGGAGCTTCACGTGTTACAATACCTTCAACCCCACTTTCAATCAAAGTCTCAAATTTAACAGTTCCTTCCGGCAGATGCTTAATACGAATGGCACTCAAACGGGGATTGCTGAAGCTCGATGTTGGATCTTGAACGCAAGTAAATTCGATTTCGTCACCAACACTGATTTCACGACTTGTATCCAAAACTTCCGTAAAATGGAAGAATAAACGAACGCTTCTTTCAACACATCTTATAAAACCAAAACCATCCTTCAATTGAACGACTACACCTTGTTCGCGCTTTTCACCACTTAACTGGAAAGTATCATCAAGCAACGAAATGCATGTGGCACGTTGGAGTTGATCGCGACGATCCGTTGCTAACATAAATTGAACCCAATCTCCATGACGTAAAGTAAAGTCACCTTTTTGATCCTTGTCACCATACGGCACTTCGACCTCTGAATGATCAGCAGCACGATATTTAATTCGGCCGGGAAGTGGATCACTCGGTTGTTGGGATAAAGGATTATTCAATTCTAATGGCTTCAACACTTTGCCTTTCATTATTGTTGGATTGACATCTTCAAAAATAACAGAGCCTGGTGGTAGACGTGTGATGTTACATGCAACTTCTTTTCCATTCCTTGTTTGAATCGTGAATTCCACGTCATCACCCGGACGAATCTCAAGATATGTTCCCTCAGCCTCCGAGCAATGAAAGAAAATTTCTTTAACAACGTCACCACGCTCAATAAATCCGAAAGATTCTTTCTTTGAACAGACAACACCACGATATTTAACTGGGTGAATTGAATTTTCGAGACGAATATGACATGCGCCCAAATTGCCGCGATTGTTTGTCGCAATTTGGAATGAAACTTTATCACCCGCTTTCAGTTGAACATTTCCTTCAACATCGTCTTTGGTATAAGGTAAAAAAAAGCACTCACCGCGATTCTCATAAGAGATGCGACCAGTAGTCTCACTAGCTGCTGGGTTTAAAGCAATCGGTTCATTGACGGAACGAATTTCAGTTGTTACTGTGCCAGTTACACGCTCTTCACGATGTACAACTTCAGGCGCAATCTTCGATACCTGACTTGCTATTGGCTTTCCGGTTCGCTTGTCGTATGTCATTTCAAACTCAACGGGATCACCAATCTTAAGATGTTCGATATTCCCACCAAATTGCGAGAAATGAAAGAACAAACGTGCTTGACGTTCACAACATTGAATGAAGCCGTAAGAATGAAGCAACTTTTCGATGATCCCAGTCTCGCGAGTGCCTTGACCTTGATCAGCTGGTAAACCGTTGGTTGAAGCATGATTGAAATTATTGTTGTTATGCGAATTCATCATATTTCCACCAGCAACAGATAATCCATTCATCAAAGTCAACGCCGAAGAGTTGAAGTCCATTGTCGACGTATTCGATCCAAACATTTTTCCTCCATTTCCAAAGATTGACGACGTGTTGTTGGTCGATGGAAGTGAATCTATTGAGAAAGTTCCAATAGGAAAGTTGTTGTTGTTGTTATTGTTGTTCGAGTTATTGGTGATAAGACGTGGTGCTGGAGATGTTGGTGTCAACGAGCCGATATGATTATTACCAAAGCTCGAAAACAAATCTCGTGATGAGAAATCCGAAAAATCCAGAAAGGATGCTGTTGATGATATGAGACAAAAAATGATTTAATTAATTCCAATTAACAAGTTACATCAACATCTATTAGTCTGTCTAACAAATGTAAAATCTTTTTGAACTTTTTTCGAATTTATGCAGAAAACCAGTCAAAGTTACATTAATACGATTTAATTTATATTTCACATTGCTAGATTATTTCCGTCAGTTAAACTACTTATTGAGAACAAGCTAAAACCTCGTAATTTGCATAATACGTTAGTACAGAAAAAAAAACCAAAATATACTTACAATCAAATGGTTTGGTTTGGCCACTCATTGTTCTCTCAATTTTGTTATTTTTTTATAATTATCAGCAGAGGCTGCAGCTACTCTTGGTTAAAGAATTTAGTGTTTGCCAATTTGTTTCGATGATGCCTTAAAGAATCCTGTTCTTGATCGTTCGAGAAGTTCTAGCTTCTTTTATTTTTCACTTTATTTTTCTTTACTATTTCTTCAATATGAGTTGGTTTGGAAATTCCAACTGAACAGATAAAAAAGATCACTGAATTACAGATTGACTCGATGTGGTGGATTTGATGAACTTCCGCTTCCGTTTATGAATCTAAAAAATGATTCCGCTAAGGATTTTCCTATGTTTTTATTCCAGTCTGGAGTTTCACTATCAGTTTATGGTACGTTAAATTTTTCTTCTTCTAGATGCTTTCGCGGGTATTTATTTTTGTTTTATTATTTTGTTATCAATAACAATTAGAGTAGAATAGAATAAATCACTTCTTATTACTTAGCAATACAGTCTTATAATTTTTCCTTCTTATTTGAAAATGTTTTTCTTTCACTTTTCGATTATTTTTCTTTCCTTTCGCTTACTTCTTTCTAAATCCTTCTTCTTCTGTCAATTAGTTTTGTGTTCATAAACTTTCAGCGATATTATTACAACAAGGACACAGTTTACGCTTTCAATTTGTTATTTATTGTTGTTTCTTATCGGACTAGAACGTCCACCTTATCCGTTCACCTTTTGCCGCTAGTTTTCGCTATCAAACTTTTTTCTGTACTTTCATTTGCCTTTTCCTTTTCTTTTTATTAATTAATTATGAGTTTTATTATTTATTTCGTTTTTATCACAGAATTGTTAATTCTTTTCCTTATAACTTTTAAAAAGAATTTTTTACGTAAAATGTAAAAAATAAATTAAATTAAAATTGTCTTTCTTTATGCGCTTCGCGAAAGAATTCGTAGCCCAGGCTGCTTCAAGCGCGCGCGACTTCTCCCTTGGAGCTATGTATGCTTCTTCACTTTCAAGTTATTATCAATGTTTTTTATTTTCCTTTGGTGGTATGTTTAGAACATTGTTAACACAAATAAACAAAACAGATTTCTTTTTTAAATATTTTTTTCTGATTTCGATATCGAGAAAGGAAATAAAGTGTCAAACTTTTTTAAGTTGCTTTTATTCGTTGGAACTACAACACTGTCGTAATTTTCAACAGATTTATTATTTCAATTTTATATCGCTTCTCAATTTTATTCCAAAAAAAGTTCTTTCTTTAAATTTTGTACTTTAATGTGTTGATTGTGTGCTGTTTTGATGTGATAACAATTTTCATGAATAGACGCTTGAAGCAGCGCGCTTGAATTTTCTATTCCACTGCTCTGATGATACTTTATAGATGGAATTTTATTAATTTCTTGCTGTTTTGCATTAGATGTTGAACTGTTGACTGCTTGCAAACTTCAAACTTTTCTTATTTTTTTTCTTTTTGATGAAATTATTATCAAATTTTCACTTAAAATCGTTTCACAATTTATTGTTTTTCTTTTTTTTTGGTATAAATTATGCAAATCGTTTTGTTTTTATTTTGAATTAAATCACTTTTTAGAGCTTGTGTTTAAGCCTATTAAAAATATCCACAAAAAAGTTGGATTAACTTAAGAGTGACGAGAGAGAAATTTTTTTACGAAAGATCCAATCGAAAATATAAACTTATTAATTGTCTATTCCCAAAAAAGCGTTTTTGGCTATGAAGATGAAAGCAATAGAAACTTAGTCGAGTCCTGAGGAGTGCTATTTCTGTGATTTCTTTTAATGTTATTAAATTTGCCACTAAATGCTTGTTGATGACTTTGTTTATCAGACCCGTTTGTTGTCTATTCTCAATTAATAACTCTAATTTAACAGATTTTTTTTACTTCTTGATTTTCAATTTCAACTTATCACAATTGTTACACTTTTTTTAAATGTTTCTTTTTTTTGTCTCTTAAATCCGAACTTTATAAGGAAAATTCGTAAACTTTTTAAGCGCTTTAGAATTTCGTGATTACACTTTTTTGTTGATGTTGTTCAGAGGAATTTTCATTTTTCAAAATATGTGATGACTTACAGATGAATGAATTTATTTAATTTATAAACTTTATCAATCGGCGGTTTTGTTTTTTGTGAATATGACGGGGAAGAGAAGAAAAGTAAAACGAAAAAGGAACGTTTTATGTAGCTCCTTCCTTGAAGTTGTGTGTTGCTGGTATTTTTTTTATGTTAAACTCTTTTTTTATATTTTTGTTTTTTTTTGGTTGTTGTATTGTGTAGTATTAGTAGTAAATATTTCCCTTAATTTAGAAAAAAGATGTTGTAAGTTAAACAAGCTGCAAAAGAGAAAGAAGAAAATAGGTAATACATATAAAAGAAATTGATTTTGCGATGAAAATTGGGTCAATTCAATTGTGATGTCACCTAGTTCAAATTTATTAGAATAAACTATTTTTTAAGCATAATAAGCTGTATGTAAATTTTTTTGACCATTTTACTTAATTTAAAGTTCACTAATTAAAACCGTGACATCACCAATTGACATCCAATTTGAAAAAGTCTCCATTTTGAAATAAAAAATTTTTGAAAGTGAATTTTTATCAAACTAAACAGACATTAAACGAAACAATAATTGTACTATTATATAACCACATCAGTAAACAACACTTTCTGTATAAAAATAATTCGAAAAATTCACTTTTAAAAAGATAATTTAATTGAAAAAATTATTTTTAAAATATCGTTACCAGATCAAACAGCAATTTCAGCAGTGTATGTAAATCCGAATTTGGTCTACAAGTAGACTACACTACTACTACTATGAAAAATGTCGATTTTATACACTCTCCACCTGAAACTGCACCTCCGGAAAGTTAGTTTTAGGTGGAGAGTGTATAAATCTCGCGGATGAGGAAATTATCTCGCTGATGAGATGGTTTTTTGAGCACTTTGTATGAAAAATGGAATTTCCGGTCCGCGGAAAAACTGTATTATTCCCGGGTCACTCCTCCGGCCGGGGCTAGGTTTTAACAGGGTGTCAATGTACCTCTTTGGCATAGAAAGTTGCCGGGTAAAAAAGTGTAAGTAGCGGCTCAAAAAGTGTGTGCAGCGCCACCTATAAAGTGTTTTAGTAGTTCAGAACCATTTTAACGAATACTCGAGTTGCCACCCAAAAAAACAAATTTCTTTATAAAAGAATTTCTTGTGAATATAAAAACATTAAAATCAAAATTCATATTATTATTGCTGAGTCGATACTGGAGTTGAGAAACGCTTTTTGGTTTAGTCTTCTTAAATATCTTCATTTTAAAAGCTGTTTCAAAACAAAGGAAATGGAAAGTAAGAAAATTTATCATGATGATTCGACTGATTCTTCAGAAAGCCTTAACGACGGCTTCAATGATAATAGACGAAGAATATTCAGAAGGTAAGTTTTTTGTGGAAACTTTAATAGAATAAATAACTTTAACATTTTCAAAAGGAATTATTTTTCACTTGCATATTTAGGTCAATGAAAATGTAACTTTTATATTTTTTATTCTACACATTTCAGACAAATTAATGCAAACACTAATCTCACAAAAAGTAATCAAATTCCAACACTTGCTTTAGCAAAGCTAAATGTTGCCGGTCAGAGTACTGGAAACAACGAAAACGAGAAAATTACTTTAATAGTAGACGACACAAGATTTTTGATTGATATCGGTGAGTTTTTTTTGATTTTCTTTTCTCTTAAAGTGTAATGTTTATTTTTAATTTTACAGCACTTCTCACACAATACCCTAATACACTTTTGGGTCGAATGTTTTCTTCAGGAATTGAGTGGCAAGTTCCAAACGACAGAGGAGAATATAACGTTGCAGAAGGCATTTCATCATGTGTTTTCCGAGCCATCCTTGAATACTATAAATCTGGTCTAATCAAATGCCCGAGTGGTGTTTCAGTCCAAGAGTTACGTGAAGCTTGCGATTATTTGTTGATTCCATTTGATGCTACTACAGTTCGATGCCAGAATTTACGCGGCTTGTTACATGAATTAAGCAACGAAGGTGCGAAACAACAATTTGAAAGTTTTTTAGAAGAACTTTTGATGCCTTTGATGCTAAACAGTGCTCAGAGAGGAGATCGCGAATGTCATATTGTTTGTCTTCTGGAAGAAGATCAGGTTAGTCAACACCTTCATAACTACTAATTAGTGTTAATCAAATAAATTTTCAGATGGATTGGGATCCCGATTTTCCTCCTACGACTCATATGTTAGGAGAGGAATATTCGCAAACAGTGAGCAGCAATGCAATGTACAGATTTTTCAAATACATTGAGAACCGTGATGTCGCTAAACAAGTTTTAAAAGATCGAGGACTGAAAAAGATTCGATTAGGGATTGAGGGTTGGCCCACATACAAAGAGAAGATCAAAAAACGAGCTGATGGTCGAGCAGAAGTTATTTATAATTTCATTCAACGACCTTTTATTCACATGAGCTGGGAGAAAGAAGAAGCAAAAAGTCGTCATGTAGATTTCCAATGTGTTAAATCAAAGTCTGTAACAAATCTGGTTGAAGCAGCTGCTGATCTTCCAGCCATAGATCAAAACATTATTGAGATTTCTCGCAATGATCTTGATCAAGCTGATGGAGTTAGAGTTCAACAATTGATTGAAAATCGTATTGAAGATTTAGAGAATTTAGATGCTGTTGGTGCTGATCAGAATTGAGTATCCTTGAGCGATCCTGTTTGTTTTATCGAAGTTTCTGCTAACAATTGATTGCTTCTTTGATTAAGTGAAAAGCATTAATAAGAATCGCTTAAACTTCTTTGAATAAGCTTTTTTTGTTTCAAAATTCACTGAAATAACTGTTAAAATCCTTAAAAATTACCATTTTTACGCAATAGAATATTAATCTTCGACAATGTTTATCAATGAAAAAAATCGAAGAAAATAATAAAAAGCATTAAAGACATCAACAATATTTGCGAAAGAATTTTTAAATCTATCGTCCTTCTCTCTTTGATAATACATCCCGAAACAAATTTAAAGGTTTTGAGATTTCAGATACAAAACTGTGTTTTGTGAATGTTTAGATGAAAAAAGGTATTCGTAAAATAATTAAAAATAAATATATAAATGAGGATGAAAGGACATTTGGATTTAACTCATTTAAAATAATTTTTTAAGTTACCTTAATTCCTCGAGAAATTTAGCATCTTTCATACCTCTGACAAAGAGACTCTACTTGGGCGCTACCTGCAGTGATTCACGAGAAGCAATATAATATTACCAGATATCAGATATTATGTTTATAATGTTTCATGCTTAACACAAAAGGCTATTAAAGCATTAATATTTTAGTCCTTTTTTCAAGAAAGAAGGAATTTTAAAAACTAACATTTTATTATTTGTTAAGTTATTTGTCGAATCTTCGTATTTTCAAGATTTTTTTGAAGAAAACTTTTTGGTTTTGATTTGGAGAAAAATCAACTCATCAGGCAATTCATGAAAGGAAAAAAAATGTTTCAACAAATCCAGTATCAAATATAAACATAAAATTTGCAGTTTTCAGTGTTAATTAATAAATTTCGTTAGAAATGGTAGGCGTGTAAACAAATAAACTTCATAAAATTTCAAAGCGCGTGCACTTTTGGCGTGGAAGAGTTTTTATTTACGGAAAAAAATGTCCCAATAATCAAAAATGATGGCGCTCGAAGATTGTTTTGTTTGAAAATGAAAAAAGTGAGAATCAGCTATTCGGATTACAGTAGAATTATGCCATCATTAAGTATAAGAATGATAACGTAATGAAGATTATTACAACTATTAAAGGACGAAAAATTTGATTAAAAGTGCAAATTAGGGATTCATGGAAAAAGTTGATATACACTTATGATAGTGTGAGAAAAGCGCACACATTCAAACAATTTCACTTAGCATAATAATAGAAGAGATGCGTAAAATAATAACTATGGAGAAAAAAATGAATAAAATGCATAAGATTTGATAAAATGTGCTCAAAATTGCACAATTTAGTTTATGCAAACTTCCACTCACTTGATAGAATCATTTACCAGAATTTTCCTCCATGCCAAAAGTACATTTAACTTCATATGTTTTTCAGACGTGTATATGTTTTTTTTCTTCCCGAAACGTCGCTGAAAAAAAAAACGATTCTCATGATTCTTCAGATATCTAATGAGTAGAATTTGAGAAAGACAAAAAAAGATACAAAAAGTTGTTACTATCAAAAATAATAATCTTCTTTTTCTTGCAGATTCTTATAAATGCACTTTCAATATAATTGCGAAAGAAACAAAAATCTTTAAGTAAAAAAGAGCAACCATTAGTGAAAATGTCGCAACGGGGGAAGCGACCAAATACCAATGCTTTAGGTGTTGAAGGTTCAACGCCTGTGAAAAGAAGAAAGGGCCGTCCCCCCACCGTTTCTATTGATACAGAGGATTTTGCAACACCATCCACATCCAATGGTGGGGGTCATAATTCTTCATCCGTTTGGCAAGCTAGACCACATCTAGATCTAAAAATGTCTAGTATTTATAATCGTAGTGCACCAGAAGCACCTGCTGAACTGTTTAGGTAATATAGAAAAAACAAAATATCAGCATGAACTCAACCAAATCATTAAAACTTTCAGGAAAGATCTTATCAGTGCCATGAAGTTGCCAGATTCGGAACCACTTTCTCATGAAGAGTATTGGGTGATAACTGATCAATGGAAGCAAGAGTGGGAACGTGGTGTACAAGTTCCGGTAAATCCAGACTCACTACCTGAGCCTATCGTGAGATCAATAAGTGAAAATTATTATAAGGGTCGTCAAGACTTTAAGCTGTGAGATGATTATTTCCTTTATTTACTTATTTAAATAATAATGAACTTTATTTTAGTCCGAAAAATAAATACATACGTATTACAAAGGATGAAAATTTCTCGCATGATAAAAATTATCTTTCAAATACTCCTGCCATGGCGGACTCTGTTTGCAGTTATGATCTTGATCAGCTTGATGAAGCATGGCTTAAAGAATTTAATGGTGAGCGCAGTTTATGTGGTCTCCCGCCTGTAAATGAGGAACAATTTGAGCGAATTATTGAAGAACTTGAGGTAAGTGAAATAACTTTTCATCCCATAACCATTTTCATAAAAAATGAATTTTTAGACACGATGTCATGATAAAATTCAAGCAATAATGAAAAGTGAAGATGGTCTTGGTATTGAATACGATGAGACTGTCATTTGCGATGTGTGTCGTTCGCCTGATTCTGAAGATGCAAATGAGATGGTTTTCTGTGATAACTGCAACATCTGTGTACATCAAGCTTGTTATGGAATAACAACAATTCCATCCGGTAAGATAAGTAAATACATTGTGATTAGCATATGAACTAACATAAATTATTGTTTCATTATTATTATTAATTAATTTATTAGGAAATTGGTTATGTCGAACTTGTTCGATGGGACAAAAGCCGGACTGCGTACTCTGTCCGAATAAAGGTGGTGCAATGAAGTCAACACGATCAGGACAAAAATGGGCGCATGTTTCATGTGCATTGTGGATACCGGAAGTCAGTATCGGTTCAGTTGATCGAATGGAGCCTATAACAAAAATCTCCAGCATTCCTCAAAGTCGTTGGGCTCTTGTGTGTGTTTTATGTCGCGAACGCGTTGGTGCATGCATTCAATGTTCAGTGAAAACGTGTAAAACAGCTTATCATGTAACTTGTGCATTTCAACATGGATTAGAAATGCGTGCAATTATTGAAGATGAGAATGCTGAAGATGGTGTGAAGTTAAGATCATATTGTCAGAAACACAGTGTCAAAAAAGAACCAAAAAATAGTGCCAATGCCGAGAAAGCTTCAGCTTCAGCTTCAGTGTCAGTTTCAGCATCGGAAGATGAAGAAAAAGTTGTCACAAATAATAAAAATAAAATAAGAAAAGAAATGACTACAGAAGAAAGAAACCACGCGAGACTTACACGTTTGGTTGAAATACAATCTGAGTTTGATAAGCATGTGAGTGTTAAAGATATAAGTTGTCATCTGCTTGATGTTGACCAAGAGGGCATCAATCATATTTACAACTATTGGATTCTGAAACGAAAAGCTGGTGGTAATGATCCTCTACTTCTGCCAAAGGCAGGCGATGTTGATGTCATGTCGCAAACCGATCAAGAGCAAGCTGACATTGAGAAAATGAAAATGTTTGTGCATTTAAGACAAGATCTTGAGCGAGTAAGGAATCTTTGTTACATGGTATCGCGACGCGAGAAACTTTCAAGATCCTTCTTTAAAATGCGAGAACAAATCTTCCAAAAGCAAATTGCTGTGCTTAGTTGTCATAAAAAGACGACAAAACTTGATGATGCTTCAATTAAAGCGACAATGGAGGCAAATCATGGACCTTCCATCTATGACGTACTCTACTCTAGTAAATCTGTTAGAGAAAATGCTGGAGTAATGCGTATTGAAGAGATGATCGATTCAATACTTGGTCATACCTCAAATAAATCTAACAAAGAAATTAATGGTAATGTTGTTGTAAGAAAAGATAAGCAAGATGCAGTTAGTCGATATAGTAAATTATTCAATGGAGGCACAAATGCGGCAGCAGTAAACAAAAAATTAAATAATATTTACGATAGTCTTTCAAGTGATTCAGATGTGTCATCATCGAAACATTTACAAAGGCGAAAAAGTCATTTAACTTCATCCTCATTATCGGCATCATCAGCGTCAACATCTGAAGATGAATTACCGCCAACAATTAAAAGAAAATCACCAGTAAAATCAAAAGTTCATCTTCCACCACCGCCACAACAAACATCGATAGTCGTTGCACCATCATCGACGCAACCAAAGAAGAAAGGTCGACCACCAGGCTCAACGAAACAAGCAGTGGCTGAAAAGCGAAGACAAATGAATGCTCTGAATTCCACAAAGGATAAAACAAAATCATTCAGTGTAGATAGTTCAAGTGAAGATGATAACAACACAAGAAATCACAAGAATCTACGTACAAGGCCGTTAACGACTGATGATGATCAAAATATGCATTTAACTGATGAAAGTGATGAATTAGTACCAATAAGAAATAGTAGTGGCCACAGCATTCCAACAACAGGCAATGCAAAACGTATCCAATCATCTGCAATTTATTCCGATAGTGACAGTAGTAGTTCCGACAAAGACAACAAAACTGACCATACGGTCAGTGATTCACAACAACAACCGTTTAGAACAAAAGCTGCAATGAAAGAATTCAATATAAATGAAATCTTGCCATTTGATAAAGCGAAAAAGAAAGTTGATGTTGAGACAGTTGTTGAAACATCGAAGAAGGTTATTGGACATACAAAGAAATTTTCTGCTTTATCACCGACATCAACAACAACAGCACAAAATAAGAAAATTCCGCCACTTCGAAGAGAGTCGACAGCGAAAGCTTCAAGGAGAATATCACGCACCAAACAAATCACAACGACATCACTTTCATCTGATTCTGAAGTCGATGATGTGCCAACATCAACGACGAAAAGTAGCAAAGATAACAACAAAACAACAACAAATCGTAAGAAAGAGATTCCAAGTGATTTTCTTGTTGTGCCACAACGTGAAGCAGCAAAGAAAGCGTCTGAGAATTTAATGAAAACAAATTCAGCTCTAATGGTGCAATCAATTTCTGGTACAGCAAGTGAAAAGAATCGAAGAGAGATTCGCGAGAAACTTGACGAAACGGTGATGAGTTCAAAAGTAGGTGAAATCGAGCGAGAAAATCAAAAGGAATCGAAAGTAAAATCAGCTTCGAAGAAGGATTCAAAGAAATCAAAAGAAGAAACAAAGAAAGAGACGAAGAAAGAAAAAGTTGATATTAAAGCAACATCAGAAGTTGCTGCTGAAAAGGAGAAGGAAGATAAAGTTCATACTGATTTTGCAACTGATTTTCTGCCTTATGTTCCGCAACGACAAGCAGCGAAGAAAGCAGCTGAACATATCAAAGGTCTTGGCACATCTCAGCCTCTTCCTGTTTCACTTCCCGTTGAAGAAAAAGTTAAATCGTCTCTTGCTTCTACTAAGAAAGCAACTTCGGTTGTTGAGAGACGAAAGTCTGTCGCTGTTGATTTATCAAGTTCAAGTACATCGAGTACAAGTTCAGGTTCTGACACTGCTTCATCGTCAGAATCGGAAAGTGAACAAGAATCTCATTCAAAAGCAACAGAAAAAGTTTCTTCACTACCTACAAAAGCTTCAACAAAATCTCTACCCGCAAGACGACCGTCGGCAGCTGTTGGACTTAAACCAAAACCAAAGGATTCGCCCTTTCTTGACAAGGCTGCGAAATCCTCGGTTGTTGTTGAGTCTAGCAGTTCGTCATCGTCCTCGGATTCAGATTCATCGACCAGTGACCGTCCTAATACGACACGACTATCTGAAAAAGGAAACAATCATAAGGGAAGAGCGTCCACAAAGAAGTCTCCAAGTAAAAAATCTTCAGCATCAACAACTTCATCCCCTGTTAAAAAGGAGATTGACAAGTCAATTGCCACTCCAAAAAGACGAACATCAACAATTGCTAAAGCGTCATCGACAACAACCTCAACAACTAGCAATCGATCTCCACAAAAATCTCTTCATGAGTCAACAGCAACATCTGAAACATCAGCTGTTACTTCATCACGAAAAAGATCAACATCCATTGCAACGTCATCATCTAAAGTGTCAAGTAACAACAATAAATCCAGAACTACTGAATCCAGTAAGGGAGATTTGGTTAAATTGCCAGACAAGGGACAATCTTGTGTTGATGTAAATGAAGTGAATGAAAATGTTGGTGCCAATAAGAAATCTCAATCATCATTAGATTTATCAAATAAAAAGCGTAAAACTTCTGTTGCAATTTCATCACCAACAAAAGATGAAATTCAAGATCAAGTCAAAGAACAACGCGACTCAACTCTTCGGCGTAGCAGTCGATCGGAACAAATATCGACAACTAAAGTCACAGCACAAGAAAAATCCTTGCTTAAGAGTCCTAAGATTCATTCCTCTCTTGATTCATCACCTTCAAAGTCAAAAGAAGCTCAAAAGTTGTTGAAAACACCTACGAAGAAATCTCCAACTGAAGAAGTTTCACAAGTGAAGTTGACCAGTGCAAGTGAAGATAAGACGATGAAGAAAGTTCACGATGAGAAGAAAAATGACGTTGATCGATCTGAAGTTACTATGGATATTGATGAAAGTTTAGCGCAAAGGAAAATCATTTCTGAAAATAAGTTGATTGATATTAAGGAATCAATTCTGAAGCCTCCAACATCTGTAGGTGCAGCATCATCATCACCAATGGTGTCAATTCCAACAGCAAATTTAAACAACAGTAAAACATCATCGGATGAAGCTTTCAATAAAATCCTTCAAGATGATTCAAGAGTCCTCAACACACCAAAAAGTATTTTCTTAATTGATAAAGTTGCTGCAAAAGAAGACACTGAACGTGAAACTTTGACATTTATTGAAAAATTACGGCAAAGGAAGCCAAATGTTGTTAATATTGCTGATAACAACAACATTGTCAATGATAAAATCATCACAGAAAATCCGATTAAACTTTCTCCTTGCATGCATCAGAACGAGAATAAAAATACTCCAAAGCGTGAAATTTTAGATCCACATCAACAGCAACAGCAGCAAGTAACGAATCCCCAACAACAACAGCCAGTAATAAACAAAGCAATTGGTTCACCATCGCCAGTGATATCAAAGAAAGATCAAGAGTTTAATGATTTAAAGAAGACTTCACCATGGCATCAGCAATCACATCTTAGCAGTAGCGGACCTGACAACAATTATCAGCGTAATATTTTAACATCATCAACAAACAATAATAATAAAATGAATTCAGCAATAGAACAGCCACCAGCTCCAGCTTCTTGCATGGTGATTGAACATCAACAAAAGTTAGCGGCGTGTCAGAAAATCAATGAAGAGAATAACATGCTGGCATCAAATCGAGGTACAAATATGTTTCTTCCACCTGTAGGCATTAATACGTTGAATGAACAACCAAATCACATGGAAATTTTCAACATGCAAATGCAACAACATCAACAACAACAACAAAAGTGGTCAAAGGAACAAAAATCTACTGCGAATTTGAAGATGATGCAACAACAACAGTCAAATGTTGTGAAACGAAATCAACCAGGAATGGAGAATGTTAATTTAATTAATGATTTGAATCAACAATTTTTGAAGAATGCTACTTATCAACAATTCCCGCATAAAGGTCCCATGACAAATGATTTCAGTGCTTCGATGCATCCACATAACATGCCAGGAAGTTTCAACTCTTTCAACTTTTCAGACAATGCTTCACAATTCACTGGCGCTGTTAGTTTATTTCCACCAGCTGATATGAATGTTCAAGTGCCATTCCCATCACCAGGTCAAGCAATGTTCGCTCCAAATTTCACAAATAACTTCACAAACACACCACAACCACAAAGCAATGTCGATCATCCATTAATGATGCCAAGTGGACTACAAAACAAACCAAACTCTGCTGAAATGATGTCAAACAATCTTCGATTTGGTGCGCAACAAAATTTCTGTGCACCAACAATTACTCAACAATCACAACAACAGCAACAACTTCAATCATCATCGTCGTCTTTGGTTGATTTAGGTGGACGACAACAGAAAGGAGTTTCAGATAACAATCCAAACAACGAACAAAATGTGAGCGAAAAAGTTGAAACACAAAAGAAATCTCCATCAAAGTCAACTCGTTCGTCACCGAGAAACTCAACGCCAACACATGTTGGTGTGAAAACACCACAAAAGAGTCCATCGAAGAGTCCAAGACAACCATCAACGCCAGCTTTAACTGTCGAACCAATCTCAAGACAAAATTCTACGCAGAAAGGTAAAACAACACCAAATATCAATGAAACGACGAAACAAAGAAAAAGTCGAACAAATAGTCAAGCATCGCCAGCATCAACACCTTCGGAACATCGTGGTGTCAGTGCTGGTACTACTGCTGCAAGTGGCGGGGGGAAAGGAAGAGGACGTGGAAGTAAAAATAGTAAAACGCGCTTTCCACAAACAACAATGCCTTTTATACCATTTAGTGGCAATGATTATGTTACGATTAATAAGAAACTTGTTGGAACTGTCTACGATTTCTCTGCGGATGATGAATTCAATCAAACATCATCAGTTGAAAATCTAAGAGCGATGAGAGATCGTACGAAATCTGTTGATATTTTTAATAAACTTAATACACGCGATACATCGTCACAATCTCCTAAAACAACAAAAGCTTCAATTAAGCAACAATCGTCGATACAGAACTCATCATCGTCGTCATCATCATCAACAACACTGACAATTAACAATCATAGAATGAATGTCACGAGTAGCTCAGCAATTGATGTTGTTCCTTCAACGATAACTGATTTTGTGAACATTCCAGGCCCGGTTGATATGCGAACATATAATTCTTATGATAGTACAAATGATAGTTACAATAGTCAGTTGCTTGGTGCATTTGCATCAAACACTGTCGATCAGACACTCAATGAGATTGATGAAGAGCAAGAGAAAGAACTTCAAACAGCACTTAAAGCAAGCAATGATAAACAAAAAACGCCAACAAATGCAATCACAAATGATGATAAATCACAACAATCGTTACTTGAAATGTCGAATATTGTTGAAGAAAGTGTCGATTCAGAAGCTTCATTTGCAAAGGTATCATTGTCAGATTCACGAAATCAATTGAAATTGAAGATCAAAGGTCCACTTGCCCATCCAGATCTTCATTTTAATGCTTCAGTTAATCCAATTGTTCCTCAGAATATATCAAGTGGAGCATCGAAACGTCAAATGAGAAAGAAAGAGTTGTTGCAACAGTATTGGAATCAAGGATTGAATATTGATCAAGAACAGCCAAATCCACAATCAGTTGAACACCATACAGTGTCGAATCTTCCAAGAATTGGTGGCATTCCAAAAGCTGTCGATTCGATGAGTCTTGGACTGTTGAAAGATGAATTTCAAGACTTTAATTATGCTGAGTATAAGAAAAGAAAAAGATTTGCACTTGATGTTGATATTGGAACATCAAACAACTCTAATGTGTCGAATGCTGTCAATGACATTGATCCAATTGCACTTGATTATAATAAGAAGAGAAGGAACCGTGCAAATCGTGGTGGTCAACAACAAATGAACACAATGAATGCAAATCCACCACCAAAGCTTAAGATTAAAATTGGATCTGATATTATGGAAACAAGTGGAAGTGATTTGCCACCTAAGAAACGTCACATTGCAGCACCGCCAAGCTATCAAGATCTCAAACGTGATTCAATGAACTTTAGAAAGAAAATGATGGATGAGTTCAGTGAAGAGAAGAATAAAGAACATAGAACAAAAGAAGAGAAGCGTGAGAAGAAGGATAAGAAGAAAAAGAAGGAAAAGAAAGAGAAAAAGAAATCAGTTGAGATTGTTCATACACCGGTCGTGAAAGGAGCTCCTGTCAAATTGATCTTGAAGATAGGAAATAAATCAATGAGTACAGTGTCGAATACTTCAGCTGAGAATTCAAACTCAAGTGAATTGAATAAATCAGCACCACCGCTTAAACTTAAAATCTCAAGAAGCTCACAAGGTAATGGCGAGTACAATATTCTCAATACAAAAGATACAATTAGCAAAGTAACAGAAAAGCAACAACCAACGAATGTTGGAAACAGTTCAATAGGCCATTCTGATACTATGACGATGGTTACATCAACTCCTGTCACAAGCAGCAGCAATAATAATCTTCAACCACCAATCATTGATGCTTCCGACATAAAAAAATCATTCGAAACGAAAAAGTTAGAAGTTTCTCTTGAGAGACTTGAAGATAACGAGAAAAGTCTTTCATTTCTTAAAGGAACGACATCAACAGCAACCACGACGACGACAACAGCCAGCAATGAAAATTCTGCTGCAACTTCCGTCTCTAAAGATTGTGAAGTAAGATGATGAAGTTTAAGAAGCATGAATCAACAAGACATCATGACAAAATCTACAATTATTTAATTAATGAGGATTGTTTTAAGATTGAACACAAAGGGATTCCGGCAATTTTTATAAAAGAAAATGACCAGAAAAAAACAAACAGTAGACAAGGATTATGAAACATTTATTTATTAACTCATGTCAGTTTAATGTTTGGTCCATTCATTAATTCTCTGTTAAAAAGAATATTAAGAGGAATTTTTCAATTTTCGTAAGAATTCCAAATTTAACTTCAGGTGCAGCATTAACCACCACCAACATCCCCTCACCCCCCATCCCTTCCCATATAAAATAATTAACCATTTAAATAATATTGTAAATAATTAAGTGTAAAATATGATAAAGATGAAAAGAAAAAATGTAAGACTATAAACTGATGAAGATTAGATTATTAAGCAGTCGTGGAAGATTTTAAGCAACATAAAAGAAAATTATTGAAACGATAAAAAATTATAATCCTAATATACCTACCTAAATTAAATTATTAATTTTCTTTCATTTTTATTTTTGGCTCGTCTCTAAATATTTGAGTATCGTGTAAAAACAAACAAAATAAAACATGCAAAGCATAATCTTATTTCATCTAACTTCTCCATGAAAGAAATTCCAGCAGATTACTATAAAAATCACTCCTCTCATTCACATAAACTTAAAGTTTTTTTTTTGGTCAATAGAAATACAAATGTTAAAAAGATATTATTGTAACTATTTTTGATACATGCAGAGATTTTTTTTGTCTTAATTCAATGATGATCAACATCTAATTTCTGTTGTAGCAAAGCTCATTAAATTGAAACACTTCCTTAGGATCAACAAACTCTTAATTGTATCATTATACTTAATTTGTATTCAAGAGCAACAGCAACTTCAAATTTCCTTAATTTATGCTTTAACTCTGTGTTTTTATGTTAATTCAGATAAAAAAGAACTTTAATTATCTTTATTTCTTTTTGTTATATGAAAGGAGAGAAAAAAAATGCAAATGAAAGAAAAACATTGCAAAATAAAATTTAACTCTTTTATAATTATAACTTTTATTTATTTTTGATTTCAAGGCTGAACATTTTTTCTTCATTTCATGATCATCATCTTTAAATGTTTGTCATCGCATGGCTTTATTTTCTATCAATTAACATTAATCAACACATGCATTAAACACATTTCGGTAAAGTATCATCTCGTGTAAGCTTAGGAAAAGAATTATTAAGAACGAGAGTTAAAATTTGTAAATCAATAATTTTTTTATTTCCATAAAGTAACAGCAAAATTTCTGCAATAAAATTTTTATACTAGCTTAAAAAACGGTAACAAAAAATGAAACATAAATATTTATTAAAACAGCTTAAGATAATCTTAAATTAATAAAGTTTCACAAATGAGATGAGATGAAAAGGTTTTAGTCAAAATGAAAATCGCGTAAGTTCAAAAATATTTAATGTTACACTTTATTTAATAACAAACAAGAAAACATTTAAACGTGAGCTCAAAGAGCTTTTAAATGATTTTTTTTTCATCGAATAGTTTTAATTTGTAAGGTGAAAGATAAAGTATTATAAGTATCGAAAAGCGTTGTTTAAATGAAAAGCTCATAATGAAATTTTAGTCGAATACTTTTAAGTGTTTATTACTTAGAACTCATGATTTTTTCCAACAGATATATTTTCTTCCACTCTCATCTGTAAATATCTTTGGAGAAACATGTATCTGATATGTTACTGTACAAAAGAAAAGCATTAATTATATTAACAACAAACACTCTCGATATAACGGTAGATATAAATATGTAGTCAAAAAATAAAACCTTTTCGTAACTTTTAAAAAGAACAAAATTAATTTAAATAATGAAAAATAATAATGCAGGTTGCACAATTAAAAAAAAGAAATGAAAATGTATTCCAATCGTAATTCATTCATTAATTTTTATCAACTTTGAAGAAACAAAGATCAATCAATTAAAATTGAGTAGAAGAAAGATCACAAAGTTACGAATTTCTTTATTTTGTTAAATTTCAAAGCTAAATTAATTACATTCTAAAACATCGTAAACATATATCGAAGGATAATTTTTCGTTTTGGCAATATTAAAGAATAAATTTTTGTTAGTGCCAGTAAAATGACAAAAATCGACATTGTCAACCCACAGCAGTTACTCAAGTAAGAATCAAGCACAGATTCGCAAAGATGAAAATTAACACCTTAAACCTTACTCGTGTCTATCTTTTGAATAAGAAGACGAAAACAAAAATCATTGTAAATATGAAAAATTTTGAAAATAAAGAAAATGATTATTTAAAAAATAGATAATGAATTTTTATTTTATTTCACTTTGCTACTTTTACTATCTTTTGAAATAGGTATTGAAGGTATGTACTAGGTAGTTATGTAACATAACTCGTACATTGAAAATGTTTCTTTACAAAGTTTATAACAAGGATGCTTTTTTTATAGTGATAGTCAGTGTTAATCATGAAAAAGAAATAAATATAATAAATAAGTGACATATCTACTTAAATTAATTACCTACACACATATCTAAAGCAAAAAAATAAGAATAAATAGAAAGCAGCGAGTTAAGAACCAAAAGATTAAAACCTTTAAAGCTTCTTTCGAATTACGTCATGACGATTGTTTTCAAGTTTACTTTGTTAAGCTTTTTTAGTTAATTAATTAAAAACCGTTAAAAATTAATTCAAATAATAAATGAAAATTCAATTTTACGTTTATGATCCAACAAAACAAATGTGAAATCTTCCAATCGACCAACAGTTGCATTTGATCATAAGTGAGATTTCCTAATCATCGTCATTTCAGATTAAGAAATCCCGATTAAGATTAAGATTAAGAAACACTTTTTAAAATTCACCCACGAAGAAATCTGTTTTAAATCAACTTGCTTAATTTCTGACATTAAACTTGTGAAGGATCAAAAATTGGGATGAAGAATAAAAAAAGTTTTTTCTGCTCTCTTAAAATTTTGTTTTTGTTTTGTTTTAGATATCTAATTCTTTATTTTTTTCTTTTATGAATTTCAATTTCTTATAAAAAATAAGTTCGGTAACAAAAATAAATTCTTTAATTTATTACATTTAAATTCATAGTAAGCATTCTAACGATCAGAACTCTTTGGTCCATGACCATTTAACATTCGGTACGAACCAGAAGAGTTATTTGATGATGAAAAATTAAAAGGTCGTAATGAATCGTTCAAAGCAGTGGATAAGAATGTAGAAGGACTTGAGCATGCTGAAGTAAATGTCGGCACATCATGGCTTAAATTAAATCCTATGCAGCTGATATTATCACCAGTTGAATTTGGAAGTTTAATCGGTTGTGAAAATGTTCCTTTTTCTCCAAAGGTTCTATTTTGAGTCTTGTTGGGAAGAGTGTTTGTCGATGTTGATGGTTGAGGCTGAGGTGAATTTTGACTGTTATCAAAATTAAAATTAAATCCTGCTATAGGTTGCTGACTTGAAGTGTTATATGAGAATCCAGTCGGTTTCTTGTTCATTTGAATGCATGGTCTCTTTAAGATTTGCTGATGATTTTGTTGCCGAGAAGATCCAAATCCATTGCTTGCTGATGATGAAGAATTATCTTTGTTCGAACCTTTTTGAATTTTACTTGGAATTATAAAATTCAGCGGAGGAGATTTTTTAAAATCCGCTTTTGGTTCTTGAGCTTCAGGACTAATTTGAAACGATGACACATCAGCCTTATTCAGATTACTCGTAGTTGCCAACGAACTTGATTGATTATTAAGATTTATTTTCGATGCAATTTCTAGAGTTTTTTTATCAACATCGATACATGCAGTATTATAATTGTCATTGCTTGGATCTAAGTAATGTAAACGTTCCTGATGCATTCGTCGTAATTGTTTCTCTCCAAGCAAATCAAGCTTTAGAATTTTTATTGCTTCATTTAATTTAACAATTTGTTCTTGAGAATCCTTTCTTATACTTTTAAGTCCTGCCAATGCCATATCATCTAATTGCTTCTGACGTTCATATTTCTTGATCTTCTCAGCATTGTCTTTTAGTTCTTGCTCTAAATTTAATATTTTTTGTTGTTGTTTCGCTTTTTCATCTTTCAGTAGTTTCATTTCTTTTGATATTTCATCATTTGTTTTAAGAATCTCATCGAAATTTAAAGCTCCTTTATTATCGTCAACTTCAAAAAATAATTTTATGAGATTATGGCTATTTGTTGCAGTGCGACACGTTGGACAACTTCTGGAACTAATAATAAAGTTTCAATAAATGAATTGAAAATATATTTCTTTAGACTTAAAAGCAATTTCAAGAACAAAAGGTTTTGACTTTAGTTATATTAAAATATTTACTTACTTAAAATTATGAAACTTACCTTGTTTTGAGCCAATTTTCTAAGCAGTTTCGATGAAATATGTGTCCACATTGTGTTGATATTATGTTTTCAGTCTTTAATTGGAGTTCAGAACAAATTGGACAAAAAAGATTCATGTTTGTTGATTAAAGTTATCTTTAAAAGTTTTCTATAAGAAAAAAAATAAACAAACGAATATTTGAAACCTGTTTAAAAGAAATTGCTAGTTTATTAAACACAGTACCTTATGTTCTTTTCTGATTTCTTCAAATATATCGAAACAAATGTTGATATACTATAAATTTAATTAAATTTATTTTAATTTTCTTTTAAAGTTAAGAAAATTGACGTTAACATCAATTTCAAAACATTGTTTTTCAAAGAAATTTTTATTTTTCGACATGTCGAAACAATAAATTTCCGTTAATTGTCACTTATCACAAAACAACACCAAGTTAAACATTGCTCAAAGAAGCTTGAGTCTCGACGATAAAATTATTATATTTCATAAGAATTCTCATAACTTTTCAACATGAGCAGTCAAAATATCAATCCTGATAGTATACCTAGCTCAAAAATCAACCAAGATGAATCAACTGTTTCAAAAGGAAGCGTAAAGGGAAGGTAATTAAGAATTGAAAAATGAAAGTCTCATCAATGAAAATATTGAAAAATTTCGAAAACTTAATTGAATGTTTTTATTAAAAGTTATGTTTCTTGTTTTATTTCTTCAAAGGTTGCAGAAGGAACTTATGGCCCTAATGATGAGCACTGAAAAAAGTGTTTCAGCATTTCCAGAAAATGAAAACTTTTTCCGATGGCTCGGTACCATTGTTGGTAAGGAAAAAAAATATAAAAATTAAAATCCAGGAAGCTAATCATATTTTTTTCTTTCTTGTAATTTTCTAGGACCTAAGGACACTGTGTACGAAGGTCAACGCTATCGTTTATTGCTCGAGTTTCCAAATTCTTATCCTTACTCACCACCCGTAGTCACATTTGTCACAAAATGCTTCCACCCTAACATCGACTTAAATGGCGCCCTTTGTCTCGACATTTTGAAGGAAAAGTGGTCAGCATTGTATGACGTGAGAACAATTTTACTTTCTATTCAAAGTCTTTTGGGAGAGCCAAACAATGATAGTCCACTAAACTCACAAGCTGCTACCTTATGGGCTGATCAATATGCATACAAAAAGCATCTCGATCAGTTTTACGAAAAACATAAAGATGCATGATCGCCATTTACCGAATCACTAGCTGAAATGTGAATTGTGTGAGGGTGAAAGGAACAGTCTCGGCAAGTCCTCTCACAAAGAGATAAATTTATATTATTTAAAAATGTTTTTTCTTCTTTTTCTCTTTGATTTATTTTATTCACACATTTATGTTTTCATTTAAATCTATCGATGTGTCACAAATGATCATCTGATGGGAAATTCTTCTGATATTCATATTTTCCCTTTATCTAAATATTCCAACTGTAACTAACTCCTTTCAATTAAATTTTCAAAAATTCATCATTCCTCAAACAAACAAATAAAAAGAAAAAGAAATACAACAATTAGCACCGAAGATGAAATCTCACAATTTTTGTGAATTTCTTTTTAGTTTATGTAATAAAATTAAGAATTTACAAACTGATCAATGAAATTTAATGGCTTTTTTATTTTTATTATGAATAATCAAGAATTTCACTTTTCATTAGCACGAAATATTTCGATACTGATGACATTAAGCGGACTAACAGTTTCAGATAACTGTTTTTAACAGCATTTTGCAGCACCCACTAAATCAATAAGAATTTTCGTCAATTTCTGTAAAAATATTCAGTTGAGAATTGAAGTTGATCGAAGAATGAAGGTGATTGTGTTGTTCTGTTTTATCTTTTGGATTTTGATGAAATCAAATGTATCGTTTGCAAGAGAGAAAATTGTCGGTGGTCAAATTGCAGATCCACATTCCTTTCCTTATCAGGTCGCAATTTTAGTCAAAACGAAATCAAAAACTATCACATTGTGCGGTGGATCGATAGTTGATATGAAAGTTGTTTTAACTGCAGGTCATTGTCTTAAGAATGCTGATGGTGGTGTCATCATCATTGGTACAAATGATTTGCTTTCTAATGAGACAGATGTTGTTCGTCATTATGTTGATTCATCAAGCTTTAAAGTTCACCCACAATTTAACATTCACGTTGCTTATCTTGACGTTGCATTAATTTTCTTACCTGAACCTCTGAAATTTTCAAATGCTATTCAATCTGTTAAGTTGCCATCTGGTTATCTCTTGGATGAATCATTTGCGGGGGAAATTGGAACAGTTTCCGGTTATGGTCAATATTGTGATACATGTGGATCATCAAATCTGTTAAGATTCACACAAAATCGTGTGATGCAAAATAAAGAATGTGGAAAATCATTTGAAATTGGTTTAATTCCTTCTGAAAATCATGTTTGTTTGTCAACAGTTGAAACTAATTCTGGAAATTGTCGTGGAGATTCAGGTAATCGAATAAAAGAAGTTACAGAAAAAAGAAATAATTAAAAAGTTAAAAATCATTGAACAACTCAGGTGGACCTTTGACGATCTTTCGAAGTAACAAAACTATTCAAATCGGTTTATCATCGTTTGGATCTAAGAATTGTGAAAAAGGATCGCCAACAGTATTCACACGGCTAACAAGAGAAATCGTATCTTGGATCAATGAAGAAATCGAAACAACAAAATTATGATTTTATATTTTAGTGACAATTTATTTTTATTATAGAAACTAAGTAATGCCATCTTTTCACACAGCAATGCATTTTAACATTAAAATCACTCGATGAGACTTTTGCTTTGTAACAATTTAAATTGTAATGTATGATGATGAATGTAATAAAGTCTCAAATGATGCAATTACTGATGAAAACTAAGGAATAAAAGAAATTAAATTATACTAAATTTTCTACATGCTCTTTTTTTTGTCAAATCCATTTATGTTGTTTATGTAAATATTTACAGTCATCAATGTTCATTAGTTTATTAGAATTTGAATTGAATTGCATCGAATCTGCATTGCTCGTAAAATTAAAATCACACAATATCTCAAAAGTAACATCTAAACTCTATGAAGAATAAAAGTTAATTATATTTATAGATACGAATTAAATTATATTTAGTTAGATAACGGAAACAAATAATGAAATAGACAAATTTGTTTCGTCGAGTGCTAAATATAATTTTTTATCTTCTTTCTCTTAAACTTTAAGAAGACGAAACAGTAAAAATAATAAACTTCAATTAAGACTAACTGGTGATGTATTATTTTCATGTGGACGAGAAAAAGCTGCTGGTGGAATTGGTGGGAAAGAAATCTTTGAGCAAAGTCATTCGACGTTTTTCTGCGATGTCCATTTGATTTTCAATATCACCTCGATCACGATCTGTAGTTTCTACTCTTTCAATTTTCCATGATAAATTTTCTATTTCGGCTTCAAGTTGAGCCTATGGAAAGAAAATTTCATAAATCCATTGTCAATAATCATAATGTTAAGAAATCTTACTTGTTGATATTCAAATAGATCTTTACGTGATGATGCTTCCATGTAATAAGCGTATGGATAAGTATATTGTAATGTGTAACGACATTTGGCGAGAAGTGAAGCAGCAACGAATAAATATTGCCAATCGATCCAAGTTGAAGAATTTAATCCTTTCATCACTTTCTCATTAATTCGAGTTTTAAGACGATCCAATGTTTGTTGTTCAAGTTGAAGAGACTTGGAATGATTTTCCCATCGTTCGTAGTAGTGAAGATACTTTTTGAGTGCTTCCCGAGCCTTAAATAAATTTATTGTAGAATATTTTCGAATTTAATAATAAGAAAAGCCATCAAATTTACCTGAGCATGTACAGATTCATTAGCGATGTTTGGATTCTCTTTGTATCTTGAACATTCGTAGTATTCACTTCCGTGACTTTTCCAGTCACCCAAACACATCCAGCAAAAGTCATGTTTACAATTAAAACATTCTAATGAAGAAAAAAACAAAATTAACTCACGATTTTGTATTCAATTAGGTATAGCAACTTACGCATATGATTACATCCACCATTTTTCTCTATGCAAATATTACATTTAGGACAGTCTTTCGTGTTTGCTGAGATATAATTTGCGGTTTCACTGTCATCAGCACATTTCGTGAGCCATTTTTTAATTGTAACGCAATCAGTTGGGGCATGATAATCATTACCACATCGGAAGCAAAATGATGTCGTACACATTTTACAAGTAGATTTCTTAGCACTAAAATCCGGACTTCTTATGATTACTTGACAATTAGTTCCGGGACAGAATCTTAACTCAGGATGCGATTTAACATAATCTTGAAAAGCGAATTGTTGATATTTATCACGGACTTGTGGACGTGACACTAAAGTCAAAACGAGATCTTCTGGAACAAGAACTTCACATCCAGCAGCCATGCAACGTATCTGTGTTGAAATACCTTGGGATATTTGGATTTCGAAATGCATCGACCAGCAGCTTTTGCAGAATGAGTGGGCGCACGACAAGTTGCTAAATTTATCAAATGGCTGAGTTTGTATACAAACTGGACAAAGTAATGTCACATATGCTACTTTCTTTCCATTTCCCGACTTTATTCGGGAACTAACTAATAGATTCGAAGCGTTGTCACGATATTTCTCAACGATACCATTTGTATCCCATTTATGCTCATGCAGGAGAACTTTTGCAAGTGATGGTGTGATTTTTAAAGTGTTACTTAATTTCTCAACTGATTCATTTAAAAGTTTTTCCACTTCATCAACTGTTAGACAATCATATACGAAATATTCGGGATCGGTTTTCTTCGGGTCAACGTTATCAATGTCATCCTCATTACCTAAATAAGAAGAAAAGAATTTTTATTTTAGACATGATTCATAACGCGATGAATTCGCATTGAACGAAAAATTGAATGAATTATGACGACGATGATGATAATCGTCATCGTGGGGGCCTCGAAACTGAACACTTCCATTTAATTTTACCCCTCCAGTAGATCATAATTCATATTTTCGTCATCGTGTGTTATTGAACTACATCATTGTAGGCATTGTTTTCATGATGGTCATATTTATTTACTTACAATGTTAACTAAATATTTCAATGTGGAAATGGAAATACAAGAGCAAAAGAAATACAAAAGTTCAAGGATATTCAAGAAAGTTTTTTTTCTCAGCCGATTAATAAAAAGCTTTGCTCGTGTATTTAATTCTATTTTTATATAGCCCATGCAGCACTTAAAACGAACTTTATTGCACTGAACTTCAAAATTATAATATTAGATTATGTATGAGCTTTGTGTACATTTATTCTAATATAAATATCAGTTTTTTATTTAATGAAGTTTTTTCTCGTCGTTTTTGAGCTTACCGTAATAATCCATCGGATCATCAAGATCATCGTCCGAATATTCCATATCAGAATCGCACATTTTACTTATTTTTTCTTATCTCCTGCAGATGTTTTTAATGAAAGAACCTTTAAAAGCCTACGATCAATTTTTTCTTTCTTTTTTTGTTAAATTAAAGACCTTCGAATCATAAAAATGTCTGCAGAAATTCTTATTCACTATAATTCGTCATTTTACTGTCCTTTTGACTAATCTAAAACTATCGAGAGTTTTCAAGAGACATAGGCCTAAAGTTATATTTTGTTTCTAATTCTTGAAAACAGGAGAAGTCACTTAAATTGCGATGAAATGGAATTAATTTTTTTTCTTTCAGAAGTGTTGAGAAATATTTCTTTGTGAGATCATTTTTGACTGTCTGGCAATATTTACAAAAAAAGTCGACTTGTCGACAAAAGTTTCCTTCCATGTGGAAAAATATCACAACAAACGAATAGAAATCTTATTAAAATCTTTTTATTGACTCATTTAAACAAAATAGCATTAATATTGATAATTAAAGTAAGATGGTTGTATTCACATGTAATCATTGCGGTGAAAGCTTAAAGAAAAATAACGTAGAAAAGCATATGTCAAGATGTAACAAAAATGTTTCTGTTTCCTGTATGGATTGCTTTAAAGACTTTGATAGACAATCATATAGTGCTCATACGCAGTGCGTCACAGAACTTCAAAGGTATTCAGGAAAAGATTACGTACCAAAGGCTAATCTTAACAAAGGACAGAAAAAACAAGAAGCATGGGTAAGCTTTAATCAATTTATCTATTAAAAATTATAATTATTGTTTGTTTTTTTGAATAAAGGTTGATATTGTAAGATCAATAACAGATAAAAAATCACATCTTTCCAATGGCGTTAAGAAGATTCTTGAAACAATTTCATCTTATGACAACATCCCTCGAAAGAAAGCAAAGTTCCTGAATTTTATGAAAAATTCTTTTCGTTATATGAAGCATAACGAATTGGAAGAAGCTTGGACATTGTTAGAGGAAGCATTAAAAGACAATAAAGGTCCTGCGGTCCAAGACAAAAAAGTTATTGAAACCTCTGAAGTTAATGGAAAACGAAAGCTTGATGAAGAAAAAGTTCCAATTGAGGATAATAATGAAGAATCAGAAATTATTGAACCGCCTCAGAAGAAGAAAAAGAAAAACGAATCAAATGATGTTGTCGAATATGAAACTCTTCCAAATGAACAGCCATTAACTATTGAATCAAGTGAAAAATTCAGCTGGAATGAAACAATTCGCAGCATATTGTCACAAAAATGTAGTGAATTTAAATTGAAGAAACTCAAGAAGAAAGTTCTCAAAAAATATCAGATCTTAACTGGGGATATTTGGAGTGAAAAGCAAGATAATAAGTTTCTGAAAAAAATCCAAAAACTCAAAGGAGTTGAAGTTGTTGACAATGAAAAAGTACGATTAGTTGGATAATTAAACGTCGAATCTTTAATTAAAAAAAAAGATTAATAAAAGCTTAAAGAAAAAAATAATAAAACAAGAATAAAGTTCTTTTGCACTTTAGTTTATTAATAAATTGTTAAGAATTGTTTTCTGTCTTAATAACTTTTTATCTCTCTCTACATCAATCAAATTTTTATATTTTCGATATTTGTTTTCATGCTTCCAAAATATTTTTTTTCTCTCTTTATTGGGATGAATATTTTAGTAAATTTGTAATTTAATAGTTTTCAGCATCAATGTTTTAGAAGGAAAAGGAAATGTGCGACAATGCATAAATGTCATTCCTTTTATCATGATTTTCACACCAAAGAGAAGTTTCAAGAACAAGGAAAGTTTCGTTCATGAAATTTTAATGCAAATGGATTTTCTTTTCTTTGTCTTTTTTTTTCGGTGTTTAATTCAAATCAAAGCAAATAAATTATTTAACAATAATGTTCAAGTATTTTACAATCATTTCTCTAGTCTATCTATTAGAATAATTTTCTTCTTTTTTCATTTTTCTTCTTTTGTAAATAAATTAGCAATTCTCATCGAGAGAAAACAAACAAAATAAAAAAAAATTTAAATGGCTAAATCAGGTAATTAAGAGTTAGTTTGCACAATTCTTTTTTAAGCTATGGATGTCTACATAATTTGTGATTGATTCTTGAATAAGAAGTTAACAGAAAATTTAGAACTCGACGTCGATGTCTCATTTGGTCAAAGAATTAAAAGGATAATTAAAAAATCAATTAAAATATTAACAATTCATCATCGTTAGATGTTTTTTGATGTAGGTAGTATGAGAAAAAAAGAGCTTTTTGATGATAATTTAAGGGTAGGTAAATGTTGATGGAAATTCATCAGAATTTTAATTTAATTCATACATCCAACAAGCATTAAATTAGCGTTTACACAAAAGTTTCTTTTGAATATTCTGAATTATTTTCTCCTTCAGTACTCCGCTGATTGTATGAGTTAAAAGTTTACTTTTCTTATCTTTCAAATGTTTTCTTTTTTTCTTTGTTTAGTTTGGTTTAAGTTGACTCGATTACTAAGAATGAATGAAAGATTAGATAAAAGCTTGACGGAAAGCAACATCATTAAAGAAGTGTTTTTTATGTTATCAAATGTATTTTTATACTTTAAATAACGCGTGTTGATGGTTTAATGTCACTAACCCATTAATGGCTCTTCTGATTTTTTCTTGCTTCGTGAGTCATCACTACTGCGATTGGAAATGGTTGGTAATGTTTCAGCAACAGCAGCTCTTTCAGCTAAAAACTTATCAAACTCTTTACTGGTTAAACTTTCTTCGCCTTCATTTGCTGCCGGCTTTTCAGCTTTAAGCCACTCTTCAATCTCATCAAAATCTGTGGGCTTTGCATTTGTTTGACCTTGTAGAAGATCAACGTCAAGATCTTTGGTTGTCGTTTTTCCATCACTCGTTCGTGACTGCGCAAGCATATCAAACTCATCAACTTTTGCGGGTGTACTTTTGATCTTGCTTAGCTGCGATGTCGCTGTTAATAAATTTCAATTAATAATTTGTTTAAGTAAAAAATAAATTTCTTACATAAAGAAGAAAATTTGGTGTTCAAGTCACTATCGACTCCGGTTGCCTGATCATTCAGATCAATTAATGAATCTTTCTGCGTATCTGAATTCGAAGCTGGGACACCTACGTAAGCAAAATATATTAAAAATAATTCCGAGAACTATAAAAAAATTTTTTACCAAGAGCAGCTCCTAAAATTGCTGACGGTCTATCAGATGCAGTCTTAGGATCTTTGTTCTTCTCATAACGTTGGTATCGTAAGAACAAATTGTTGAGTTCATCATTCAATCGTAAAAGCTCTGCTGTTATTTCATCATTGTTAACTTTTCCAATCAAATCAACGATTCGTGTTTGCATTTCTTTACACGTCGCAACCAAATCAATAAGAAGCTTGTAATCAGCAGGTGATTCACGGTTTGGATTTAATTCAGTTAACATTTCACTTAGAATAGTCATATTCATCGACACAATGTCGAGTTCAGATTGAAGTTTAGCAATTTGATCTTGTGCAACGCCTCCAGCGCTTGGATGTGGTGAGTCACTGACATCATGATGTGGAGATCTCTGCTGTGGTTGTGGATGTGCTACTGGAGGGGCTGTGACAACACTCTAAAATTTCATTTTATAAAAAATCATTCAAGCATCAATTAATCATTTCATGCTCTATTTTCTCACCTTTTGTGGTGTATAAATCGGCACCGAATTGTCGGGGTCGATACTAGGGAATTCAATTCCTTTGTTTCTTAGCTCTTGATAAACTTCAACGACTCCTTTCAAGTCGGGTTGTGTTGCAAAAGTATCTGCCCAGATTTGAATTAAGCTTAGCACTTTCTCTTGCACTGCTGTTGGTGGATCATATTTTGGTCCAATGAGCTTCACAAGTTCCTGAATAAACTCTTTGTTCGCCACCAAGACATGGAAATTTTTGCCACAATTTTTAACACACGTCTCTAATACTGTCAACGTAAGTCTGGGATAAGAAATAAAAACAAAAATAATCAAAGATAATGTGTTACGTTTCATTCCAATTACTCACAAAATGACTGTGTAGTTCTTGCCGACATATTGTGTCAAACGTTTACGAATTGCTTTCATGGCATCTTTACTATTGGCATCTGAAGATGATTCATTGATCATGTCACAAATCTCCATGTTTAAAGCCCAATTTTCTGATTCCAAACTTGGATCAGTTGCTTGCTCTAAATTAATGAAACAATTGACGAAAACATTTTTATAAATAAATATCATGAGTCATAGACTACGATCAACTTGGAAATCAAAGGGCACAGTGGAAGGTCGCGCATGATAAAAATACGACACAACAATTTCGATAGATAAGCAAACAACTGCTTGTTCAAAAAATGAGCATTTTACTTGAAATTGCAATAAAATGTACATTAGATTACGACTGATATCTTTCTTTGTCTGTAGTGCATGATGATGAGTTGCTAATTAAATAAATAGTGTTCATAGCACGTTGCTCTGTCTATAGCGTTTGTACATTTTTGCATTTTCAACAAGAATATTCTTTGTTAACAGATGAATAATTATCATGAAATAAAGAAATAAGAAATAAGAATCATGAAATAAGTACTTCGGTTACATTAAAATTAAACACTCCCTGTAGTTTGTTGTTGGATTTTTTCTTTGGTAAAATTTTCCGATAAAAAATAATTCGCAGATCGAAACGGATAATTAATTGGTGACAAAGATAAAAACATGAATGTAGAAAATGAACAAATAAAGCCTTATGTTTACCGATTTTTAATCCAATTGCCGAGTTAAAAGGATTTGATAGTTGTAAGTTCAAATTATTCAGGAAATTTGCCATTTTAAAGTTGTTTCGTTCAAACTTCCAACACTCACTCACACAAGAAACTTTAAATAACAGGAAAGTCTGTTTTGATTATTAAAAAATCACTCTTAAAACTTTGTAAATCAATTTATTTGATTTCTGTTTTTCTTCGCAAAAACAAAGTGTTGCCAGCTTCAAAGTTTTAATAAAGCATGTGTGGCAACATTTTCGAAAAAGACTTAATTTTTTTACGTTTATTTAATTTGGATAAATGATATAATAATCACAAAGTGCACATTTTAAGATGGTGTTAGATGATGTTAGATTTATCTTATCGAGTGTTTGGTTGCTTTAAATGAAATGTTAACGTCATCTGGCAACACTATTATTTTCGATTTCGAACATTTCGAGTGAAGAAAATTCGATTTTGACTTGTAACAAGAAAAATAAATTTTCCAATCTAATGGCTTGTACGGCGAGTAAAGTTCCCTTGTTCCGCACATTAGTTGTAAGTACAATCTAGACATATCAAAGTTCTACTTTTTCTCAAATGAACTCTTGAACTCGTTTTGTTTTCCGATAAAGTAGAAAAGTGCTCGGAATTGTATTTTGTGTTATGCAATTTTCCAATTTTTTATTATAGGCTCGCGGGTATGCATCTCAACCTGCAGCAGCAGTTGCATCAAAATCTGGTGAGATTCATACAACAACTTTACCTAACAAGCTCTATGTAGCATCGACAGAAACTGGTTCAGCAATTTCACGAGTTTCTATCGCTTTTCGGTGAGTCGCAACCATTCAAAATGTTTTTGAATTAAAGAAAATAACATTGTTTTTATATTGTAGTGTTGGAGCCCGAAATGAGACTTATAACACTCAAGGAGCTTCACATCTGATGCGTATTGCTGCTGGATTGTCAACAAAAAATGCTTCGGGATTCGGAATCACCAGAAACATTCAACAAATTGGTGGCAGTCTTTCAGTTACATCAGATCGTGAGATGATCGCTTATACGCTAGAAGTCACTAGAGATCAACTCGAGACAGCTTTACAGTTTCTCGAAAAAATGGCCATTGGACAAGTGTTCAAGCCTTGGGAAATTTCCGATAGCTTGCCTCGTTTGAAAGTTGACTTGGCTCTTGTCTCAGACCAAGTTCATGCTGTTGAACTCCTGCATAAAATTGCTTATCGTAATGGCTTAGGCTACTCCATCTTCTGTCCAGAACACCAAATTGGAAAGCTCTCCTCCGAGACACTTCAGCATTTCTATGCAACCAATTTCACTTCGAATCGTGCTGCTGTTACTGGTCTGAATATCGACCACCAAATTTTGTCAGGATATGCTCAGAATCTTGCTTTAGAAACTGGCGCTGGTGCCAACAATGTTTGCAAATTTCACGGAGGTGCTGATGGACGTTTAGATAAAGGTGGACGTAGTGCAACAGTTGCCGTAGCATCAAACGGTGGTTCATGGGGAGATATCCAAGAAGGTCTCGCTTTTTCAGTTTTACAATATGCTGCTGGAGTTGCACCAGCCACAAAACGCGGTGCATGCAACGGAGCTTTGACTAAAATCATTCAAGCTGCAGCACCAAATTCAGCAGCCTCTGCTTTGAATGCTGTCTATTCAGACAATGGACTTTTTGGATTTATCACAACTGGACCTGCTAAAGAAGTTGGCGCTGCTGTCGAAGCTGGAATTAAAGCTTTGAAATCAGCTTCAATAAGTGATCAAGATGTAATGCGTGGAAAAGCTGGATTAAAAGCTGCCATTGCTTATGCGTATGAACAAGATTCAAGTTTACTTCATGCTTTAACTGGACAAGCTCTTCTTGGCCAAACAATGAATCTTAAGACCATTCTTGATACTGTTGAGAGCGTTCAAACTTCAAATGTCAAATCTGTAAGTGTCATGAACAAAGTTTTGAAGCACATAAATTTATTTCATTTTTTCAGGCTGCTCAGAAAGTTTCAAGAGAAAAAGTATCGATCGCTGCAGTTGGAAATCTTGAACACATCCCATATGCTGCTGATCTTAATTAGATTGTGAGAATGTTATAAAATATTTAAAAAAATCAATTAGATTAAAGGAATTCACAAAATAATTAAAATTGGTGTTTAAAAGCTGACTTCGAGCTATAAATAAGTTTTTGAAAGGCTTATAATGTGAGAAAACAATTGAAGTTCCATCAGAAATAAAAGGAAAATTCAAAACCTTATAATTGGAAAATATTTTTTTATTAGTTTCTAATTTTTGATTAGCATTGGAACATTTTTTTTATATTACTAAATTCTTGGTTAAATTAATATGAAATTCAGATACGCTTTTGATTACAAAATACCAACGATTATGATGGCAACAAATAAGGAAATAATAACTACCCAATAGCTCCAAGTAGAATCATGTTCACTGACACGTTCAACGTGTCTTGTTTCGTTATTAACACGATCAGATGTATGATCCATTTGCACAGTAATGTTATCAATTATCTCACTTTGATCTTCAATTTCAGTTCCAATTCTCATAGCAAGTTTTTTTTGGCGTGAAATGACTTGGGAAAGATTTTCAAGGCCTTTATCTTGTTCCTTAATGATTTGCGTTTGCTCGGAACGTAGTGAATCAATTGGAACATTGTTTTCAAGTATTGGATCATCGTCATCAAAGGGATTAGTGATTCTTGTGGAAGAACTTCCAGAAACTTCAAACAATTGATTTCTCGTTGATGCACTTGATGTATTTTGAAATCTTGAATCTAATTGCACTTTTTTTGATGCTAATACTTCAAGTTGTCTCATTCGCCTTTCTCGTTCTTGCTCAGTTATAAAAGATTTTCCAATGTTATTTAACTTCTTTTTGAGTTGAGTCATTTCATTTTCAAATTGTTTAAGTTGAATTCTGATACGAGCCGAGATTTTGTTATATTCTAAAAAGATGTTACAAGACTTATGACTAATGAATATTGATAAGGAAAAGTTTCGTAGATAAGAAGTTTGAATGTGAATATTGAAAAATGATCAATAACTTTAGTTTCTAAAATACTTTTAAGAAATTAAAGCATTATTTCTTATAATTTGGAGCACATTCCAGAACACGAAAAGATTTTGGTAACAAAGAAATACCTGAAGTTAATTTTTGTGAATCTCGATCACTTATTTGTTTTTGTATTTGTTGCGATAATCTTTCGAGTGCTGCAAACTCATTCAGCCAGGAGTCTTCATCAACATTTATCAACGCCATTTTGTAAGGTAATATAGAGGAAATGAAAAATTCCTCACAAAATTTAAAGAAATTCAATAATTGAATAAGTTTAGATAACAATAACAAATCAAACGGGTGTACCAGAAACGCGAACAACTTTAAGCTTTTCGACATTAGCATCTTGCTTTGTTTTGTCCGAATGTCACAGATTTTCGGTTTAGAAAAGCTTTTCGATTGTGCAATTCTTGTAATTCTATTGTTTCGTAAAAAAATCTTAATTGATCACTGTTCAGGTTTTGAAATCGAATTTAATATCGTTATTTGATTGAAAACTAACTTCATAAGAGTAAAAAAGTTTCAAGTAATAAGTGTATCGTCATTTGAATAAGGATACAATTTATATAAACATAAATTAGTGCAGAAATTATGAAAAATAAGGCAACGAAAAATATGACGAAAAAAATCGACTTTTATTGACGATTCGTGATTTAAAGAGCAAATCAAATGTGTAGAGTATCGATATTTATGTGATGTGTTATCAGAAATCGATTAAATTCAACAAGAGAACGTCCCACGACTAATTGAATAGATTCATTAAGGCCCAATTAAAACCAAAAAAATATTTTGCAAGTTTTTTTTCTTCAACTGCCTCATTGGCTACATACGTATACCATCAATAACTTAGACAGACTTTCTTCCTCTGTGCAAACGAAGAAAAACTATACAACCAGTGAAAGGTGAGTACATAGTGTCTGTTGTTGCAACAACAATTTAAATGCCCAAATACAGATAGAAAAAAGTTAAAACGTAGAAACTGTAATTACACGAAAACCAAAAATAATGAGATGAAAACGAGAACCTATAAAGTTACTGTAAATTCCAAGTGAAAGAAAACATATTCGGTTGCTTATGTGGTAATTCAAAACATCTGTTGTTGATCTTTAATTTGCGACAATTTTTCAAAAGCTTTTAGATGTAGGTCGTCTCATGATAACAAGAAGTCACGATCTATTTGATGTGGCTATCTAATGTTTTAATTTTCTAGGAATTCCCTTTTGGCGGTCTAATGACACGTTTGAAATATGATAACAAGGTTTTTAGTACCAAGCCTCAAACAGTCTTCGTCTTCTTACTTCGTTATTGATTTTCCTTCAGTATATAATTTTCACTGATACGCTTAATAATTCCACCGAAAATGTTCTTTTTTAGGTGTGTGGAAACATTTAATTCTAAAATAAAAGCTCAAACAATGAAATATGAATGATGGTTCAACAACCACGAATATAACTTGTCAGAAGAGTAAAAAAATAACATTTCCATATGGTTGAATATACTTTGCTTGAAGTAATCACACATAAACCGCTAAATCTAAATAAAAAGCTGACGTTTATTTAGTTAGTAACTGTAGTGCGTTTTCTGCACATTCAACAATCACATCATCAGCAGTGACCACATCATAAGTAGCATGAAACTGGTTTGAAAATGTTTCTCAAGGCCATCCGGGCCTTGGCTACAGTAAAAATGCCATATGGGCAAATCAAGCTTGAAACAAAAGATTATTTTATTCACAGAAACTGTCGTTGTTGTTATTGACATTGCAAACGGCGCTTTTGTTGTTTGATATTCTTTGAAATGCTCTTAAAAAAATGAATCGAGAGCAATGTAAGAAAAGCTAAATAGCTTCATTTAATTCATGAGAAAATAAAACACGATTTCTTACGCAATTTTGTAAGAGAAACTCGATTGTGCGTGTCGACATAGCTTTTGATTTAAATTTTGTTTAATCTTTTTCGCCTTTAGATAATCAACAAAGAACATTCTCTGTATGACAACTGAAACAATTCCTTTAAGCATCGGAGACATTAACAATAATATGACAACGGATGCCATTAACAAAACAACGTCAAACTTAGTGCTTCGCGAACACACAATGACGGAAACGCCGGCTGCTCTAGCAATTGATCCTCCACTTCTTAGCCATGTTGGTGATGGAATCTTTCTTCAATCGAAGACATGTCAAGTTTTGGCTGGAATTGCTGTTTGGGTCGCTCTCTTCATAACGTGTCAACAAATTTAGTGAGTCAACCCTCGTCTCCACTCGAAATTAATTTAATTTTTGTTTGTTTATTTACTTTTAGTCATCATCTCAGGTGGTATACAAATCCACAGGAACAACGATGGATTGTGAGAATTCTATTTATCGTTCCAATTTATGCGACTTATTCATGGATAAGTTTAATGTTTTTCAATTCCGAAAGCGTTTACATTTATTTTTTTACCGTAAGAGATTGCTATGAAGGTACGACGAAATGATTCTTTTAATAATATTTACTATTTCATTGTCAATTATTTATGAGGTGAATCTTATTTTTAGCATTTGTAATTTACAACTTTCTTTCGCTGTGCTATGAGTACTTGGGCGGAGAAGGAAATATCATGTCGGAAATTCGGGGCAAACCCATAAAATCGTCATGTTTATACGGGACATGTTGTTTGGCTGGAAAAACTTATACCATTGGATTCTTACGCTTCTGCAAGCAAGCAACACTTCAATTCTGCCTCGTAAAGCCTGTCATGGCTTTTATTATCATCTTTCTTCAATCGAGTGGACATTATCATGATGGCGATTGGAGTGCAAATACCGGCTACATTTACATCACAATCATCTACAATGTCAGTGTATCTCTTGCTCTCTATGGGCTTTATCTCTTTTATTTTGCCACTCGAGACTTGTTGACGCCATTCGATCCTGTTCTGAAATTCTGCACTATTAAGTCAGTGATTTTTCTTAGCTTTTGGCAAGGTAAGCAAACATAGCAGATGGAAAAATTGAATGCTGTCATAAAATTTACATAACAACATTGATATGCTTTTTATTCTTTTTTCTTTTACTCCTTTTAGGCGTAGGCTTGGCAATATTGGAGAAAGGTGGCGTTATTTCATCGATTGTTGACAGCGCTGGAAATACCACGAATGCCGGTACAGTGTCAGCCGGATATCAAAACTTTTTCATCTGTATTGAGATGCTATTTGCAGCTATTGCTTTGCGCTATGCTTTTCCCTATCAGGTAAATGTCTTGCAAGATTATTCATTGTCATTTATGTAAATTTTCTTCGTTATCAAGGTTTATGCTCAAAGCTGTGTAACTGATATCCATGGACGATCTGTAACAATGCAATCAATCTCAAGCAGCTTAAAGGTTTGTTTTCAATTAAATGAAATTAAATCGTTGTTATGCTAACTGATGACAATGAACTTTGCTTTACATTCTTATAATAGGAAACCATGAATCCAAAAGATATCATGACTGATGCGATTCACAATTTCCACCCACAGTATCAACAATACAGTAAGTTTAAAAATCAGTTTTCAAAGTAAACTTAATTAATTAAATGCTTTTATTATCTTCCCCACTTTATTTATTGCTTTAGCCCAATACAGTTCAGGTGAGTGATTGCGGTGACAAGATTCTCGCTGTTATTTAGCCTTTTTAAACATTTTTATTTATTTACTAATTCTCCTTTCTTTCGTATGTTGTGCATGCAATCCCTTGAAAATGTCTGCTTATTTCTCTCTGTTCATTAATTAAATTAATATTCACATTGCTTGCTCTTAAACATTGTTTGTTGTTTAGAAATCTCGCCAGAAACTAAATTTCTATAAATAGATTACATAATTTTGGGAGGCTCTTAATTTATGGTGTTTTCGTAGCATGTTGTTACTTATTCGAATGAAATGTAAATTCACATAACAACCCACAACCAACAATCCAACCAACGCTAGGTTTGCAGTTTCTTCTTTCTTCCTTTTTGGCTGCTTTTGTTTTGTTTTGTTGTTTGATTTGTAATCGTTATCCATACTTAAATATATCGCATGAGAAAAGCTCATAAAATTCTCGGGTTTATTGTGAAACATCTGTGAATATGTATATTTTACATGTTTGATTATGATTCCACATACTTTTTGCTCATGTTGGGATGATGACTTAACCATAAACGTGATTGATTCCCATGAGCATTCTTTCTGACCTCATTTAGATATTGACCCCATTTCACACACTTTTTGCCTTCATTGAGCATCAGGTATAAACATAAAACCGATCTCATTCATCACATAAGTAATAAATCTCGTTTTCGTGAAACTGCAAACGAAAGCATCGACATGATGAAAAACGATTGATGGTCAGAGTTATGGAGTGGAAAATTTGTTCTACTTACTTATTCTGTAATAACAATGTTGAATTGGGAAGAAAGCAATGTTTTTGATGAACAATGATAAGAAGTCTAACAACAAAAAAATTTTCTTTATGTTTTCTTTTTTTGCTACCACAAATCCCACCAAAATGAAAGCTCTTTGTGAAGGTCTTTAATTCATTCTAGATTTCCTTTCTGTTGAAAAAAATTTACTAACAATAAACTTCTATGTAGACAACAACAACACCTCTTTAATAAGCATCAAGATTGAAGGCTTTCCTTTCTTTTTTTCCTTATTTTCTCAACCAACCACGCATACGATTGATTCATTCACGCAAAATTGAGTTTTTATCTTCTTCGCTTTCTTGCTAATTTTGTTTGTTTTTTATTTTTCTTTATTTATTTTATTTTCTTCCTTTTTTTCTACTTTTTACAGAAGTTGTATCGCCACAACCGTACGAAAGACTTTAATTTGATTATTTTTCAAGAAATATCAAAAGAAACTTCAAGAAAAGCGCGTGTTTTGATAAACAAGCGAAATTTTTGATGATAAAAAAGAAAAGAAACATGAAAGAAATATAATTTAAGTTTATTTAGTTAATTTAAGGATGGCGTAAAGCTTAAATATTCAACGACATTGATTTACGTACTTAAGAATACTTCAAAATTGCACAAATTTACTCTTATCAGTTAAACGATTACTCATTGAAACTATCTTGGGAGATAACAAGTCATCGAGTAATTGAAATAGAATTCAAAACCATTTGTGATGAATCATCAACTTTCAATTCGATGAAGTGTTGTTTCTCTTTATGTTTTCCAATTTGGTGATAATGTAGAATCGTAAAGAAACTTTTTATCAGTTGTGGAAATAAAAATTCTCTATCGAAACTGAAACCTTGAAAGCAATAAGAATTAGATTATAAAAAAGCATTTTTTTCTACTATAAATTAGTTCCAATTACTCTCCAATTTATTGCGATTACTGATGATACTTGAAACTTATACTGATTAAATATTTTTTAATGAAATAAAATTCTCTTTACCGCTACAACCAACCAACGCATTTCTGTCCTCCATTCGATACTTTCACGTGATACTTATTGTAGAATAACATTGTAAATTATGATTTTATGAGAAAAAAGAAAGCAAAATGAGTCGCTTGAGAAAATTCAGATGTGGGATTATACGTCTGACTGATGGAGCTTTACTTGGTGGAATAAATAATTCTCGCTTTCCCTAAGTTCCTTCGCCATGTCAATCAAACAAAGTTTATTTGAGGAATTAAAAATTTGCTTATTCTTCTTCCGGCGCCTTTTTTTTTGAAAATGATCTGAAGTTTTAATGATATCTAAGTAAGAGAAAAAAAATACCCAAGAGCATAAACTTGAACTCCATTGTGGCGTTGAAAAAAATTTAAGTGGTTTGAGCTAATTAAATTTTTAGGGTAAATACAGAATACTCATGAGTAAGCTTCGTAAGTCTTTCTTTTATTTAAAGCCAGGATTTGCTAAACATACTCCACAAAATTATCCCATAATCCACCAATAATTTTCAATAAAATGCTCCTGCCTCGCTTAGTCTGAGAAACAACATCTGTAACTTTATCTAACGCAAAGTTTCTCTTCATAAAAATCTATCGAAAAGGAAGGAAGTGACCTGAAAAGCAATTTCGTGTCTTAAATCCTCAAAGCGTTAAGGAAATTCCTTTTGTAAGCGCCAACATTATTTTTATTCCTTTTGTGATGTCACAAGCTACTAAAATCATGCTTACTGATGATCACAGTGTCTTTAACCAACGACGTAAGCTAGTTATTGTCATCGTAAATTTCCCGTCACAGCTTTAAGTGGTGACTCTTTATATTATTGTATTTTTGGAGTGTCTCGATGTTCCTTTTTAATGCTTTTTTCTTTATTTTTTTATCTTTTTAAAAGATTTTCTTCATGATTTGTTTTTCTTCTCTTTTATGTGATAAACGGTTGGAAAGTGATGCCACGTATAAAATATAAAACAAACAAAAGCATCTCCTTCCACCCTTTTACTGTCTGAGAATTTTTTTTTCTTTTAATTTATTTATAAAAATATGTTTTGCCATCTTTTCATTTGTATTAATTTTTTAAACAATTTTTTTCCTTACATTTTGCTTTAGCACGAAGCATGCGAATGAAATAAAATTAAAAATATTTTTGAAGATTATTTAACGTTGAAAATAAAAATGTTATGAAAAATTTCATCATCTCATGATTGATAAATCAAGAAAATAAACAATTCGTTTTTTAATGTATGCTCATGACATATGCTTCACGAAACATAATGAAAAATACCGCAACAAAAAAATTTATGTTGCGAAAATTAATTTTCATGATTTTGAGGGAAAAGCTAGACGAGAATGAAAACTTTTCGCCAAAAAAGAAATTTCAATTTTTTATGAAAAACCCTTTTCAATTTGCTTACAAAAGTTTATTCAACAGTTTTGAAATTTAGATAAAATGAGAAATAAATTTCCTGTTTAATTTTATATTTTTAGAAGAGAAAAGCTCTGATAGCTCAAAGCGTCTTAAAAAGTTTTCAAAACTTATCTATAGAGCGACATTTTTTTTTGTCTTTGAATTGTTAATTTCTCTATTTAGCAATCAAGAAATGAATTTATAATTACAAAATGATGAGATGAGAAAACAATATTTGAGTCTGTTCAAGATTAATGTCATTAAAAATTTCAGAAGCTTTTAAAAATAATTACTACAAATTGGTTCTTTTCATAAATATTACAAAGTTTTGTCGCTCATGACATGGCTTCAATCTTAATTACTTCATTAATTCAGCTGAAATTAACAGTTTCCACATTCCATGGGATTATTCTTAAACAAGACTCAAAGGCTTTTATGCTTCAATCAAATTTTACTCTTATTCGGTTTTTATGACAAATGTGAATGTTTTAATATTTTAATGATCGATAATGTCATGTCGTTGAAACTTTATTGCATCCAAATTAATATTTAATGTCATTTTATTTTCGTTTGTAAAAAAAATATGAAACAAATGACAAAAAATAATACGGCGAGTGTAAAGCGTTGATAATTCTAAATATTTATATAAAACTTAATGCCTTTCTATTACGATTTATGATGCAAAACAATTTCCTAATAATAATAAAGGCGGAAAGAATTCACGTGGTATTCGTGTGTCATCATATGATCCTGACGAATCCAATCAACAACAACCAACAAACACAGCACCTGGCCAACAAACACAACAGCCCGCATTTAATAGTGGACAAGCTAAAGCTGGATCGGTTGCACAACCACCAACTCTGGGGTCAACTAGAAAATTTTCCCAAAAAGTTTCAACAATCAGCCAAAATTATAATGAAAAATCTATGCTTTTGTCAAGTGACGAAGAATATCAGTAATTCCTCAACACCCACACAAGATTCATCTCAGATGAATTGATATTTAAAAAAAAAATTAATCAGAATTCAGATAAAAAAAGTGCGACATCGCAAAGAAATTCACATTTAAATACACTTGCGTGTTTATGTGTGATGAAATGTTTATTAAAATTTAATCCAACAAAAAAATTGATGTAAATTGTTCAGAAAGAAAAAAAGTAATTGAAACATTCAGAATTTACATTTAGAAAAAAATATGAAAATGGAGAAAAAAAATGTCCGGGAACATCTTAAAACCGAATTTTACTCTGACGATAATAAACACTTGGCATAATTTTGTTCTTTGGTTTAAATTAATCGTCTTAGTAAAAACGACGGTTAAACTGATGAACTCTTAATTGTAATTAGTGATAATGAAAATAATAATTTACACAATTAAGTAATTAAGGCATTGAGGAAAGATGTTGAAGATAACAATGATGAGATGAAATAAAGAAGTAAATTATTTTTAGTATTTGCATGGAATGAACCTCAATTCTTTTATAAGGATACCAATGAAAGAATATCGTTCATACGTCAAAGAACCTTTCAAATAAGGAAAAGCCTAAAGCCGAGTCTTGATGCGTGAACGATCTCTTACACACATAGAATGATGGTTAAATATAATTTCCATTTGTATAACCCTCAAGCAACACATGAAATCCATTTATTCTTGTCTCACAAAACTTGTAATCATTGTTAAAATCTGTTATAAAAATGGAGAAAAGATTCAATAAAAAAGAAACTTTGATTGTAAAACTGCAAGCTAATTGTGTCAGATTTTTCCTTCACAGCGTCGACAGTCATCCTTGAGATTATTTTTACGTGTTGGAATCTGTCAACGATTGAAATCTCATGGAACTTCTATTTTATTTATCTCCTTCTCTACAATTTTATTTTCCCGCGTGATTTGCAGTAATGTGCTTTCAAGACAGGGGGGAGAATGAAAAATAAACGAACAGTTTCTGTTTCATGTCCTTCAATCTCCACCTTCAAGTTTTCCATTCACAAAGAAGAGGAAAGTAATCAAACCTTGTAATTTAATGCTTTCATTGACATCATTCTGTTTCCTTTATCAAATGAGAATAAAGAAAGTGGTGAAGACAAAGGACTTTAAAATGAAAAGCGAAACGAGAAGTAAAGTTCATCCGATGTGAAGGTGAGAAAAACTTTTCTTTATGGCAGCATGAAAATATAATCACGTTAAATTCTAACTAAGATACGAGATGGATACGAGATGAAGTAATGGGAATGTCATAAAGCATCAAAGTTGAAATTCACAATACAAAGCAGATAAAGACGCTGAAATGGGTGTGAAGTTGTTGGAATTTAACTTAAGTATCATTTAGAGAATAAAGACGTCTGAGAACTCTGGCACAAGAAAAAAACTAAATTCTTTATACAAACACACAAAAAAGAAAACTTAAACTTCCTGAATTTATTTTTCGTTTTAATTTTAGTTTCCTTGATGGAACAAACTAACTATTGATGCTGTTTATACAAAAAGCAGAAAAGAATTCGAGACAAAGAGTCAGAAACCTATAAGTTATGTCGTAAGTTTTATTAAAGCTCAACAATTTGTCTGCTTCGAAAGCACATTGAACAATAAAACATCGCAATCTCCTGTTAATGTTTCAATGGAAAATAAAAAACTCTCATTCAATGTTTTCAAATTTCCTTGTTTCCAAATCGCGCAATTTTCCTTTTCCAATACTGAGGGGAAGAAATTGTGCAGGGGAAATTGTGTGGAGAAATGTTTAATGCGCAATCCTTATTTTTGAACTTTCGGGAAATTATCAATTAAAGGGGAAATCGAAGGAGAAACTTGGGGAATCGTTTTCCCTTCACATAAAACTTGGAATGTCTGTTGGATTAGGAGAAATACAAATTTCCAATGAAATGCTTCTTTGTTGTTCACTTATTTTTGCCGACAAAGCACATTTTTGCATGAAGATGAACAAAGATTTTCCTTGGAAACCAATTTAAGTAAACTTAAAGATTTATTACGGAGGCCCACCTTTGGTGAGGTCACCGTATTGTATTCGACATTTTNTAATAAAATTTGTTTCTACAGATCAAAAGTTCATGAAAAATGGAACAAAATGTAGTACTACAATTTTATTCAAGCATCATTTTAAATATAAAATAAGACAAATGAAAATATGCAATTTTATCAATGATTGCTAATATTCATGTATGAGATTTTCAGCCGCCATTTTTAGGTACAAAGCGACGGATTGAGAACATGTTTTAAGTGATTTTGGAAGCTCTCAACATCTGATTACAATGCTGTGAAAAAATAATAAAAGAAAGTTGACGTCCTGAAAATCATTATCATGGATCGAAAATTGTGAATTTCACCTTATATAATATCACAAAGAAATTGAAGGTAGTCAAATCAAAAAGTAAAAAACAGCAAGTAACGTCAGCAGTCACCATGACATTAGAAGATCCAAAGAAATTTAAATTTCCTTTGGATTGTAAAATTTCATTTGATATTTTTGATAACTTCGATATGCTACCTTCATTGCATATCAATTCAAATCGTGAAGCTGCTACATTCACTGAGAACGACGATGGTTCGTCACATTATGATAATAATAATAATGAAATTGATTGTAACTATCCCAGTCGTTTTGCTGATATACAACAATTAGATAGTGAAACTGAGACTAACATTGACATGGGGCAGATGGATAATATTTTGGAATTCGATAATGCTGATATGCCACCACCAACAGCGCCAGTTGATGAGATTTCGAATGTTTTTGTTGGTGCCCCACAAAAAATCGAGAAAATCAATATTTCTTTTGCGAGACAAGCAAAAGTTATTGATATGAAGCAGTTAAAAGCCTTCATTTGGTCGCTGCTGAACAACAAGCATAATTTAGATCCAACACATAATCCAAAATTCTCAGAAGTAATGATAGAATTATCGAATGTTTTAAGTCCAAATATGGCAGAAAAAATTAGCACTTCACATGTTCTTTCTGCTACACTTCATTTATGCAATGATAAAGGTCTTGAACTTCATCAGGCGGAAGACAATTTGCAAGATTTTGAAATAGTATTTGCATCAACAAATCTTCAGCATTAATTTCTCTACATTTTTTCCCAACTATTAATTAGTTCATATACAGTTGATTGATTATTTTTGTTTATTTTGTATATTTTTTGTACAAATAGTTGTCTCATATTAGGAGAAGTCACTCAGAAAAAGATGATTGTTGTTGTTAATAAAATTGTATTTGCAAACAACTATTTTCAAAAACTCTAAAATTATTTCTATTTCAGCATCGACTGGAGTGAATATTTATGTTCTCATTTCCACTATGATTAAAGAAGATGAATTAATCGAAATGTGTAGGTTAGTTGAAGCGCCTTTCATTTTTGCTTTTGATCATTGCTTTTCAATAAAAGGATCTGGCACAGTTTTTTCAGGAAAAATTCTCGAAGGTAGCATAAAAGTATATGACACAATTGAAATTCCGTGATCCGTGGTGATCGTATAACAAATTTCGATTCGAAATTGATAACATGAAACATTCGTGGGAAATCTTTTAATTTTCTCATCTAAAGATTGTTCCGAGTTTGATTGGAATTCAATTTATAATTATGAAGATATGATGGAAAATGATGTTCATTGCTTTACTTGATTTCGAAATTATTGTGATCATTCATAATAATATATAATCATGTCATATTGATGAGTATCATAGCGGGGAGTTGGGAACAATTGCTGGTACATTTGGAGAGTCAGCTAAAGTTGGGATTCAATTCATGACTTCAATCATCAACAATTGACATTTTAAAAACCTCTAAAAACAATTTTAAAGTTAAGTTATGCTTCAAAAAATCTATTTCGATAAAAATCATCGAATGATTCAATAAAAATCGTAGAAAATTTAATTGTTGGTAAAATAGAAAATTTATTCTTCTGGGATTATTTTAATTCATTGTTGCAGACATTTTTCTTTTCCAGTTATAAATAATTTCCCTTTTGGAATGTTTACATTGACAAGTTGCTTAATTCTTAATTAGTTAGAAATGAAGCAATTATAAATTATTGTTTCCAGTTGGTTTTACTGCTTTAATTTTTTGTTTCAAGAAATTTATTAAAGAGAAGAAAGAAAAAAAACATTTTCAATTTTATTTTGGTAAATGCAGATTTTTCTTTGAACAGGAAAAGTGTTAAAATATTTGGCTGTCTGTTTTCTTATCATGTTTCTGTAGACACTCAAAAAGGTTAACTAGATTTACATAAATTATTGTGGAAATTCCAGAAGAAATTGTGCAGGGGAAATTGTGTGGAGAAATGTTTTTAACTTTCGGGAAATTATCAATTAAAGGGGAAATCGACGAAGAAAATTGGGGAATCGTTTTCCCTTCACATAAAACTTGGAATGTCTGTTGGAAAAGGAGAAATACAAATTTCCAATGAAATGTTTCTTTGTTGTTCACTTATTTTTGCCGACAAAGCAAATTTTTGCATGAAGATGAACAAAGATTTTCCTTGGAAAGCAATTTAAGTAAACTTAAAGATTTATTATTAATGGCTTTGGCATTGGAATCTGTTGCAATAATCATTATTGACGACGAGTTATAACAAATGATCTTGAGAACATTTTCTTATTAAATTTGTAATATTAATCCTTAAAGCAAATAAGATGAAAAATTGTTTAAGCTTGTTTATAACCACGACAGTTCAATTTATTGCTCTATGTCGCTCTGTTTCATCCCATTTCACCTCAATCAATTACATTTGAAGAGTTACAAATCCCATGCGATGATGTACTTTGTTATTTTCGACATGCTAAAATGAATGTTTCAAAGTTCTATAAGTAAAAGGAATCGAACCAAATGCTTAAGAAATATTCTGTGAAAAATTCTCAACACTCCTCAAGCGTCAACCCTCATCTAAACGGTCTTTGAATACTCAATACTCCAAAGGTAAATTTGTTTCCGTGACAAATTTCTTCAAGGATGTTAAATTCCTTCATAAGCATGTCAACAGTTTTACTCGCACCAAAAATATTCTGAGGCATTTTCAAGCTTCCATTTAAGCTTCTTCAATTTCAATCAAAAATAAACGTAATAAATTATATGAAAATATCCAAATTTTTTCAGATATATTGTAAATAATAATAATAATAAAAATGGAGCTATGAGCACATTTACATCCTTTAATGCTATTATGATACCGGAAAATGTAAATTTTAATATCAACATCAACGAACTTAAGAAGAAAGAAAAAGTTATTCTTATTCCTTGAGTCTCTTATGCTAATTTCTATTTATGTCACCTGCTTTTGCACTCTAATTACACTTTCTAATTTATCATTCGTAAGAAAATTAGCCAGAGGAGTGGGTTCAGTATAAAAAACTTTTTTTCCTCCGTTTTATTCGTTTGCTATCACCATGAAATTAGCTTTTATTGTATAACGCTTTTTTATTGTCTTGCTTCCTTAATGAACCGATAATTAGACAACTTTCAAGCATTATCTGACCAGTTGTTCAACAGAGAGCATAAAAAGTTGTTGAATTGAATCATTCTGTTTGTGCGTTGACCTCAAAACCGGGTGCTATTTATGCTCTTCATATTCTATGGGAAAAAGTTTAAGATTCAAGTTGAAAACTTATCCAATTTAAATCGCAATCACTTCTTGGGATTTATTTCTTAATTTCGTGCTTCTTTATCGAAAAAAATTTACTTGACACGAATGAACTCTTTAAGGACTTTTCTGATGGCATTTAAATATTTCATTGAGAAATCTTTCTAAGATGGAGTGTAATTGATTGAATCTTTAAGTGCTAATGGTTCAAAACTGCCTTTTTAGTTTCCTTTCGTGAATTGGTATCGTAACAAGTATATTCTGCATTTATTTACATGGGTTAAGGAAGGTTAATGTTTCTCCTTTTCCTATATTATGTACGAAGTATACATACAAGTGATGGGTCAAGCTTTTTTGCATCTCTAACCGCAATCAATCTTTCAGGAAAATTCCACTTTATTAAATTTGCGGATATTGATGATGCGATTATATGTTCTGATTGAGATGATTTATTTGGGTTGTTTAGTGTCGTTACGGGAGGTGAATTTTCCCATCATTTAACCTTTTCTTATTTTTCTACAAAACATTTTTCTGCTTTCTTACGTTTATTTCAAGACAAAACGTATCTTGAGATGATCATGCTGGATTTTCTTTTATCCAACGTAAGTAAGATGAGCTTTCGCCCATTAATTCTTTTGCATAATTTTCCTTACCAAAAGGTTTACTGCTTGCTGTGCATTTTGTCTCAGCATAATAAATTCAAGTCTGACAATAATGTCTGTCCAAGAAGCGTAAGCAAAGTCATTTTAGTGAAAGGAACGAGCGCGACGAGTGATAACATTGAACTCGATTTCTTTTAAGGAAAACAAGTTTTCTTTTTATTTTTGGGAGTCTCGACGGAAGTGCCAAATATGCGGAAAATATAATTTCACTGGCATATCGTACTGGGGATTAAAAATTTAATTTAAGGAAAAAGCAAAAGTTTTGGGTATGAAAAGATTTTCCCTGAGCTGGAAAATTTGTTTTCATTAAATATTTCTTGTTGAAACGGAAAACTCGAATTGAAAAATTTATAGTTTTACCTTTTCAAGCATTTTCGTTTTCGAGCAGCGAGTTTGAAGCCAAAGTTTGACATTCGCTTTTCCTCGGCTATTTAGTTTTCAACCAAACTTGGTAGTGTTAAGTCGCAAGCCTAAAAGTTTTCCTTCAGTAAAAAATAAATAATTTTTGTTGATTTACGAATGAAGATTCATTAAAATTTAGTGTGATGTGTTGATATGATGTAAGACAATTGCTAATTGATAATTTCACAATAGTCTGATGTGAACAATTGAAGCAACTTCAAATAATTTTTTTTTTATTTTTCACTAGGTAGACAAAATTACCATCAGAAAAGTTTGTTTAGTGTTGGTGTATGTTAAAGAGAATTTTGTTTTGTTGTGTTTCAAAAGCAATCAATAACATTTGTTGAAAAATATAACGTAAACAAAAGAATAATAATAAAAAAGCAAACTTTATAAAATTGAGAAAATTCAGCTCTGGATGGATAAATGGTTTGGTGGTAAGTTTGGCTTCATGTGACTGTCATAAAATTTGGCGTGAAAAATCTTTTGTTTTTCTTTCAAACTGCTGCCGGCTTATCAGGTGAAAAGCGGTTCTTTTTGTTTGGGAATCATTTGCCGTTACTACCAAGAAGGTGAGATAAGAAAACGTCTTTCGTTTATATATTCAACCTTCGGCAGTGAAGCAAGAACAAAGAGCGATATAAAGCTCGTGTATGGCATAGCGATTAATTTAATAACAGTTGACGTTCAATAAAATCCCAACGGTAACATTAATCATAAAAAGAAATAAATAATAAAGTTAACGTCGCGTAGAGTTATGAAAATCATGATCAGACGAAAATTTTTAATCAATTATTCATGTCATTTGAAATCATGTGCTTGACGAGCTGATAGTAATCATGTGACAATTTTCGGCTGAGATAAACTATACTGAAGAATTGTTCACGCAAATCATTCTCCTTATACAAAATATTCAACGAGCGTGACTCAAAAATATTGTCAAACATGAAAGGATTTTTTTCTCTTTTATTCTTAAAACATTTTTCCTTGAACTTAACTCGATTGAGTTTCCGTGCGAAGTGCGTTTTTTGTTTCCTTTTGCGCTTTTGACAGCAGCAACATAAACAGGGTAAATCAAGCAATGATACCACGTGGGTGGATTTGTTTATTTTATTGGTTTAAGCTTGAATATTGTCAAGGTTTCATCTGCACTGGAAAAGTTGTTCGTAAGACTTTTCATGGTCAAAGTTTTACATAAATATTTCAATAATGTTTTTCTTGATTACTTCATTCTACATAAATTTAGGAGTTTGTAACGTGAGCTCATTGAGCGTTTGCTTATAAATATTTGTTACAAACTTCTATTGTTAAATTTGTTTACGATGCAGAACGTTACTGTGAAGTAACATAATCCTTGTGACATCCTTGATGAATTTGATGTAAATTGAACCAGAAAATCAAAGAAATCAATAAAAAAATTACTTTTATGGGTTTTGAAGAGTTTGCTTGAGGGAAATAAAATGAATTCAACGTGAATAAATCATACAGAAAATTTGTTTCATTTAATTCGAATGAATGTGATTTTTTATTGATTTCTTTCCTTTTGTGTTTTGTTGAAATGAAACTTTTTTGATTGCAAAATAATTGCTAACACTTATATAAATATTTAATGAATACATTCATTTTAATTAAGGTGACAAAAATAGCAAATCGTAATTGATCTATTGCTGATAATTTTTTTTTAAGTGAGGAAATGTTTGAAGAAGGAAAATGTTATCTAAGCATTTGTTGTGTAACAACTGGCAAGTTAAAAAAAGAAGCATTGGAAATTTAAGAAATTATGCAAATTTTTATACATTAAATAAACTGGGCCATGCGGAATTCCATTATAATTCACCATCGTTACGGTGTTTTTATTTTGCCTGCTTCCTGATGACGTCTTTTTATTCATAATGTTCGATCTAATTTTTTTCTTACAAACCTATGACATGAACGATTTTATTTATTTGATAACATCTTTTATCACAGTCGGTTAAAGAAATTTAATCAAGCTAGAATTTATTGTATCGAGACGTGATTGGTTGGTGCGTGAGCGGATAGATGTCTTTTTCCGACTTTTATTACTTCTTTTCGCAAAAATATTTTCGCACGTCGTACATAACTCGAAAAGTAGCAGCAAAGGATCAACAAAAGGATGTTTTCCTTCCTTTTTTTATTCACGAAAGAATAAACATTAACGCTGAATAATTTGTAATCAGTGATCAACTTAAACATATCAATAAATTTTCAAATCTATTCATGCCACACGAAAAAATGTCTCAAAATGAAATTCTTTGTTCAATTAAATGAAATGAAAAAACAAATTTCATTTTAAGAAACTTTGTGATCCCTAAAAAAGAAATGAAATGAGAAATATTTTTCTAACACGCAAAGTTCAAACGACGATGAAAAGTTGAAAGCAGGGACGGGTTTTGCTATGTCGTGGATATCAAATCATTACATGGTAACGAGAAACCCTTTTTTCTATTCGTTTTACTTTATTTTAACCCCGCTGTGCATGAAAAAGTAAGAAAATATAGAAAAAAAATCCAACACCAATTTACAATCTAAAGTATCCGCTAAGCACAATTAGTGTGTGGTGGAAGTTTTTTTTTTGTTTCATTTGCAGGCCAGTTGGTCTTTGTGTTTCGTACAGTAAACATCAAGTCTTTAAAAGGCAATTAGAGTTTCAACAACAAAAATCGATTGCTTCGTGTGACGATGTAAATTAGTTTTTACAGGAATCAAAATTTCTTGAATTTAATTATTTCATCATGATTTTTGATTAATGAGATGTAAAAGAGTTAAAAAATGAAAATATTTCAGGTCGCGAGGCAGTACACGAATGGATCGATACGAGAAGTTGTCACGACTCGGTGAAGGATCATATGGCATTGTATATAAATGTAGGGACAGAGAGACTGGAAATTTAGTGGCAGTGAAACGTTTCGTGGAGTCAGAAGACGATCCCGCGATCAGAAAAATTGCATTACGTGAGATTCGACTTCTGAAGGTGAGTGACTCACTTACCAAGACAAAATGGACGGTGGACGATTGTAAATAATTAATGAAACGTGTTTTATTGATTTTTCCTTCTTCCTTTTTCCTTTCATCGTTTTTGCTACGTAGAACTTGAAACATCCTAACTTGGTGTGCCTGTTAGAAGTTTTCCGAAGAAAACGACGATTGCATTTAGTGTTTGAGTTTTGTGAACACACAGTTCTTCATGAACTTGAAAGGAATCCTCAGGGTAAGATTTTTCATTGTGATTCAGATTCAAAGTGAATGAACACAGCAATAATAGAAAAGTAACATTGACTATTTGATCATAATCTCTGTTAAGGTTGCCCGGATCATTTAACCGCTCAAATCACATATCAAACACTACTTGGGGTTGCTTATTGTCACAAGCAAGGATGCTTACATCGTGATATAAAGCCAGAAAATATTCTGCTGACTGCTCAAGGGCAAGTGAAACTTTGCGATTTTGGTTTTGCGAGAATGTTAAGTAAGTAGATTTGAGAAGAATGTTCAAATATTTACAATCACTCACGATAATCTTATAAAAGGTCCTGGAGAAAACTACACAGATTACGTTGCTACAAGATGGTATCGTGCGCCAGAACTTCTCGTTGGTGATACTTCATATTCAACGCCTGTAAGTTTTTCTTACAAAAACATTGAAGAAAGTTACAAAATTTATATTTAAAGGTTGATGTTTGGGCGATTGGTTGTGTATTTGCTGAACTGATACGTGGCGATGCCCTGTGGGCTGGCCGATCTGATGTTGATCAACTGTATTTAATTCGACGAACCTTGGGAGACCTTTTGCCAAAGTAACTTTTCATGTCATGACAAATTCAATTTCATTCTTCATTTAATTTTGTAAAATTCTTCTTTCCTTTAAGACATCTTCAAATCTTCAGTCAAAATGAATTTTTCAGAGGAATTTCTTTGCCTGTTCCCCCAACACTCGAAACCTTAGAATCAAAGATGCCTTCAAGGATACTTCAAAATCCTTATGCGATTGATTTTCTTAAGGTCAGTGCTCTTTAGATTTGAATTAATATCCTTTCATGTCATGAAATATTCTTCAGAAATGTCTTGATAAAGACCCAAATAAACGTTGGTCATGTGACCGTCTCACTCAACATCCCTACTTTGAAGACTTTGTTGTGAAGAACCCAAAAGAGCAAGAAGTGACAGTGAACATTCCTGATAGCAGTAGACAACCGAGAGAGAAGTCAAAAATTTCTCAGACATCTCTGCCAACATTGGTACAGCAGGAAAGTCGAGTTCAACATAAGAACAACACTTACTCACGAGCTGATTTTAATCATCTACCGACGATATGAAATTGCGTCATCTCTTAAATCATTTTCGCATTCACAACGAAACTTTTGTTGTCATTTTCATCTTCTTTGAAAAATGTTTATAAAGGAAATTTTTCTTTCTGATTAAAACAATTAATTTTCATGTTTCAAAAAGAAAAAAAGTTTTAATTAGCATAATTTCAGTTTCTGTTTAAAGTTTAAATGTCAATATAAAGTTATGATTAAAATGTTTCTTGTAAATTATAAATCTATGACAGACAGTGAAGTTCAATGAATGTTAGCTTATTAAAATTGATTTGAATTATCTACCAGAAATAAAAACTTGAAGACGTATTCATCCAACATCCTCCGAATATATTTTTCTCAACTGATTGAATTAAATTTTTCGTCGTTTATCTTTTCTTTATTCAAATTCTTCAGAATTTCTGTGTTGATCAATGGACTAATGCTTTCAGAGATATTGACTATAAAATAAATTAAATTAACTTTTCTTTCGGTTGAACATTTAGTTTTGAGTTCTCATAATTTTATGAAAATCGTCTTGATTGAACATTAAATAAATGGAATCAAATCGAATTTATGAGACTCGAATATCGTTAAATTTCAATATTCCAATCTCGATATTTCAACCTTTTATGTTCAATTTTCAATTTTCTTGTGTAAAACGATGACTTCAAATTCAATACCAAATCATGTGTGTGTGGATACACTTAATAAATGTTTAATTCAACTATGAAGCTTCATATGTGCAAAGAAAACTTTAATTTCAGGATGTTTCAAGGAGCTGATTAGAAATATAATTAAATAATTTCGTATAGATGAAAACTTCGTTTAACTTATTAAAAATTGATTTTCTTTTTTCTAGATGTTTTTATGAAATCTATTGCAGAAATCTCAATATTGCTGAAAAATCAATAACCATTTAAAAAAGATCAAAAGAGACTTAAAAGGGCCTTTTAAAAACTTCATATGAGTAAAAGAAAATGATCAGAAAAGACAAAAAGAGTTAGGTACCACTAGACAAGTGGTGTGACGAATTCTCGAAAAAGTGAGAAGTGAAATAAATGGTGTAACGAAGAAATCGATTTGATTGATCTCCAAATACACAAATGCAATCAAAGTAAACTTATTTGATTCGAACAACGTTAAATTTCATTGTTTCTTTGAATTTCTTTCTATCAAGCAGTCTCTTAATTTATTTTCTTTCTTTCTTTCATTAAAAATGAGTTTTGAAAAGAATTTACAGATAGTTGAACGTCGTGAAATGGGCGAACTCTTCAAAAAAGTTATCAAATTGATGCAAGAAATAGTTGCAAGTTTGGGATTTTTGGCAATTGGTACATAATAAAAATTCAAAATTAACAAAATTTCATTTAACATTATGGCTACCAACAGATCCTGAACCTGGTTTTTCGAAAAATATTAAAGTCAGTAAATCTACTTCAAAATCAAAGTCTCCATCTCGTAAAACTTCTCGAAGTCGCCCAAGAAAACGTTCGAGTTTGAATTGTCCTCCATGTCCAATGCCTTCTAAGTCAAAAATCTCCATGAAAAAAATGAAATCTTCAACCCGAAAGCGAAAGACAATTAAAAAAGAAAAATCGTCAAAGACTCAAAAATCCTCTCGAAAGGCAACACACGGAAACAAATGTTAAACCACCTGGTGAATTCTTACAGGTTTCAAGCTATTTGGACGAATTATTTACTTGATTTGATCATTCCTAATTACTGAAAATAAATTAAATTCTCGTTGAAGTTACTCATTTCTTTAAAGATTAATAAATTTTTCGACAATAAAAGTTCATTGACATTTTCTCAAATATTTACACTTTATTTCTTTATTATATCTATCCAAGGATCATTTCACTTCCATCGAATACTTAAACATCCAAAAAGGTTTCTCCTCGTTTCTCTCTCACTTTTATATCAAATAGAATTAATTTTCTTCTCTTTCTATTTGATTAACTAACCGGAAAATATAAGAATTTTTGAAGGAAAAGAAAATAAAAATGATGATTTCAGTTTCGCATCGGTTATTAAACTTAGAAAAACAACAAGAACAAGAAATGTTTAAATAATAAGAATAATAAAAAAAGAAGCTCAGTCGCTTTGTAAGAATTTTTGCAATCGACGTTTTCGTATTTCGTTTGCTTCGTTTGTCTCCCCATTTATCGTTGATGATTCATTTGCAATGAAAGTTGACGTAGTTGATGGACTATCTAATGTTGTTGCTGTTTTACTTGAAGTTGGCTCTGAGGAACGTGATGTTGAAGGTTTATTGATTGTTTCATCTTCACTTCCAACATCTTCTAGTTTCACTTCATTTTTGTTATCATTTTCTTTTGTTAACGATACATTTTCAACTTTTGTTGATTGTTGTTCAGCTGTTTCAGCTGCAACTGACGAACTTGATGATGATTGTTGTGGTTGTTGTTGTTGAAGTGGAAGTGAAATAGGAGGTGGAGGTAAATTTGCCACGACCATCTGATATTGATTCATTAAAGCAGCTGATGCATTTAACATTGTTTGCACGTTTCTTAGTAACTTAATACGTTCTTCAACATGACGTCGCTCATTACCTTCAATCGCTCTCAGTTCTTCTTCAGTCAACTGTTCGAGGTTTTGAGGCATTGGTGGTGGTGGAATTGTGTAAGGTGCCATGAAAGGCATTGATGGAAAAAAGAAGGGCGGAGGCGGAATAGGAGCTCCAAATGGTGCACCTGGGTGAGTTGATGTTGTAGTTGTTGTCGCTGATGATACAGATGATGATGATGATGGATTTGGAACTTGATTTCCCAACCGATTATCATTCAACAAATTTAAAAAGGGATTTTGTTGTGGAACAGGTGGAGCTTCGTTGGGCCTCACATTTTGATTAGCATTATTATTAGCTGCTGGCTGTGCTTGTGGCTGTGTTGCTGTGATTGGTGTTCGTAGGATATTCAATCGACATGTTGGACATGTCTGTTGTCGTTGAAACCACGATCTGTAAGGATAATTCCATAAGAATCCTATAAGATCAAAGATTGAGATAAATTTCTTACCTTAAGCATAATGTATGGAATATGTGACCACACGGCAACTTCTTTGAACTGCTCACCATATCTTCTCTGTAATTTAACAAAAATGATTAATTTTGTTTTTTTCATAGAAGTTTCCATTGTCACTTACCTGCAGATTATGCAAATGTTATCTGACAGAGCAAGTTCCTCTGCTGTTGCATCGGGATACAAAGTATTCATATTGTGAATTGCACGTCGCGATAATATGACGTCATTAAGTGCTTTCTTGAAGTTTCTAAACGTAGGAGAAATAAGCAAAAAAATTTTGATAAGAGTCAAAGCGATGATTCTCCGTAATACAAACCTTATTGTGTAGTACATAGGTCGGAAAGCGAATAAGGGCAATGTGTAAATCTTGACCATTAAGAACACAAACACAATGTAAAGAATAACACGAATGAGTCCAATGACGAGCTCAGTGTAGAGAAGGAAAACTGCTTTATTTTCCCAAGGTGTATCTGATCGTAATTCTGAAGCATGTAGAACATATTTAATAGTCGTGTTGGCCACCATTGTAATCAGAATTGCATATTCAAAGCCAAAAACAAGTTGTACTGTTGGACCTTTTGCTATTGTCGATTGATAAGCATACATAATGAGAAGATAATCAAGGAATCCGAGAACACTTAAGAGACCAGCAACTCGAATATGAAATACCCAACCTATCACAGGACTGCGTTCCATCTAAATGAAAAATCAATAAATTATTCATTACCACTATGTTTAATTAACTTACATAGTCAACTCGGTCTTCAGCAAGCCAATGAAATGATTTGAGAAACAGCAAAACGGTGAACAATGCTATAAACTTTGGATTGAAATCATCTCTGAAGACAGTAAATGCCAAACAAGTCTCTGTGAGCGCATACCAAAAGCGCTCCATCAAATGTTCAAATTCAGCCGCTCGAAGTGTTCCGAGGAATATCTGGAAGTTACCAAAATATAATTTTAAAATTATTAAATTTGGAATATGAATGCAAATATACCTTTCTCATTAATTTTCCTAACATTAAGACTAAGATTAGCGATTGAAAATAAATTACCTAAAAAACAAACGAAATTGCAATATTGGGGTGTGAATGAGAGTAAATTTTGATAAAATTTTAAAACTTACAGCCATACTCGGATTACTCTTGGAGATATAGACAACTGATGGATAGAACTGTTTCTTCTGTATAACTGCATTGGCAATCACGCCGGCAGATAAAACTGCCGACGTCAGAAAAATCAGAATTGATCGCATCGCTTTTGCGAAAGAAGTAATCGAGATGAAGAAGAGATTAATTTTGATAACTTTTGAGGTCACCAAATAGATATATCAGAGTTAAACGATGTTCTTTAGTATATAAAATTTCGTAACTAATTGTTAATTGTTAATACTAATTGTTAATATTACATTTCACTTGAATTAATAGGGAATTTATCAATTTTCTTTCGAATGTTTATATTTGATTTCTACTTTTCTATATCGCCCAAAACCACGTATGAAAGTGGGTAAAATGGGCAATACTTTTAGCTTTTTATTTCAAAACGCGAACGTTCAAATCATTTGTGAAATGCCTGTTTTCTCTCATTATAACTGCTAGGTACCTAGATATATTAATGGAAAGGCGAACGGGTTTCAAACACGAACTGTAATGGAGCACCTCGAGGAAACGTTTAAAAATATGTTAATACTTCACTGGATCCAGCAGAGTATTTTTCTCTTTAGAGTTTATTAAATGGCACTACTTTCCTTGTATTTGGTTTGTTTTTAATGTGCTTTGAATATGACGTTTAATTAAGTAGAAACTGAAGTTTCATATTTCGCACTTTAGATCTACCTTTGAAAAAAATTGAACCTTTATTACAGTGAAACGTTTTTTAATTAAAGTTTCAACATCCTGAAACTTCTAGTAGATACTACAAATGATGCAATAATGTATCTATAATACGAATATCTTTTTGACTTTGATTTAATTTGCAGTATTTTGATGATTTCTCTCAAAATGCTAACATGATGTTTTCGGTTGAAAAGACGAACCGTATTTTTCATGTAGACCCGAAGTTCGGGTCCCGAACAAATTTTATCTAGATAGTTGTGATTCTAATGATCATAAAACGATTGAAAATTTCATTCTAAATTAAATTTCATTTTTCTTTAATTTTTCGAATAATATTTATTCATTTATTCGTTTCCAGTCGTCGGAAAATTGATTTTATTTTTTCAAATTTTCTTATTTTGTTTTCATTTGGCCATTCAAAAACTTTGTAGCCAACATCAGAATCAATTTCGAGCATCACCTAAGGACAACAAGAAAAATTATTTAAAACTCAAAATATTTACAAAAAGGTTATCGATGAATTTAATGTTGCGTAGATGACATTTATTTTGGTGTATCACCAACGTACCTCTTCAGCAAACAGAATCATTAGACTTGAATCATTTAAGGTTGCTGCTATTTAAAGATGTTTTTTGCTCATATTACGTTAGACAAATCAATGTTAGACATATTGTTCCATTTATTTTCCCTTTTATATTGAAACCATTTCATTCCATATCAAAACTGAACAATTGTAAAGTAATGACTCAAAATAGATGTTTGATGATAAAATAAAATAAGCTGTAAAAAAATTGTAAAACTTTTGAAGAAAAGATTTAAAATTCTATGATTAAGTTTTCCTAAATGAGACTTTAAATGAATTTTTATTTTATATTCTTCTTTAAAACTTATCAAAAAAATTAAGAAAATATAGATAAGAATCAGTTATGAATATGTATATAGAACTTTACTTATCTTACCAGTTTTAAAGGCAAATGAACATTCAGGGAAAAATGAAGAATATTTTTCAAATAACGAACTTGAAGAAAATCAAAATATACCTATTTATAGAAAATCAACAAAGGTATTGCTTGGAACCTCAATACTATAGATTCCTTGGAAAAACTTGCCATAAATGATTATAATGCAGTGTCAAACTTTCACGTGGCCGGTACAAGGTGAGGATTTATTTAAATTAAAAGATTTTTACGACTGAATTTAATATTTTTGTATTTTTTTAACAGGTGCAGAAACTTCCACAAAAAGGAAGAAGAACAGAAAATCACGAAACAGTAAATCAGCCTGAAGTTCAACAACCCGTAGTTAAAAGAGCTCGGATAAAAGTCACAAAGAATCATTGCGATTGAAATTGGATCATCATCCTATCAGTGAGTAATTCATACACAATTTGAAATTTAAACACTTTTAAAATTGAACATCATTTTAGTTAACATCAGAAGATCTCGGACACAATAATCTTCTGATGTTGTCGAATTTGTTTCTTAGTTGCAAGCATACTGAAATCATTTTCTCAAAATTGAATAAGCCAACTTTCCACTTTGGATGTAAAAGATTTAACTGGAACTGTAAATATAAGAAATCAAAAATAATTCGATTTCTCAAGAACGTGTAGTAAGATGCGCTATTAATCCCAAAAGTGATTAACGTCCATTTTTTGACCTGAAAATTCATTTATAGTTATACAAAATATAAAATTGAAGTTTTAAATTATTATACCTTTATTTAAAAAATGGCCAATGTTCAGTTGTCATCATGTTGAGGTTAACATTATCTTGAATCTCCAAAACACAAGTCTGATCATGAGGTGTTCATTGATATCAATTCTGAGAATGAATTTTTCACTGTTCAACAAACAATTTTAGGTTGAATTTTATTTCTGTGAAATGTTTTACGAAACGTTATAAATTGTACAAAGAATTAAGAACAATAACTTACAATATACCTTAGACATGATAAATTCATTCCTCTAGCCCTGTCGTAGAGGTTAATTTATTAACTTGAATTAATACTTACTCGAATTAACTAGAAGAAAAGAATGTAATTAAGCAAATTTAAGCGGCTTTGAACGACTTGAAAACGCTTTCATTCTACGACAACAATTTTTTTTGATCTTGCACCTTATTCGATCGTGATTGAAATGAGTGAAATTATTGAATGATTCTTCAACGTGGGTTCCAATGAAAGTGACGTAGCAAAAAGGATAATTGAATTCGCTACAACAAAACAATATAAAAAAGCGAATTCAAATTTTTTAAAAAATATTCCACAACTTACAAGCCAATCTCGAAGTTTATTGACATGAATGCTATATGAAATGTCTTGCTTGTTCAGATTATAGAATCTTATTGGATAAAATATTTTGATTAAAACAAAATTCCTGTTCAAAAATGAATAACAACATAAAAGCTTGAATGCATCAAAATTAAACTTTGACGTTTTGTGACATTCAATCGAAAATTTTAGAAAATTCCAACAAAAAGTTTCTGTTGAGAAAATTTTATTCATTTTATTTATAAAAGGTGAGAAGAAAATAAAAGAAAAAAACATCAAAATTGTTTTCTTGAGTAGATACCATTAAGTTTAGGCTACATTACAATGAATAATTTTACAACAAATTGACAAGAGTAAAAAATCCCAAAATATTTACAATCAAAAGACCAAAAAGTATCTTTCAGATTCTTAACTTTTCCTCAGGAGTTCATCTGAAACATGACGAATAATTAACAAAGATAAATTAACTTTTCACCACTTTCGAGTGTTTTTCTTTTATTAGGTATAACTTTATTTTGTTTTTATTCCATTATTACACATCGCATTATTCTTTAGTTATTTATTTTATTTTTCTGCCTGATAAATCTATTATGTATTTATGTACATCATTATAAATAATTTGTAGATGCAAGACTTAATTTAAGGCAAACTAGAAAGCAAACAGAAATTATTTAATATGAAAGAGAAAAATCTTCAAAATTTATTGAATAAAAACTTCAATCATTATATTAATTGTTCGCCGTCTTTTAAATTGTTTAGAATTAGATTTTTTTTCTCGTCTTTCTTCTCTTTTAAGAAGAAAGAAAAAAAGAACTGAAGAATCTTTCAATCGTCTTGTGTAGAGAATTGAAAAAGGCAACTCAGTAAAGTTTCACTTGTATCTTAGTTCTTGTTTCTGAGAGATTGATTAGACTACATCTCATTTTTTTCCTTCTTTCTTATCTAAATAGATATTTATAATCACACGAACACACACACACACAAATAAGTTATGGATTAGCCTAAGATGCTGTTAATAATATTCAGGAACGGACTGTGGATTTGTTTTACACTTTTTACAGGAAATGTTAAAATATTTAGATACATGCGTGCGTCACGAGAATGAATTAAGTTAAAATTTCTTTCTTACACTTAATTTTTTTTTCTTTTTTACTATTTTCATTTTTTTTTTGCATTTTATATTTTTTTTCTGTGTATTTATTATTAATTATTTGTATATCTAATCCATTAAGTAATGTTGTGTTTTAATTAAATTAATATTTTACATCAAGTTGTGTTTTTTGTTGGAGTAAAGAAGCTTAATATAATTAACAATTGTTTTGAACGCGCTCAATTTTCTCTCCTTTTTTTTATCTGGGAAAACTTCTTTGTTTTTCTATTTCTTGTCGTTTCTCTCCAACCAAAAGAAGAAAAGAAAATCTTTTATATGATACAAAATTCATATCACAAAATCGTGAAATCTATCACAGAAATAACGTATGATAAAACACCGGATAGTTGTTAGTTATGTTGTCGTTTCAAACAGGTCACTGACATTCCAAGACTTTTCGCTTTATGAAAGCTTTTCACCAAGTGAATGTGATCTTGAAAAATGTCAACTTCCATATTTCCACCACAATATTTTCTATAAAAAAACTGCTGCACATTTTAAGTGGGTTCGTAAATTTTCCTTGATAAATTTGTCGAGTCGATGAGATCATTCATAAGCGATTTTCAGACCCTCTTTCACACACATTTAATTAAGTTTCATTTACCTCATGAAAGATCTCATCTCAGTCACCTCATATAATGAATTAAGTGGTGGGAATATTTATGTTTCTCTTACTTCCAGAATATTTATTTATCATGTGTTATTAGACGCTTTTTTTATTGAATTGTAACGTTTGATACGTGAATATGTCACTGTTGATTATTACTTCCTAATGGTTCCACATCCAATCCTTGGTCATCTGCAGAATCTCTGGTATGGTGATGAATGTTCGTTGTTGTTTCTCTCTTCATGTCTCCAAGTGATGGACGAATATCTTCTAAGACTTCGTCACTTGACGTCTCATCTCCAGTTGACAATTCCAAGGGATCGGGAATATCAAGACTTCCTTCACCTTCGCCAACGACAAAAAGAACTTTTGTTGTTGGTGAACGCTGATGTTGCTGCTTTTCAATGCCAGAGAATGACACAGTATTGTCGGGGGAAATATTTTCTTTCAATTCCTGCTTGACACTTTTTGGTAACGACTCGAGAATCATTTGTGAACTTGCTGACACTTTTCCTACCGTGTTTTCAGGTGAAATATTTTGTAAAATCGTTGACGTTTCATTCTTCTCATCATTGCCACCTTTTTTATGTGCCATGTTAACTAATGAATTAAAAAATCCACTGAAAGAATTTTCTTTCTGTCCCATTCCAATATTTTTCTCTTTTTCATCTTTGGCTTGTGATAATTTTACCGACTTTGCAGCTAATCCTGTTGATGGTGATGATGAGAGTGTCGATTCAGGACTCGTCTTAACAAAAATACTTGTTGGATGTTGAAAGAGATTCAATAATTTGTCCAATGTTGCTGGATAGTTTTCACTTTTAATCCACGATGTCTTTCGAACTCGTTTTTGTGCGTCTTGTTTCGGTGACAGTTCAACGGTTGGACTGTTTGTTGTTAGTGTGAGACCTTCATTTGATGACGATGACGATGATGTTGATACAAGCGTATTTTCATTACTAAAAATATCTTTTTTATCATCCTCAATAAGCTCTGATTGTGGTGGAATAATATTTTCAGTCTCATTCGGTTCAACAATCTTTAAAGGCTCAACAACAATCGGCGACTTATCAACCAAATCAAAACTTTCAGTCGAACTCAAATCAGTTTGACGATCGATTGACTCAATTGAACTGCTGAATGAACTGCAACTGTCAATGTCGATAAAATTCTTTACTTCATAATCTAATTGATCAATACTTGGTGATGATAAAAGTGATGAATTGTTGTAAAAGTTTGAAGGCGCTATAAACTTTGCTGGTGCACTTTGTGACGATTTTAATGGAATATCAATTTCTTTACTTTGTTCTGGCTTTGATTCACTTCGCATGAGCTTATTTTGTGAGACGACGTCAAGTTTTGTTTTTGAATAAGGTTCTGACACAGTTATAACACGAAACCGTGAATTGGATGGAAAGAATGTTGGACTGCTGCTACTTGACGATGGTGATGGTGATGTTGATGATGTTAATTTACTACTAACACCGCTCGAACTTTCTGATACCCTCGATACTTGAAAGCGACTTCTTGATGGACTTTGTAATGGCGATGAAATTGGAGATTGAAGTGGACTTGGCGTACGAAGACGTGAATTCTTTTTAGGCTCTAAAAGTTGCTTTTGAGGTGTTTTAACACTCGAGCATGTCAACGAAATCTTTCTCTTCGTCATATTGTTACGTTTCATTCTTTCAATTGTTGTTGTTGCTTTAGCAGCTTCTTGTGGTTCTGGTGGATTCTCATTATGTGCACATTGTTGTTTAATCGTGCTTATCCATCGTTGATATTCAGAATTGTTCTCGAAAATCACATTCTTCGCCTTCTCGTCGAGATCTATTCTTATAATGTTCTTATTAGATTTCAATGCTTCGCTAATATCCTTGAGACCATCTATTGATATTTCATTATTACGCAAATCAATTCGCTGAAGTGTCGCATTGCCAGCAAATTGAATGACTTCACTGAGAACTTTAATACCATCTGATGTAAGGTCTGTTGATTGTAAACCAAAGCTTATTAAACTTCGATTACGTTTTAGCGATAATTTTATATCAAATATGAATTCATTACTAAGGCTATTGTGACCAAAATTAATAATTTGAAGATTTTCTGTTGACTCAATTAAATCAGCAGCGCTCGGTGCACATTTCATTGTCAAATTATTATTCCAAAAGATTAGAACTTGAAGTCCCGTCAATTGTTTATCTAAGATATCAGCGACTGGTACATAATTTGAATTTTGTCGTTCTAATGTTCCATTTTTGTTCTGAAACTTTGTTTCGATTAAACGAATTGATGACTTTGAGTCATTTGATTCAATTGATGTTTCGGAACACAAACTCTCGGAGCTGAATGAACGTTCAGGAGATCGTGCGTTGAACACTTGATGATTTGTTGTGGTATCATCGTAGCCATGAGATATTGGTGATAATGATGCAGTTGTATACTTAAACTTCTCTTTCATTGGACTCTCTTCGGACTTTGTTTCGTTTTTACTACCAACCATTGCAACACCTTCACTCACTACTTCCAACTTGCCACTTCCAACACTTTCTGTTGTCTCATTCTTTCTTCCTTCTTCTTGTTTACTATTATCACATTGTGAAATACTGTTGTTGTTATTATTTATGGAACTTGTGTTACTATCATCAGCAGCCACGTGAATTCTTGGCGGAGGCGTTGCACAAAAACGTTGTCGATTATTATTAATATTGTTCAGATTGGCGGTCAAATCACTAAAATCAAATTTGTTCGATAATAATGAATCGACAGACGATGATGATTGATTAATGTGAACTGATTGATAAGAGAGAGCTTCAGCAATGTGACGAAAGCCTTCATCTTGAATATCATTATTGGAAATGTCTAAGAGTTGCAGATGATGATTACTCTTCAACACATTGCCAATGTGAAAGGCATCATTGTGATTCAGTTCATTATTTGCAAGACATAATTCTTTAAGAATTTTATTCTTTTGCAAAGCACCGCCTTAAAGTCGCGACAATCAGAAAAGAAATAATTAAAAAATGTTTTACTCTTGATATTTATGATGTGACAATGAATAATGAACCTACATAAGCACAATATCGGACGTCCTGTGAGGCCACATCGCTCAAGTTTAAGTGTGTAAATATACGATGTGAGAAGAGCATTGCCGAGTGCGAGGGCTGGAAAAAGTAAACAAAGAGAAAAAAAAAATGGTATGAGAATGATTAACGCGATGATATCGTTTCATGAAGAAGTTTTATCATTGATTATAACTTATTTCAATCAATATTTTTGATATAAAATAGCTTAATAAATTCAAAATAAAAAATATTAGAAATTAAGCTTTAAGCTCATTCATTTGAAGATTTTCCTTATTAACCTTGAATGTCAATGGTCTTGTCAACAACTTTCATGTTTTTCTATTTTAATAATTTTCCATTTATAAAAGGAATGAAGAAATTTTCTTTTTATCTTACCATTTCCATCACTAAGAGCCGTTCCGCGAGTAAATAAACTGTGAAGTGCTTGAGACCGTTTGATCATATTTATGCCTTAAAAAAAATATGATTAGTAAAATGTTATCTTGAAAAGTTGTTAAAAGTTGTTCTTACATGATTGCCAACCGCGGTTTTTAATGCCTGGATTCTCTGAGATATTGAGTTCATTGCAGGCTTCATAGTACTCGATCATGTCGAAAATTGCTGACGCTGAGACATCGTCTAATGAGCATGATGTGAAATCGATGACTTTATATTTTACCCGCTTAAATAGCTCTTCTAGAGCTTCACAAGATTCATGAGTCAATGTTTCATGTTTTAAGTTGAGAATCTCTGCTCTAGGGACTGTTGTAGGACTGTCGAGATTTATAGAACTCAAATGCTCGATAATTGATGGAATCGGCGTTGTGTTGTGTTTCTCACACGAACTCCGATACAAGTTCGCAAGTTCTTGCGAATTTGAGATTGGAACTGGTAATTGTATTTACGGAAGAAAGAAAAAAATAAAAATAAACAATTTTTTATGAGATCCCAGAATTATGTTTCGAAGTAGTAGAAATTAACAGCGAGTTTTGATTAAAATGCAGAAATATCATTAATTAATGTTAAGTTTCAACATTATTGAATATTTTCTTACTATAACTTACCTAATGAATCGAAAGGATTTATTGGTTCAAGATACTGCTCAAGATTTGAGGCGCTTGCGAATGATACCCGTCGAGTCTTTGAGCTCTTTCTTATATTTTCATTATCAGTTTGAGTGGTCTCAGCTGATGACAAGATCGGGACGCTTTGTACCGAGTGAATGATTGATTTACTCTCGGCATTTTCCTCAAATTCCATTACTCATAAACACAAAACGATTATAAATGAGCCAATTTAGTACAATTAAAAGTCACTATTGTCTATTTGTAAATCGAACATTCACAATTGATGCAACTTAATTACAAAAAATCTTTATTTTTTAGAATTTCGTAGAAAAACTTGACAGATTAGCTGTTCTGCTCGTTCTAATGATTTTTATTGAATTCTTTGCGCGAGGACATAGGACCAAAAAAGTTTAAATCTATGTTAAATGAGAGAAAATGCTATTTATTAAATATATTAAAGTTTTAAGTTAAACCCCAGAAACACAAGAAAGTGGGCAATCTTTTCAAAAAAAAAATTTGCTAAAATGATGAACGTTATAATTTCAAGTTAGCACAAATAAAAAATTTAAAAGAAATCCTTATCGTAAATAAACCTAGGTACCTAATATTTTTTCTAATAAGATGATAAGAAATTCTGATTAGAATAAATTAAATAAATAACTAGAAGCGTATTAAATTAGCAGATTCTTATGAGCATATATATTTCCAAATATAATTTTGCTAAATCTATAATCTATTTAAAAAATCCTATTATATCCATTAACCATGTATTGATGCTAATGATTTCTTAAGAAACGAATTTAAACTTGAAAATAACATAAAAACAAGTAGAATGATCATGAAAAAACTGATTTCAGAAATAGCATTTTTAACGGTTGACATTAATTTAAAATTTCTACAGTAAAACTTCTCTCCAGTAGGCATCAGTGATTCATCGCCTATTTCGTCATAAGTTGTTTATTTGCAAACAAGAAATTTAATAACAAGAGAGTTTCAAATATTTTAAATATAAAAAGAAAGATTCAATTAAATAATGGCACCAAAAAATGCAAAGGGGAGCAGTAAGAAGCAGAAGGAACTGGAGTCAGATCCCGGATACATTGCAAAAAGAGAAAGAAACAATGAAGTAGGTTTTTTCAAATTTTTGTAAATAAAAAATAGAATCTATGAGGATAAGCAGAAATTTATGCAATCTAATTTTTATTTTTATTTTGTTCTTTAGGCAGTGAGAAAATCTAGAGAAAAATCAAAACAAAAATCAGAACAAACTATGAAGCGTGTAAAGAAACTTAGAGAAGACAACAAACTTTTAGAAGGGAAAATTGAAGAACAGAAGAAAACAAAAAAATTCCTTAAAGATTTATTTCTACAGCAAACCACTAATAAAATGGAGCAGCCTTCAAAAGAAGTAAACTATTTAAAAACTAAAATAAATTGAGAAAATTAATAAAAATCTTAAATCTTTTAGCAATGGGACCTGATTAATAACACAGATTCAAGCGAGGAATCTGATCACGATTCAGAATCTGCAATGGATTCTGATGAAGATTCAAACCTGGGTAGTCCAACTTATTCAACCACGAGCAGCACGAAAGGCAACAAACGTTAAACTCTTTTGAAAACAACTTCACAATTCTATTGATTAGCACTTATGAAGTTACTTTGTTCGTTTTCATAATTATTTTTAATTAACAAAATAAATATAAGAAAATATATTTTTTTAAAAAACAAAGATTCATATTTTTTATTAGATATGTAGTAAGAAGGAAGAGGGGGAAATTGTGAAGAGACAAGATAGTGACATCAGTATTTGCCAAGGATAAAACAATTCGAGTCAAATTCTGTTGAATATTTTGCTTACGATTTCTTTAATTAAACTTATGACGCTATTATTTTCACACATCTCATGATTGACTCTTAAGAAATCAATCATATGGAGCTATCAGAGAAATTAAATGTACGATAATTAAGCTTTTTAACACTTGTCGAAAATTTTTTGTCATTCTTTTATATTTTTGATTATTCGTTGATATTGAATTTGAATGAATATTTATGAAATGTGTTGCAATAAAACGTTAAGCATAGTTTCTGGGTTTTCTTTGATAGAGTCCAATAAGAAACGCAAATTTAAGTAAATTTCAAAACATATATTTGACTTTATTTAATTTTCATCACATTCTTGAATAGCTCGTAAATCTTGATTCGATTCATTCTGAAACCAGTTTGGGAGACTTCTGAAACAAGTGGTGAACTGACGAATCATTTCATCTGATTCTGAAGATATCCAATCAACATAATTTTCAGCTTCAATAGACCATTTATCTCCAAGCATTAAAATATCACGAAATTCGTCGTTGATGTAATCACGAAGACTGTCACGACCTGTGAAGATATCAAGACGAGACAAAACATTCACTGAAGTGTTAGGGATTTGTTCATTGTAAAAGCGACTTTCATGTTGAAAAGAATTCAAAGTGTTTGTGAATGTATTAAGATAGCTGAAAAGAAATAAAATAATTAACAAACAAATTCAATATACACATGAAACTCACTCATTCGTTATTCCAAGACATTGTGACAATCTCTGACCATAGCGTGTAACTTGCAACTCCCACCTGGCTCTGACTCTATCTTCACATTCTGAAGAACCAAATTCGTTCATTAACTCTCTTGTTTCAATGCCAATATTTTTAATTTGAGTGTAAGCGACTAAAAATGAATCCAAAACTCCTTTTTCTATCGTTGCTAAATTTTCTGATAATCTATCGCGATTCTCAACAAGTGAAATTTCTGCAAATTCATGACCAATTGTTAATTCTTGTTGTGCTTGTAGTAAATCTTCTGTTACTGTTGGACTTTCCTGACAGTTTGTCAAGACAAACGCACACAACGTGCAAAGGAGAAAACTTTTCAAAACCATTGTTTCTTAATGAATGTTTAACAAAAACTGATCCTAATGTCAATCAGATTTCAACGAAGTTCATTTAACAAATCAAGTGTTTTATTATTTTTTTTATCTAATCTAATTTTAAGCTGAGACGACTTCCTTTGTGGTGTTTTTAACTTGTCAGTATATAATATATAAACAAACTGTTTACTGCTTAAGGTTCTTCCTGTTTATGGGAATTTCTTGATGGAAATTTAAAAGCGATAATAAGGTTTTCTTCTAATTTTCATCGTGATCACTTCTTATAGAACTGATCATTAAAAAAACCTTTAATTTATTATTAAATATTATCTAGACATGTTGAGCGTTTCCATAAAATTTTAAAAGCAGAAGTATTGAAAAATAATTGAGAATCGTAACGATAAGATAAAAGTTAATCTTTTCATAGATAAACAAAACAAAATTTAAATCCTTTAAATTATCTCAAGCAATAAATTTATGACGTTTTTATTTTAAATTTTTAATCAACAAGATTTTGAAAATATCGAAACAATTCGGTAAAAAGTTAATCGCTGAAACACAAGCGCATGGCTTCCAAATCATTAGCAGATTCGGTCTCAAATGCAGCTGGAAGTGTTCGGTAGCATTCAGTATATTCTTCCAATAACAAATCTAGATCAATTGAAATTCCATTTACAAATTCTTCGAATTCAGCATGTAAATTAAGGGCGCGGAAGTAAAGATCACGGAGAGCATCATTAATATAAAAACGTAGATTATCACGTCCCGTGAAAATGTCAATTGTTGATAAGATGTTAGTTGAAGTGTTTGGAATTTGGTTTGTATATTCTCTGCTTTCGTCGTGCAGACGATTCAAGATGTTTGTAAAATCAAGCAAGTAACTAATTTTATGAAAAAGAACAAGAATGAGTTATGAATGTTCAGAATATTTCATGACCATCTCACCCGTATGTACTGCCTAAGCATTGTGACAATCTTTGCCCGTAGCGTGTAACTTGAAGTTCCCATCTTTCCCTAACTCTATCCGCACAGAAAGATGTTTCAAATTCTTCCATAGCTGCTCTGGTATCTATTCCAGTATTCTTAATAGCTGCATACGCTCCCATAAATTCATCGAGTGCCACTGTTTCAATTCTTGCAATATAATCCGATAAAATTTGACGGTTATCAACAAGGAAAATTTCTGACCATCCATGGCTAATTGTCAATTCTTGTTGTGCTCGAATCAAGTCTTCAGTAACTGATGGACGGCCACCAGGAGGGGGAGGTGGTGGTGGTGGAGGCGGTTGTGCACAAGCTAATGCGACGAGACAAATAAATACAAATGCTTTCATTGCAGTTCGATCGCTCTTACAAAGAAATAATTGAAACTGAATTAATATTTCCTAGAGCAACAGCTTTTAACAAAAGGAAACGAAACAAGAAAAAACTTATCTTATCTGAGCTTTTGCAGCCGCTATTTTAATTCACCGATAAAATTTCTTCATCGTACGTTATTTAACATGAGATAAATTCAATTTTTTTAATTTATTATTTTCCTACTTATTATATAAATTACTGTTTATTAAGAACAATGATTTACTTCTCATTAGAACATGCCACGTATTTTTAATTAAATATGAGTAACTAAAACCCTTCAGCAGATCATTTGAAACTGATAGAATGTACAATAAACGTTCTCTAAGAAATTTCTAAAAATTTCAACATAAAATGAAGAAATCAAAATAAAATTTAAAGGAAACAAATTCACGTTTTACAACGAATGTGATCTTTGAACAATCATAAAAGATTAACATTTCCGTCTTAACACATCCTGTTAAATATTTTTTGATACATTTTGCTGATATACGTCAAGTTAATCACCAACTTAACTTATAATGATAAGATTCGAAACAGGAAACCTTGAACAGTTACAATAAAACTCTCAATAATCTAATCAAAAACATGATAAAATGAAGAATAAAAGTCTTAAGATATTTTTTTTAATAAAATATTATTTTATTGCCAATGAGGTTGAGAAAATTCATTCACAAATTTTCTTGGCGCAAAATTGATGGAAATTTAAAGTTTACAAAGGAACGGCTTTCTGCTCAGCTGTGTTGTCAAGGGCCGCACAATTTTGAGCACGATTCAATTCAACTTCAATTTCAGCTTCAAATTCTCGTTCTAAAACTTGGTCGCATTCAATCAAATCTCTGATTGTGTTAAGATAATCTTCTGAGATTTCATCCAAAAATCCATCGAACAAATCGCGATAAGATAAGAAAACTTTAAGAAGAATTCTAAGTTCACGATTGATCATAACTGGGAATTGATTACGTCCATCAAAGATTTCAGTTTCTGACAAAACTTTAACACCCAAATTTTGTACTTGGTTTCCAGCAACTTGACCAATAGCATGAAGATTATTCAAGAACTCATTCCATCCGCGGAGAAGTCTATAAGCATTGTTGACACAAGTGGCAAGGCGATGACCATAACTGTTAAAAATTATCACTTAGTTCACATCACAAAATACATTTCTAAACTATTTTATTTTACCGAGTAACTTGTAAATCCCATCGGTTTCTAAGACTGCCCAGACATTCTGCATTGTTTGGTGTCTCTGGGATTGCATTAATTTCAGCCAAAGCATCAATTCCTCGTGTTTTGATGAAAGCATAAGTGTCAATATGTGATGTTATGATTTCTCTGTTGATACGGTACAAGTAAGACGAGATTTGGCCACGATTTAAGAAAAGTGTCGTCTCGAAAAATTCATGGGTGAGAGAGAGTTCACCTTGAGCTCGAATAAAACCGTCAGTGACTGTCTCATCTTGTGCTAGTGCACCGACGAAGAAAATAAGAAAAATTCCCAATGTAAATTTCATCTTTAACTGAACTGTTCTAGACGTTTTAAGACAACTGTAGAACATTTTGATTTTTCTCGACATTTAATACTTCACCTTCATATCTTATCAAAAGCTCTATACAGGATATCGTTTAGATAAGACAAACCCTATCGTCCGCTGATAACATATAATCCAGTACAAAAGCTAATTACGACAAGGGTGAATTGTAAAACTCGCCTTCTATTGTTTTTATCTTTAAGTTTTAGAAGCTGACTCTGTTTTAAAACCGAAAAAGAAACTCAGGAAATGAAGTAAAGTTTTAAAGTGTTCAATTGATAAAACAGAAAATAGTTTCAGATCACAGAAGGACTTACACAATTTAAGGTACAGGAAGTTGTAATGATTTAATCATTTTTAAAAACATTAAAATCAATAACATATCAGAATTAAATTTCTTTTCTATAAATTCATTCATGGTCATGTAATTCAGATAACATTCAGAAATAAACAAAAAATTTCTGCCAACTTCTTTTAGTACATATATCTATTCAACATTTTTAGCTTTTTATGTCCTAGAAAAATCTCTCTCATGGTTGATAAATTTCTATTTATCTAAATAAAAGTAAAATATTTAAATTAGGTAATCCTTATGATTTGTGAAATAACTTTTAAAAATATCAAAGAATGATTGAAACTTCGATCATTGAGCATCAAGATATAAATTTGCTTCATTATTTTTTTAAAAAAATTGAACCATAACAAATAAATAATAATACTTCTTGGTATTTACTGCATAGACGAGTAACATTGTCAGCTTATAAAAACTTTTGCAAAATTATAGACGTTTCCTTTTTGATTTTATTTAACCAAGATTTCGAATATCCAATAAATTTTGGAAAAATGGAAGTAATTAATGTAATTACATAATTAATTAATCAACTTTTAAAGCATTTTGAAACATTCTTTATAAAAGCTTTTTTAAAAACTTTTAAGCTTTTCAAGTTGTTTTTCAAGTCTAAAGTAAACATCAACGAAACATTCAAGTGAAATATTAAACATTGATCATTCCACCTATCACGGTTCAATCTTGTCCGAAACGGCTCAAAGAAGTTTGTAGAAGTTTGTAGACTTTTTTATTTATTCTATTCACTTGCGACGGAGAAGAAGATTCTGGGTTTGGTCTTTTCCCTCAGAATAAATTCAATTTACACATTTTTCTACATTTAAAGTTAAAAACATCGAAATAATGACTTTAGGGGATTTATTGAGTAAACCTGCTGTTCAAATTGCGGCCGCTGTCATTTTGCCGAATGCTGGTGGATGGGTCAACGGAGTGATTACAAAGAAGAACATCAAAAGTTGGTATGAGGGACTCAAACATCCGAGTTTTCGTCCACCAAATTGGCTATTTGGACCTGTTTGGACTGCACTCTATTCAGGAATGGGATATGCTTCATATGTCGTTTGGAAACAAGGCGGTGGTTTCGGCGGTCAAGCTAAGTTTCCTTTGATGTTATATGGAGCTCAACTAGCCCTCAATTGGGCATGGTCTCGTGAGTAAAATTTATTGCTTCTTCAGTTCAAAAGATGACTTTTTTTTCTTCTTTAATTTAAAGCAATCTTTTTCCATTATCACGAATTGAAATGGGTGAGTTAGAAACACTTGAAATAATCATAAAATATTTTTTATCGTGAAAATTTTCCCACAGAGCACTGTTGAAATTGGAGCATTAACAGCAACAGCCGCCGCAACTGGAATTGCTTTCTATAACATCGAAAAAGTCGCCGGTTTAATTTTTGTGCCTTACTTAGCATGGCTCTCATTTGCTTCTTTATTGAACTACTCGATTTATCGTCTCAATACTCCAGCGATTGAGGATAAGAAACCGGAAGAAAAAAAGAAATAAGCATTTGATTATAAGAAGGAGGATCGAACAATTATAATTCCATTTCTTCATAAAGATATCTCAAAAACAGAAAAGTCTCATAATGTCATGTAACTCGAGATATTTTAATAAAAAAAATTCTACCTCAGAACAAATAAAAGATTATTGATATTGATGACATAATGTTACGTAACACCTGTCAACAACTAATGTCTCATAAGTTTTTCTTTGTCGTGTTTATTGCCGAAAAAAGATTAAAATGAAGATCAATGTCATTGCTACAAGTTGTTTAAGCTAAAAATAATTATAAAAAATAACGTTTATTTATGTTGAGATCAGGAATTGTAAGCGGAAGCCGCTGGAAGCTTCACATTTTTGGGAAGCGGAACGATCCCCACGGTTTCAAATCAAAAAATATCCCTTCGGATTAACGCGGATTAACTTGCGAGAAAAGGATAGAAAATTCGTCCTTCTAGACCTTTTTAAAGTCAACCAATTAAAGTCATTTGAATTAATTTCTATTCGATTAAATATTTCCTGAAAGGTGAGAATAGTTTTTAAAGATGCATAAGCATCTTAACTAATGTAAATTTATCGTAATAGACAGAAACCTTCCAGCGAAATCGGCCTCTAATCGAATTTCGTTGGACCTCGTGCAATTCTCGACCCGGCGACAACAATGTACATTAAATCTGTTGTTATTGACGGATTTAAATCTTATGGACGTCGAACTGAAGTGAATGGATTTGATCCTGAATTCAATGCTATTACCGGTTTGAACGGAACTGGAAAAAGTAACATTCTCGATTCTATTTGCTTTGTTCTCGGTATTTCTAATCTTTCACAAGTGAGAAACATAAAACTTTATTTCAAATCTAGTGAATTATAATTTCAAATAATTTTTTTTAAGGTTCGCGCGCAATCTCTTCAAGATCTTGTTTACAATAGTGGACAAGCAGGAGTCACGAAAGCAACGGTCACAATAAACTTTGATAACAGCAATAAAAGTCAATGTCCTATCGGTTATGAAAATTGTCATGAAATTGCTGTTGCTCGTCAGATTGTCGTAGGAGGAAAAGGAAAATATCTCATCAATGGAAAAAATGCTCAATATGAAAAAATTCAGGATCTTTTTTGTTCTGTTCAGTTGAACATAAATAACCCTGACTTCCTCATTATGCAAGGACGCATCACAAAAGTCCTTAACATGAAACCTCCAGAGATATTGTCGATGATTGAGGAGGCAGCTGGGATAAGTATGTATGAGAATAAGAAGGAAAAATCAATGACCATTATCCAGAAGATAGATAATCGACTTGAAGAACTCAATCAATTGATCCCAGAAGAATTAAAACTAAAGTTAGAGAAACTTCAGCAACAACAACAGCAATATTTGAAATATCAAAATATTTGTCGTGAGATTGAATATTTTACAAGAATTCATATCTCTTACAAATATGTCAAATGTCTTGAAAGTGTTGAGAATTCTGAAGGTTTAATTGAAAAATTAGACGTTGAAATTGAAAAATATAAAAAGATAATTATCGTAAGTTTGATTTTTTATTTGATTCAATCAAGTAAAACAAATTTTCTTTATCTTGTAGGAATCAAACAGTTAGGTATCTTAAAGAACTTGAAAAAGAATTAGATGAACTCAATCAACGTGATGCTAAAATAAAAGCAGCAAATCATTCATTGCAAGAAGAAATCGCGAGTGATCAACGTAAATTGAAAGCACTTCAAAATAATATCAAAATTGATGAAGCTGCTCTTGCTAAAAAGGAAGAAGAAATGAATAAGGTTTGTAAACTGCTTTAAGTTTGTTTTAAGAAGGAAAGTTAATTGAAATGTTTCTCTTTTATTAGAGTGGTGATGTCTATGAGAAACTAAAAGAAGAAGAAGCAAATGATTTGAAAGCATTTAATGATGCACAAAAGAAGCTTGAAGCAATAAATCTTGGTTTAGCTTTGAACGATGAAGGTGAAGCAACAACTTTGCAGGATCAATTATCAAGTAAGTCAAGAAGTAAGTAGACAAATGATTATCATCAATGAATGCTCTTGAAACAGGTTTGAATATGAAATGATCAATCTTTGTTTCATTTTCAATCGAAGAAATGAAATAAAAGTTAAAGATTTATCATTGAAACTTTCAGATTCAGAAGGTCATCGTGATCGTGAAATAAAATCAGCTGAAGCTGAAATGAAGAGAACGGAAGAGAAATATAAGAAATCAAGTGCGAATTGAAAGAAACGACAACAAGGATATGAAACAATGAAATTGGAGATTGAAGAATTAAAGAAAATGATTAATGATGGTTTGAATCAAATAAGTGAATTAGAAAAACATATTGAAGATCTTCAAAAGCAACTGACGATGACTGTAAAACTGATGGTGACTTAAACAAAGAAAACAAAGAAATTCGTAATAAAAACATCAGAAAAGAAAAATTATCAAAACACATTCTCGAACTTGAATTGGATTTGAAGAAAAAGGAAAATGAGAAAGTGAAAGTTCGAGCTGATAATTCTGATGGTTATAATAAGATTAAAGCACTTGAAGAGAAATATCCTTGGATTGAAGAAGACAAAGGGCATTTTGGTGTCAAAAACACTCGTTATGACTTCACAAAAGAAGATCCAAATGTTGCTTTTAAGAAATTAAATTCTTTGATAAGGTGGTACGCCTTCGTTTAAGACCAACGTTGTTTGAACTGAAAACTCAAAAATGAAAAGCTGCAAAAAAAATCAAATGATGCACAATTATTTTAACACTCCGAACTCACCTTTTTATCATGTAAAAATTCAACTTTATCTACAAAAGGAATAACAATAGGCAAAAGTGAGTTTTTTAGTGGCGCTTTCGTATAGGACCACTTCATATATTTAGCTGTATTGTAACAATCTTATGCTTTTAACGGCATAATTGACATTCCTTATGATGAACTAAATCATATAATTAATATTCTGTTGAATTGGTTTACATTTGGAAAAAGAAAATTCTGCAATGTCTTCAATGACCCATCAAGAGCCATANGCTAAAGTTTACTTCAACATATTCATATGATCCTCCTGCTTTAATTTAAATCATATTTTAGAAGATGGTATCTCGATATGATGGCAAAATGGCCAAAATATCTGAGAGAAAATCTATCAAAGTATCGTGTAGACCGAAAATTTTTTTTTTCACCTTGTATCATGAAAATGGTAATTGAAATTATGAATTTTATGCTAATCTGATGCCTTCTAATAATTTCAGTTCATCATTTGCATGATGCACGGTGAAAAAAATTTTTTTCGGTCTACACGATACTTTGATAGATTTTCTCTCAGATATTTTGGCCATTTTGCCATCATATCGAGATACCATCTTCTAAAATATGATTTAAATTAAAGCAGGAGGATCCTATGAATATGTTGAAGTAAACTTTAGCCACATTTTATACCGATTTGATGAGTGGTGGATTTACTTTCTCGTAAAACCGTCAGCAGATACATGATTATATGCATTTAAAAATTATTTCGAATAAAAATTCAATAAACAATGTACTTATGTATTATGTATTTTCGATATTGGATCTGTTAAGAATATATAAGAATTAAAAAAACGTTAGTTTATTAGAAAAAAATTAAAATTTTAGTACTTATGGCTCTTGATGGGTCATTGAAGACATTGCAGAATTTTCTTTTTCCAAATGTAAACCAATTCAACAGAATATTAATTATATGATTTAGTTCATCATAAGGAATGTCAATTATGCCGTTAAAAGCATAAGATTGTTACAATACAGCTAAATATATGAAGTGGTCCTATACGAAAGCGCCACTAAAAAACTCACTTTTGCCTATTGTTATTCCTTTTGTAGATAAAGTTGAATTTTCACATGATAAAAAGGTGAGTTCGGAGTGTTAAAATAATTGTGCATCATTTGATTTTTTTTGCAGCTTTTCATTTTTGAGTTTTCAGTTCAAACAACGTTGGTCTTAAACGAAGGCGTACCACCTTAGATGAAAAAAAGAAATTGAGTCGAAATTTTAATCAAGAAGCGATGATGTTGTTGGAGAAGGAATTAGAACATTACAAGAAGATTCTTGATCGTTGAGGGATAATTGCTAATGATCGAAAGAAGATCTTTGAAAGTATTAAAAAAATGGACTCAAAGAAAGTTGAGAACTTAAAGAAAGCTTGGCATCAAGTCAACGTCAATTTTGGATCAATTTTCAGTACTTTATTGCCTGGAATGGAAGCAAAGTTGGTTCCACCTGAAGGAGTTTCATTTCTTAAAGGACTTCAAGTTAAAATTGGATTCAATGGAGTTTGGAAAGAGTCTTTAACAGAGTTGAGCAGTGGACAACAATCACTTGTTGCATTATCTTTAATTCTTGCCATGTTGAAATATAAACCAGCTCCGTTTTGTTTACTTGATGATGAAGTAGATGCTGCTCTTGATTTATCACATACACAAAATGTCGGCGCAATGCTTAAAGCTCATTTTAAGAACTCTCAATTCATCATCGTGTCACTTAAAGATGTAATGTTCAACAATGCTAACGTTTTATTCCGTACAAAGTTCGTTGATGGTGTTTCAGGTGTCACCAGAACAACAAATTGTAAATAATTTCAATTTAAGTTTGATTTTAGTTGTAAAAAATCTCGAAATAAAGTTTTTGTAAAAAAAAACGATAATTTTGCCAATTAATAATCGACGATAATTTGAAGTTAAGAAAGATTTTAAGAAGCTTTAAATTAATAATGTAGAAATCATTAACAGAAATTATTTCCATTTGTTCTTTAAATATTCTTCTGTTATCCAAATATTATTATAATAACGAACGGCGAGCAACTTACAGCAACGACAATAACAATGATGAGACAACAAAACTTCCAATCTCAACTTGAGATGTATTAACACAAAGTGTTTTATACGAAAATTAAGGTAAAGATTTAAAGAATGGCTTCAGGAGCTTTTCATTCCTATATGTTTACAATTCATGAAAAACAAATTTTGTTAAGCTCCGACTTTGTAGAGTTTTTCATAGAAAATATTCTTTGATAACATGTTGAGAAACGCACGATCATCAATTTAAATGATCAAAAAATTAACACAAATTTTAATTAAACTTCGTTCCACAATTTTTTATTTTCGTCTTGTCTTTCTGGAGTTTCTAAATATTTCTTATCCTATGTCATTAATCTCTATTTTTTAATTCTAAAGCTAAGATCTCGCTGTTCTCGTGACCAACCAGTAAATTTATTCCTCTATTAAAAAAGAAAATGTCGCGATAAGTTCATTTGAATTGAAAAATTTATTCTGCAATTTTTATAAAAAAACTCTTTTCAAAGTTCATTCAATTTCGGGATTGATTTTAAATATCAATTTTAAGAGATTTTTTATAACTAAACAAAAATAAAAGTAAAAGAAAGAAAAGTTTCAGAAGGTCCCTGTCGCGATCGCATCATAATTCATATGAATAGATAGTTATACAATTAACCAAGCAATAAAGTAGAATATTGAGGCACATAAATCAAAAAAGATAGAAAGAAGGATCAGGGAATAAATTCTTAGTCTAATATGGAACATTTGAGAACAGATACGACACGCTCTCGCCATTATGAGTTCTACGGACGGCCTCGGCAAACATCATTGACACATCGATGCATTGAATTTTCGGGCAATCTTTCATGTGGCCATCTTGAGGAATTGTATTGGTCACTACAACAGCTTCAAAACAAGCGTTGTTGATGCGTGATATGGCGGGACCACTGAATATCCCATGTGTGAGAATTGCATAAACTTTTGTTGCGCCAGCTTCGAGAAGCTTTTCAGCTGCATGACAAATCGTGCCACAGGTATCAGCCATGTCATCTACCAAGATTGCTACTCTGTCTTTTACATCACCAACTAACACCATCGATGCGACTTCATTGGCCTTTTTACGTTCTTTGTGAATCAAAGCAAACTCTACATTCAAGCGATCCGCTATGGAAGTCACACGTTTCGCACCGCCAGCGTCAGGCGAAACAATAATTGAATTTCTCCACTCAGAAATGTTTTCTTTTATCCATTTCAGCACAGCTGGTTCTGCGTAAAGGTTATCAACAGGAATATCAAAGAAACCCTAAAAAATTTATAGAATTACATTTTTTACGAATCATATTTTGTAAGTTAACTTGCCTGTATCTGTGAAGCATGAAGATCCATTGTGATAATATGATCAGCACCGGCAACGGAAAGCATATTAGCAACCAACTTTGCTGAGATTGGTGCTCGACTCTGTGAAAAGAAATTAAGAAGTCGCAATGAAGTTTATTGAACTTTTCAGTTCATTCACTATTCCTAATCTAATCTACATAAGTCTTGTTAAACGTTAAATTATTTAATGTTACATAAAAAAGTGTAAATATTTATTCATTGAAGGAAAAGGATGAAAAGAAACTTTTATTGGATATTATAAATGCATGCAAACAACTTGACAAAGTGTCTAGTTTTGTTTTGTTATGGTTTTCTGAATTCTGCTATCAACCTTTCTCTTCATGCTTTTAAAGCAGGCTATTGACTTTCAATTTATAATTTATGATTATTTCTCGATATTTCATAGCACATAAAGCATAAGTCAGTGACTATTCATTATAATTATGGTAAGGAATCCCCTAAAACTAATCTAAAAAGCGTGTTTTTGTCAATAGCCTAATTTTAATGGGAAGGGAAACAGTTGAATTGATAAAAATGTTTGTTAAGACACTAACAAAATGAAGAATATAAAAAATGCTTTCTTATCATGTTAAAATATCCTTCACATAAGGATCTTCAGCAGAGTCGAGATGCTTTAGTTAATATGATATAATTTTTTTATAGCTTTAATTTTATATAAGCTGACAACACATTTTACCGTAATCTACAAATAAAAAAATAAAAATTTCGTATTAATAAAAGTTCAGCATGAGTGGGCCACATTATAAAGAACTTCCTGTGGGGACAGAGAAATAAAACCCGAATGCTAATGCATTTAGTTTTCCGAACAAAAGGAAAGCTAAAATATTTATTTAATGATTCATTTTAAGTTAATTACTTGAATTTATTTGCGTTTTCAAATAATGCTCGTTATTTCCCCTAACATAAAAAACAAACTTGTTGATAACGCCGTTTTATGCCAATTAAAAAGGAGTTAATAGTATTAGTCAAAAACACTGCAAAACTTTGCCAATTTTTAATTCCCAAAGTACTCAGAATGGTCTCAATGTATCTGATGATTTAATTTAGGAAGGATTTGTTTCGTTTGTTAGTTTTCATTCTTTTTCTTTTATAACAAAAAAATTTTGATTAGCTGATTGATTGAATGAGATGTCATCTCAAAGAAGAATTACAAAATGAGTGATGAAAAATTATTTGGAATCATTTCTTCATTTCTTTTTTTATTCTAAAAGTTTCGGAAAATCTTTGGGGAAATCTACAATTATAGAAACTAGAAAACCATCCTGTGTGCTAAAGGAAAGCTCGATTTTAAAACAACAAATCAATTTGTTTTAAAAGTTTAAGGATAAAAAATTGTTGTTAACATTAAAAGATGGAAAAAACATCCTAATTTTACTTTCAAATCGTTAATCTGAGCTCAAGCTTGAGTGATCAGAAAAACGATTACTCACAGTATACATATCTGGCACGTATTCCTATAAAATATAAAATTAGACAAAGAGATTGTTTCAGAAACTATTCTAACAATTGATTTTGATATTATTTTTTGCTTACATTTAAAGGGCAAGAATTTGTGAACAGGACGAGTTCATTTTAAAGGATGCGTTTTAAAATTTCATCAAATATTTAATTTATTAAGTTCGCTTGTTTTTTATGCATCGAATCACTCAATAATGCAATATTATTTAGACTTTACAATATTACAATGTTTAAATATTTTAATCGATTCCACTTTTTTACTTTTGTTATCAGCTTTGTTTTCGTAATGGTTTATTCACTCACGAGAAAAGAAATAAATAAAAAATACACAAACAATGCGATTAAGGCAAACATAAAAGATGCAAAACAAATGAGAATCAAAACAGAACGAGCCTTGTTGGAATGACGCAAGTTAAATGAGTGCACGAGCAATGATTGTTTTACATTACATACGCATGCATGCATGTTATTTCAAAAAACAAATTAATTAACTTTCTAAAATGTGGAAATACATTTGCTTTCTTATAATCACAAAGATTTTATTCCTTATCAAATCTTTTTACATATTAAAATATTTCTAATCATGATCCCAGGTTTGTGTGAATTTGTGTGATATTTTTATGAAATAAAGAAGAAATAAATAAAAAATTCACCCGAAATTTCCATTCGTTTGACTTCTTCATCAGCTCAGTTAACTTTTCGTCACCAGACTACGAAGGGAGGTAGAAGCGTTAGATCGCATAGGAGAACAATTAGTATTGGCACATAATCAATCCCATACAAGATAACTCATGTGCATTCGATTTAATGTGTGTGATCACAGACGTTATAAATAGTTAATAAAGCATTTTATCAGTTGTAGAAAGATTATTTGTTGTGAAATAATATTTCAAACTTCATAAATTTAAGTAACAAACAAAAAAATTATTGAAAAACAAATTTTGATCAGTGAATTAAAGGCGGTAACCTCGGACTAAGATGAGAAATATAAATCTTATCTAATCTTTGATTTTTTTTCTTATTTTTACGATTGACATGTCCGAGATTAAAAACCTTTCTGTCTGGATGAATGTGAGTCATTTACGCAAATCACGTTTTCAGATGATTAAAATCGCGACATAAATACTTCCACATTTTTGTTTTCTTTTTATTCTAACTAATTTAGTTCATGGTCAAAATCATTCAAATTTATTATAAATCTTTAAAAAAAAACTATTTTTATCATATATTCGTCAAAAAACAGCATCGTCAACATAGAATGTTTGGTAATGTTGTGAGAAATAGCCAATCAGAGAAATAAATTGAAAGAAAACGTAGAAAACCAAACCAAATAATATTACGGTGAACATTAGGAAGGAATTGTTGTGTTGAGAGGACTTGAAAGCCACAGTAAGAAAGATGAAATGAAATCAAAAACTTCTTACCTTATCCTTTTTGTCTTGCCGTGCATAAGGAAAGCATGGAATGACAGCTGTGACACGAGACGCTGAAGCAATTTTACAGGCATTTATCATAATTAAAAGTTCCATAAGGTTATCATTGATTTCACCCGAGCCCGATTGAACGATGTATACATCTTCACCACGAACTGATTCTCCAATTTCGACGCTAAAATATTATTGAAGAATAATTTAAATGTTTTAATCTTATTGCATTTTTTAAAAAGAAAATAATCAATTCAGGAATCATCTCTAAACGTCATGCGGTTGAAACCTTGAGCTTTCAAAAGAAAACTTTTCATAATCACAATGAAAGCCTTGTCAAGGTGAATTTCCTTGACATGAGAAATAGAAATGAAACGTCTCTAGACTGTTACAGAAAAAATGAAAATAAAGAAAATAGGCGCTAAAATTATCGACAATCGAGAATGCATTGCGTCAAAAAGCATCGTGTACAAACAAAACAATTTGTTTTTAAAATATTTCAATACTCTCCGGTGAGTTAGTTACACGAAAGAGAAAATATTATCGAACAAACAAACTTCGATTATGCTGAAATCAACAGGAAATCTTCTTTTTGTACCTGTCTCCGATGACTACCTGAGAAAAGGAAAACCTTAAAATGTATGCACGATATCAAGTTGGAGTGCAATTCTTATGCTTTTGTTATTATGCTTATGTCGTCTTAAATTATTTATATTGAGGTTAATTCCATATTTATTCTTGTGTCGAATTACAATTTATTACTCGCATGACGTTAATATATGATCATTAAAGATTTTCTGTTTTCTTTATATTAACACTTAATTATGTCTATTATTTCATTTTAAAGGAACAATGCTGATAAATTTATCTTAAGTCAAATCAAGGTTAAAAAAATCTTTTTTCTAAGTCAATAACTTTCCAAAAAAGTTGACTTTTTCAATTCTTATTATTAAAACTGGTTTGGAATAATGATAGATTCTATCATAAATTAAAAGACGTAACGTGCTCCAAAAGGAATCATTAAGAATTAAAGATAATAAGAAGAAATAGAAAAATGAGATAGCTTACCAGGTTTCTAAATTTGAAAACTTTTTCGTCACTACTTTCCCTAAATCAATTCCCAGTCTATCAACAATCCTTTGAGCTAAATCAGGATGTGATGTTCCAGAGAAAACTTTTATGTTCGGCATTGTTTTGTACTGTTTGTCTTAACGATTGAAATTAAAATAAAAAGAAACCTCTCGTTAGCATTGACTCGCTTTTGTTTTTCGCGAATCATGATACCCCTCAATAGAAAACCTTACTTGAAGGCCCTTTTCTCGGTGCGAGTAATCCCACACTCTCCACCTGAAACTGACTTGAGGGGACGAGTTTCGGGTAGAGAGTGTAAACCTAGTGGTGCTCAAAAATTTGAGAACCTTGTTGATAAAAAACGAACTTTAAATCTATTAAAATGGCTAATATGGCAGTTTCGAGAATAAAGCGTGAATTCAAAGAAGTCTTAAGGTAATAATATTAACAGATTAATTTAAAAAAACCTCTGTGTCTTCATAAAAAGGAATATCGATATTATTTGTTTTGAAAATTCTTTTCTAAATTACTCACCAAAAATCTCATTGTATAAAGTGTTATAGGATCAGTGTTTCTTTATAAAGTTGATTTCTGGTTTTAAGCTTAAAATCATTCTAAAAACAAAACATTTTACACATTAAAATTAAATTGACGTATTTGATCTTGCCTTTGATGATAATTCAAATTTTTTTAATGAACTTTTAGAAGTGAAGAAATTGCACAATGCTCAATAAAACTGGAGCTGGTTAATGATTGCTTCACAGAACTTCGAGGAGAAATAGCAGGTCCACCTGGTATGGTCGAATAAATCTAATATTTTTATGAATAACCTTTTTAAATGTTCTTCTTGTTTTTCTTTCAGATACTCCATATGAATTTGGAACATTCCTGCTCGAAATTCATGTACCAGAAACTTATCCTTTCAATCCTCCTAAAGTCAAATTTCTCACAAAGATCTGGCATCCAAATATTTCATCAGTGACTGGTGCAATTTGTTTAGACATATTGAAAGACAATTGGGCTGCAGCGATGACACTTCGAACAGTTTTGCTATCGCTTCAAGCTCTCTTAGCTTCACCCGAGCCTGATGATCCTCAAGATGCTGTGGTTGCTTCACAATACAAGGAAAACTTTGAGATGTTCTGTCGTACAGCAAAGCATTGGACAAACTCATATGCTAAAGGTTTTATGATGAATAACTTCATAATATGAGTTTTACTTAATTCGTTTCATTCTTATAAATTGTAGGTCCTCATAAGTTTCCAGATTTTGATACAAAAATCCAACGTCTTAAAGATATGGGTAAAGTCGAGATAAATATGTAAATTTAGTCAAGAAACATTTGTAAATTTTGATTATTTTTCTAGGAGTTAGTGAATTTGATGCACGAGCTGCACTCAGCCGCCACAATTGGGATCTAAATCGGGCTACCGAACAATTGTTCAGTTAGTGCACGAAGAAATTTCTTCCATAAAGACTTGTAATGCTGAATAATATATTTACCAACTGATAGTTTTCAATATTTTGTGGAGGAAAAAGGAAAAGTTATTTTGTTAATGTCTTTGGGTGTCGTAAAAATTTTTATTTAAATTTTACAAACATGTGTTTGGAGCGAACCGATTGTTTGCAGATTTTCGTAGTTATATCCTTTCATTTTTTTCAATCACTCTGAGTCTTTAAGTTGATGTTATGAAACATTCATAATTGATGTCCATTAGAAGAAATGCAGAATATATTGAATCACCTTTTTATTTGTAGACATCAATAGTGACAATTCATAAGAGACATTAATGAATTATGCATCACTATTTTAAGAACAAGAAATAAAGACTTCTTTAAATTTAATTTATTTTTTATATTTGTCCAACGACTTAGATTACTTACATTGAAGAGTGTAGGAAGCTTACATAATGTAGGATATTTCAATAATTTTCAGGAACGTGATCACTAAACATGGACACTACGTTTCAGTTGTCTTTGTGGAACCAACGACTTTAAGGACTGGAACAAATATAATTAATTTGATGATCAAACAGTGATTCTCAATTAAACTTCTTCTTAACGCTTTCTTCTAAACAGTGTCTTAAGAATAACTAAAGCGAAAAACCTAAATCGGAAGTTGAATCAATGTCAAAGATAAGCCGTTAAAATTAAGATATGCGTAATTTTTTTTCCAATAACGTAATCCACACAAAAATTCATTCACGAGTGATAAAGTATATCCGGAATCCGGATAAATGATTATCAAGATAGCTGCCTATATTTATCAGTTTTGTAAATATTCTTAATCTTTAAATGGATAAAAATAATTAACTGTTTGTAATGAAAAATGTTATATTCCTGATATCGAATCATTTGAACAAAGTCACTTGCAGAAACAAGAAGCTACCTGATTTGCTTTCAATTCTTCCTATTTGCAATTAGAATTAAAGCAAGTGAAAATTAAATTTAGATGCAAATATCGAACAAATAAAAATGTTAAAATTAATAAAAGTATTCAGACCTTTGGGTAGTAATCAAAAAAGTGGTGAGTGTGATTTTTATTCCTGGAAAAGCGTTCCAATGTCTAAAGTTTATCAAAAAGAGCTTTGTGAACTGAATTATTTGGAAACGTGAAGAAAAAACGTCGAATTTTCTATTTTGTCACTAATCTGGAAATTCCATTTTATCATCATTAATCTTTTGACCTTTCAGTCTACGGTGATACAACTCATCGTATGTTATCTATGTTTGATATCAATGAAAATCTATATTTGTGTACTGACAAACCAAGATCCATTGAATTTGACAAAAAAACATTGAGGTATGTTTAGAAAATTAAACTTGTAGAGATAATTTGCAAGCTGCAATCAACGCCTCATTTTAAAGATTTATCCAAAAGAAAGAAAATCAAAAACCACTTGTTCTTATGATCAGTTGGTTTTATGGGCAAAGAAGGCATATTAACAAGTATAGTAAACTTTATACAGATCAAGGAATGGATGTTCTTGTTGTTCGGATAAATTTAATACAATCTTTGTTTGATTTAAAAGGTGTCGAGGTATGTTAAAAAATAATGAAAAAAAAAAATCAAAAATGGTATAAAAATTATTCCTTAAAGAAATTTGGACAGGATATCGCTGATGTTTTAAACAGCAACGAGAAATACTATAAGGAAATATTTATTCATTCTTTCTCTGCTGGTTGTGGAATGTACGGTGTTGCACAAAGAATGATAAAAAAGGTGAAATGCTCGTTCATATCTTGAAATTAATTTTAAATTTATTTATCCTTATTTTAATAGAATTTAGATAAATATGGAAACGTTCCCAAACGGGTAATTGGACAGATTTGGGATTCAATTTCTCATCATAAGATGACGATTGAAGCAGTTCCACTTGCACTCTTTCCCAACAATATTTTCATGCATTCAATAGTCAAAGGCTTATTATGGTGTCATTTAACATTTTACTTTCCTCTTAAACCACATTATGAAGACTGTTATGATAATTTTTATAATAATTTAGCAAGAGCTCCAGCTCTGATAATGGCATCAAAAGCCGATGTGCTTGGGAAAGTAGAATTTGCTGAAGAAGTTGTGAGAAGATGGAGAACTAATGGTGTGAATGTGACTTATCATTGTTTCGACGACTCGGCACATCTCAAACATATGCAGAAATATCCAAAAGAATATTTAAAGCTTGTATATGATCACTGGGAATTGGTGAAACTTCTTGATCGAAAATAAATTTGAAATTGATTTAATAGTATGATTTATAGGTGATTCTTCTTATAATTATAAGTTAATTAGATAATCTTAAGAGCTTCAAATAGATGTTGTTAAATAAATAACTTAATTAAATTTAATCATTATTTGTGCTTGAATTTTAACTTGTTACTTTTCTAGATTCAACTGAAATTAGGTGAATTAGATGAAACTTCTGATTATTTTTGTCAAGTTTAGGTTTTTGAGAATTTTCAATGAGACGTTTAATGTATCTTTTTTCTAGATGTATGTATGTATAAAATCTATTGAAGAAATCTTAATATATTGCTGTAAAAACAATAAATATTTAAAATAGATCAGAAGAGACTTGAAAAGGGCCTTTTGAAAACTTGACATGAAGAGTTACCACTAGACAAGTGAACAGCTGTCTAACAGAAGTGTGACGATTTCTCCAAAAAGTGGGAAGTGAAATAAGTGGTGTAACGAAGAAATCGATTTGATTGATCTCCAAATACACAAATGCAATCAAAGTAAACTTATTTGATTCGAACAACGTTAAATTTCATTATTTCTTTGAATTTCTTTCTATCAAGCAGTCTCTTAATTTATTCTCTTTCTTTCATTCATTAAAAATGAGTTTTCTAAAGGATTTAAAGATACCTAGTTGAATGTCGTGAAATGAACGACAATATCAATAAAATTATCAAATTGATGCAAGAAGTAGTTGCAAGTTTGGGATTTTTGGCAATTGGTAATA